GTATATACTGTATTCTTCTGATCGTATAAAGGCCTACTGGAGGTAGACGAAACGTTTCGTCTAACTACAGTTAGTATATACGATCAGAAGAACATTAATTATGGTTCTCCTCTTTGGATTAGATACTCACAGCCCCCCCCCCCACCATTAAATTAACAGATAAATAACTATTTATAATAGAACGTGGGGGCCATTAATCCAACAATACCTACGATTATCTTCACAAGTCATTACAATAAGAGATTTCTCAGAAACACAAATGGATTTGTATAAAATGGTGATAACCCGATTATAAGGTAAACTAACTACGACTTTGGCTTTTTTCGAGTTTTTGAAGTTTGGCAACTATGTGTTATTTTTAGATAGTTTAATAATTTACATGAAGTTAGGTTTTAGGCGATAAGTAAGGCTAATAAATATGTATCGAATTACATTTTTTCAATTAAAACTCATAAAAACATTTTATTACTGATATAATTTAATATCTCTTCAGTCTTCGTGCAAACCAAAATCCCCACCCGTGCTCATTTCGTTTCTGTTGTGCTTACACCATTGGCATTTGTGTGTGTGTGTGTGTGTGTGTGTTTTTAAGGGAACGGTCCAAACCCATGAGATGTAGTCCTTCACACAATCGCAATTATTTACAAGATAAATTACATAAACACGTTCACCTTGGAAAACGATGCGCAGTTTAAATCAAATGAAACATTGCACCGGCGACAGCGAACATTACGCGGTATATCCAGTGGTGCGACCTCCAAGTCGCCAGATGAACCTTGGTGCTGACAAGTTCCTCGTCACTTCAGGTCGGCCTAATCGAAGCTCGAGTTATGAGGAAGCCACAAGGATCTTCCTGTACGAAAGGTTAAGGATCTCGACCTCTAGGCGCCCCACGGCCCAGTATCGCACGACGGACGACGAGGTACAAGACGAGGAGTTCTGAGGAAGTCACATACTTGCAGTACAGTATTAAGTTAAATAATCTCTGGTCTGTAGCCTTAGGGATGACCTTTACATGGCCAAGTTCCGATGGGTCTGAAGCCCACTGAGGATTTTCTCAAGTTCTAGAGCCGACTGTATTTTCCCTGTTTATAAGCCACTTTATATACATAAACACTCCATAGGTCGATCCTCTACAACAAGAGTTTTTTTAGCATACCCCGTAATACATGTTTTGTACATTCTCTTCTTGAGATCTTCTGCCGAGTTAATGCAGGCAAATGAAGAACTTTTGAGGTTAACGCATTTTTTAATACCCCTTATCTATAAGTAAAAACAAAACATTAAATGAAAAAGAACCGTAACCTGGAATTTGAGACCAAAATAAAAATCCTATCAATTACTACGACTTTCAAAATTGGCACCATCAGGTGACTCAGAGGGCTTACAAAAAAAACTTTGTAGTCGAACTTCAAGAGAAGATTCTGCCCTAAAATATCGTAACTCAGTTTCATTTCGGTCACCAATTACTGGCTATCGTGGAACTTTTCATACTTCAGTCCAGCGAGCTCGCTGCTTCAGTCTACGAGAGGTAAAGTTCTTTTGGCAATGACAGACACTTGTGTAGGCGTGTAGGTTTTCGCGCTGTATTTTCTATTCAGTTGCTAACTACTACAAATAAAAAGAGGAAACATCAAGTGTAAGCTAGTACAGTTGAACTATAGTTATGTAAGCCAATCCATTTTTCAGTAACGTTAAGTTCAGGTAGGAATGAGAATACTATTTCATAATTTCCAATGACTATCAAAAAATGTTAACATCGATCTTGCCTTAGTATTGTAGCACCTATTCCATTTCATCACGGGTCTCTGCATTTTTCGGTCTCTTCCCTCTCTTTTCACCGGTCCATCTCCATGGGTAATCCCGTACGTCTGCTCTCTCCAGGAGGCACCCACAAGGTCGTTCTGTGCGTAATATATTACGTCGTAGACTAAAAATAACACACGGACCAAGATAATCCAGGGACTTCCCGACACTTGTACCTCGGTTTATTACGACCAACCGGAATGTAAACGTCGTCGGTAAGCATTAAGGAATTCTTTGTTTACAAATTTACAGAATCGTTTTCGGAAGAGGTCTCGTATTTCAAGCTTTAGTAAAAATGTCAACTTTGTACATTAAAAGGGTGGATTTACAATGTTTAGTTTATATTTATTTGCCCATCTTGACATAACACTTTCCATTTTTAAATATATTTACTTATTGTTATGAGATACATAAAATATTAATATTTTAAGATAGAAGTAAAGGTGATGTATTATGTATTTATCAGACAGGTGGCGTCGTCCTGTAATCCAGCTACTTGGAGGTCACGGATTGTGGATATTTATAGGAATACACTGTGGATGGGATACTCCCTGGTGTGGATTAACGCCCGCACTAGTGAGTACTACGACTATCCGCAGTACTATCCTGATAATTAGACCAATTCGTATATACCAAGGAAAATGTGGTTCGGATTCCACTATAAACTGTAGGTCCCTTAGTTGCCATTAGCTGTTTGGGCTATTAATTAACAGCTGTGTCTAAGGAATGTCGGCCTTAGTCACTAACAAGACTACAAGATCGCGCCACTCATCCTACACTCATCTCCATTCATACTTGGCTTAAAATACCTACATTGTATGGTCGCCATTTCATAAGAAAGTATAAAGAAAAAAGTATCATAGATCAATAGATTTTCGTGAATTGTCACAATATCTACCCCCATTGCTAAACTGCTCGAAGCTCCTCAAGCTGTTTGGTATCAGTTCTTTACACACCATTGATTTTCCCTGCTGTTTTAAACTTGCACAACGATGCATGTGGGTGGTTTTAAATTGTCCTAGTTATTCAGCCTTAACAGAGGCAACTGAAAAAAAATCAACACCAATCTAGTACTTTGTTCTGCACACTGTACCTTTGAAACAGGTTCTGATTTCTGATTACTTTAGAAGCGCATTGCAGATTCAACGTAGTAAAACGGGCTTAATATTTGATGTGAAGGTTCAAGTACGGCTTAGCAGCCTAATTTTACTTCAAATTGAGCTCATACAAAAAAGCGTCACTTTAGGTAACACTGATGGAAACCCTTATTGGCCTTATGATGGTAACGTGACTCATTTTGTAAAGTCAAAACAAAATTCAATTGCGTAGAACCATTTAATAATAACAATTAAATAATATTCTAATCGAAATCTAAAATGTTAATTCTAAATGTATTTCTTTTGGAAATAGCTTACTAAGCTATATACGTTATGTGGGCATGACTAAAACCAACTAATAACCCCATTTGACTATCTGTGCTATCGTTGTCATCTCCTGGGATGCTGGATGCTGTAACCGGAGCAGGATGACGCCGGAAGGTCAGGTGCAAGGTCGTGTCGTGAGATAACAAAGCAGGTGTTGTCCGATACACGACACTAGTGGACCGAGTTCATCTAATCTCTCGCTACAATATGTGATTAACATCAGTAAACGCAATACAAATAATCTACTGTGGGCTACATTTTGTATTGTCTAACATTATAACAATCAGTTCAACCGTGTTCATTAATGGCCTTATTGCACATGTCATGGTAATAAATTGCAAACTAACCTAACTAAACTTAAAACTGCTACAACGGCTCTGTTGTGTTATGTGATAAAATGTCAAGTATTGTACTTTGCAATCATAACGAGAAAAGTATTCTTAAAACGGATTCTTGCACAAAATTATTATTTTTTAAGTTTCTGATTTTTTTTACTAAAATTGGTGCAGAGGTTATAGCATTTAAACATGATGAAAGGATAGTTACTCTGCAGCATTGGCGGACAAAACCATAGCTATTCATATAATTTTTCTATAACAGTACTTGTAAATAAACTTGTTGAAAAATAAATTACTCTAATTTAATAGAGTGACGATCATTCCCCGAGCCTGAATAAAAGCTTGCTCAGTAATACAGTTTTCAAAGAGTTTGCCTACTGAACGTTCAGAATTTAGAGAACCAATTGATCGGGATTCAAATATTTCGATAATCTCGCAAGAACGACTACATAAGCACATGTGAAAAAAGGGAAGAATTATTTTTAGTTACTTTTGGGCGTTTAGTTAAGTGCTAGGTTTCGTCAGTGGTGTTTAATTTCAAAGACAGACTCAGACTCTGTTTACAAAACTTTTAGTCGGCAAAACACGTTTATGACCTAAGATTTTCATGACTTAAACCATTTACGACTCATGCTTGTATGACTTGACATAGCTGTATAAAAACCTGGTTTTCTTGGGAAGTACGTTTTTGTTGCGGGGGGGGGGGGAGGGGGCAAAAATATATAATTTTTATTTTCCATTTTCCTTTAAAGATTAATTTAGCACGTTAAGACTAACGTTAGTAGGCGAGCTCTCACGCTCAAAACTCTGGAAAGTTTATTTACCCTTCCCTTAAAGGTTCTAATTTGTTTACAAATTTTTACCATACACATGTTGATTTTGTACATATGATATGAACATTTTACGGAACAAGAGGAAAATAACATTTTGAGTTAGTGTATAAGCTTTGCTTATTTCTACCAAAGGTAGCATGTGTAATCTTTGTTTATACAAATAAAATTAGCTACTCAGTTCTAATTAAAATTGTTAAAATTATTTGACACTTTTAAAGTTTGCTGGCGAAATTAACTACCTACTAATATTCTTGTGCATGTATAGTTGTAACGGGATTCATGTAATAAAACAATAGAAGCATACTAAGTATTCTACTCCAATACTCACTACATATTTATAATTTCTACCCTTTTCAAATGTCCATAATTCCTATTTCAAATACCACGATCAGGATAAGCCCCATCGTTCTTATCAGCGATTCTTCGTGTTGGTAAATTTCTTTAAAACGTTCACAATTATTATGAACATTCCTCAAAAAACGTTTCGTACTTTTATGTTTACTTTACCGAAATGTAAACAAATTGACTTAAAATAAAGAAAAAATGTACCGTACATTAAACATTTTTTTAAAACACCAATGTTGTTCCTGGGCCCTTACCTTTTCTCCTCTGGATAGGAACTCCCACATAGGGATGGCCGAGGGTATGATACCCGGGACGACCGCGAGGACAAGCACAAGACATACCAGGGTATCCATCACTACACTGTCTACTGTCTACTGTCTAGTGTCTACTGACCGACTGAAGCACGGTCCACGGAGAGGTGTACCCGGTACCGGTGAACTGTCCCCACCATCGGCGCTGCAGGATGACGTATACTCAAGACAAGACGATGGGAAACACAGTCCAAAATGACGTCAGACTCAACTTTTACAAGATGTGTTTACGTTTATGAGAAGTATTATGTTAGGATGTTAGGATTCGTTCCACAAGGCACAAGTGCAAGAAGTGTGTTAGAGGTTAACCATTTGTTCCCCCAAGACAGTTAATAGTCAAGCCAGTTGGGTGATGGTTTAAATACAATAACGTATTAATTTGTTTAATTTTTACATTCATGAGATTTTGGGACAAATAATCTGTCGACAAAGTAGTGATTCGTATCTATATATTTAACTAATATAATGACAGTCAACTTGTTTTACGACCAATTAACTTCTCGTTCAACTGGAGACCCGAGGAAATAGGAAGATTCTTTCCTACATTTTCTGCAGTAAACAATCGTGTAGTTGATAAAAAAAACAATCAATCAGAGTTATACGCTACCCATCGCGGTACTTTGTATGTTTTTGTATACTTTGTTTTGCATACAAAAATGTAGAAATCTGCCCTGAAAGGCTTTCACGTAATACGACGTAATGGTCTTGAAAAGTGTTACTGTAAAGAAGTTCAGTTGTAATATTCGATTGGTTGGTCTATTGAGACGTATTGAAATATCGTTTATACTTCTTTCTGTATGGAATGTCTTTTCTAACATTTTGTCAAGATGGATCCACTCTTCTCTTTGCCAAGACCAACTGGGGCGTTTGACCATCTTCGTTAGCAATTAGCTTTACTAATCTTATTTTTGTCAAGATTCTCTGTCACATTTGCCAAGACCAACTGGGGTATTTCACCATCTTCGTTCGTAATTAGCTTTACTAACCTTACTTTTGTCAAGATCCTCTGTCACATTTGCCAAACCCAACTAACTGGGGTATTTAACCAACTTCGTTCGCATTTAGCTTTGCTAACATATGCACAATAAGCTTCGGTTGACGTGCTTGGACCACGAGTCCACCCCTCTTACCTTGCTTTTGTCAAGATCCTCTGTATCTATTGCCAAGCCTGACTGGGGCGTTTGACAATTGACAATGACCAGTTCTCCTCGTCCCAAGGTGACGATGTCTCTTATGACATTTGGACATCCTTGTAGAGGTAGGCGGGGGTCTAGGTTTGGTTCATGGCTATGTGCGGGGTCGTATTGCCCAAGACCCCACCACCTGCCAACCATCGTCCTTACCTTTCGGTCGGATGTGCTATATCAATAATTACTCACTCACAATAAGTCAATAAAGTAACTGTTTCATTGGCTGTTTTGCTTTCTACAGTAAATTCACACTGAAGTTACCTTTTTGTTTTCCTAGAAAATCCAAGATAAGCTAATTCATACCCACAACGATCAGATAATTAACGATTTTTAAAGGTTGTCTTGTATTGTGAGTTTGTAAAATAATTTAAGATTTATAATAGGCTAATTAAAATTGTTTGGAGACCTACCAATCATTGAGTCGTCATCACCAATCGGATGTGACAGTTTTTTTGCCAATTACCAGTATTCCAACTAAACAACACAAAACAGCGTACTTTTATTAGGCACGTAATACGTGTACGCTTGAAAATAAGTTGGCAACACTTTAAAGACATTACGTTACGACTACGATCACCTGGTGCAGCAGCGTTTCCCATTTCGTTCAATGTTTGGATTTAACCACGAATACTAGAAAAAGAAGTTTGACAATGTAAATTAGACCAGATGGCCGATCCAACTAGCAAAAACATTGTGTAGAACCTGTCAATGGTAGAACTGAAAAACAACCATAAAATACAGCCATGCATAAAATAATCTATTCTCCTCCAGAATGTTTAACCATAGACTAAGCAACACAAGGGAGTATGTTTTATCTATGGTTTAACTCACTCTCAGTGACTTTTAACAGCAAATTTTTAAATTACTAAAAAGGTTTGATCTTAAAACACAAACCAAGTCTGGCAATGCAAAAAGCACCATTTCGGATTTCGGTATTTTCAAGTTGCCTATTTACATATCTTTCAAACTTATATACATAGCCTATTATATTTGCTAAGCGACTGTCCATTAAATGTATTTCTTCTTCCTCTTCACAAATTATAAATTTAATTAAGTAGTTTTCGCTTGTGATTTTTAGCTCTGAACTGAGCTATGGCGCTATCGTTTTCCCAGATCTATCTATCTATCTATATATTAATAGGCAAGCATGTTTCTTTAAAACCTTTTTTCTCAGCTCGTGTGAATCGTAGGGAAAATCTACGCATACCGTTTGAAAGCTATTTTCCTGTAGGTGTGCAGAATCCCTTTATAAATTTAAATAGGCTCAAAGATAAGCACAAAAAATGAGTTTAAAAATTTGAAAAAATTAACATGGATCTTATGCGTTGCTATGCTGGTTACGAAATAACAACGAAATATAAACAGAAAATCAAAACAAATGGAGGAAACTCCAATCACATGTTTTATTTACAGTGTGGGGTGAAAATAGATAAGTGAGTACATTACATATTTTTGGTCGAGTTTCGACCACTGGACGACCTCTCGTCTATATATTAATAGGCAAGCATGTTTCTTTAAAACCTTTTTTCTCAGCATTTGTGCATCGTGGGGTAAATCTGCGCATACCGTTAGAAAGCAATTTTCCTGTAGGTGTGCAGAATGCCTTTATAAATTTAAATAGGCTTAAAGATAAGCACAAAAAATGAGTTTAAAAATTTGAAAAAATTAACATGGATCTTATGCGTTGCCATGCTGGTGACGAAATAACAACGAAATATAAACAGAAAATCAAAACAAATGGAAGAAACTCCAATCACATGTTTTATTTACAGTGTGGGGTGAAAATAGAGAAGTGAGTACATTACATATTTTTGGTCGAGTTTCGACCACTGGACGACCTCTTGTTACTATTATTAGACACCGCAAATTTCCATCTCGGGCGTCACTGACACACACAGTCACACAGACATGCATTTATAGACTCTTTTACTTAATTAACCTAAACCTTTATGACACAACTCAATTTATGGAAAAACTGTGTTGTATTTATTAAAGATTAGACTACTGTAGTTATATTGTAAATGTACTGTCTTTATTTTATTTTTTATAAATGTATTTAGTGGACATTGGTAGTGTGTAGGATACTGTTTACTACTAGGTGTAAACTAATCTTGTACAAATTTATGTATTTACTGGTTGGTAGTAGTCTAACTGCCATTAAAAATAAATTTTTTGTTTTTTTTACTATGTTTCAAATTTACCTTTTTTATAACAGTTTATATAGAAAATTCATTCTGTAAAAAAATATATTGATAATTTCATGCAGTATATTAATCTAGCACCAGATTTATCTTTGTGATAATTTGTACAACAATAACAGCTCAGTGAATTGTCGAAGTGTCGTAGTATTTTCTGTGGTTCCCGTTAAAAGATAGTGGTATTGAGAACATGTAATAAATAAATAGACATTAGTTCATTCACCTCTATTAAATGTCCGAGATTCGTATAAGTTACTGTGGTTTTAGACTGATAGAAAGGATTTAAAATATTTTAGCTTGTAAATTTATGGTTGAAAATTGTCCAAAAGAGAGTGGTATTGAAGTGACGTGCAAATAATAATTTGCTGCAATTATGTTCTCACAGATGACGTCTCATGTAACACACTGCTAAATGCTGCAGTATAACTTTGATCATTTGTGGTTTTGCGTGTTTCAAATACACTCTATAGTGTAATGGCTGGTGCGTTCACAATTTTTATTCTTACATGGAATCTGGCCAGGTTGACCCATCCAAGTGATTTGGACCTTAAACCTCTACTTCCTCAGTCTAAGCCCGACCTGATCGTTATTGGACTTCAAGAAATGGACGACATGGAAAAATGGCAAAATATGTTTACTCAAACGTTAAGTGGATCCGGTTATAAACTTCATGACAAAAAACATATGTATGAGCTTGGAATGTTCATTTTTGTCAACAAAGACGAGACCAGTAACGTCCCAGGAAACACATATGAAATCACTTTGAATACTGACAAGCCAACAGGATTTTTGAAAAAAGTACCCAATAAAGGAGCAACTATCATTTGCATGCATATTAACTCGATACCAATTTGTTTTGTAAATTGCCACCTTAATGCTGGAGAAGAGAAAGCTAAACGAAGATTGGAAGACATGGATCAAATATTAAAAGAGTCAAGATTGGATAGTGCATATGTGTTATTTTGGTTTGGAGACATGAACTTTAGGTTGGAAGAAAGCAAATCGATGTCAGCTGATAAGATAATTAATAAAATAGCTTCTGGTGGAAAAGACGAACTTTTAAAACTTGATGAGTTGACTAAACTGATGAGCCAGCCGACATTACAGAATTTCAAGGAAGCTCAACCAACATTTTTACCAACCTACAGGTTTATCGTAGGGACATCTGTTTACGACAACAAGAGACGACCTGCATGGACTGATCGCATCCTCTACAAAGACCACTATGGACTCCTCCAAGTTCAGAGCTACAAGAGTTATGAAGGAGTTCAGATAAGTGACCACAGACCTGTGTCTGCATTATTTAAGGTCAACGAACGACCCAGCTTACCAACAACATATACACGAGAATAACCTGTCCTTGTTTATGTGCACTTATTTAATTAAAACAATCGCCTTTAATATACTTTGCTTGTTTATTTAACACTTCTTTATATTTTCATATTGTAAAATCTGTAGTGCAAATGCCCGAGACCCTTTTTAAAATCAATTTTAGTAGGATTTACAATTTGATTTCTGGATACCTACTGTGTTTTGAATAGTATATGTTTAAAAGTGTCTTAGATGCCTTTGGTCCACTAATGAAACGTGTTAGATCGCTGAACAGGGAGTATATATATTTCTATAAAAATAAATAAAAATATATATATATATATATTGTTTTAGGCACGTCTCCCATTTATCTAACACGATTCCTTGTCTTTGATAACGTAACTCTTGCCTCATTCATGTAAATTGTAGCTTTTTTCCAAAGAAACATTCAAACTAATTTAAGGAGCTTTTTCTTAGTTAGGTGAGGTTTTATCCATTATGATTGCATACGGTACATGTTCAAATTCTTCTAAGTGTTAAATGATTTTGACAAATAATGGGAGACATGAGGTTTGAAAGTGGGCATTTTGTCAAGTGGTGGTAAAAACTTAGGGGCTGAACCAAAGGTTTAAAAGAAGTTAAAATTATTATGTGTGATTATGCTTAAGATGGTTTTAATTTCATACCGACATGTGAAAAACTAATTAGCTTGTCTCTTTTTGGTTAAATAGTTAAAAACAATTTTGGTTCATTAAAAATGTCATTTACTTAGAGTAACAAAGATTTACTTAATGAAAATTTCCTTAAGTATATATCTTTTACAAATTGGTTTTTCTTTTCTGAGTTTGTTTGACCCTTCTACCCGACAGATTTTATTATGCATCGGCATATATTTATCTACTTTATTACTCGATCAAAAAACATAAATTTGATCATTTTTGAATTCTTACTTTAATTTAAGATGTATGTATTGCACCAGTTATAATTATATTACCTACATATTTTGGTCTAAGGACCTACAGAGAAATACCAGCTTTATTTTAAGCTATTAGCTATTCAAATCGGACGAGTTTCAAGCAAACGCAAGGTGAAACATAAAAAATATTTTTTATAAGCTTTTTCTATAATTAAAAATCAATAGCTATCCAGTATTGTTTAGGTTTTTTATATGTTTTAGACTCAAAATAATCAGTAAATTATGGGCTTTGATTTTAGCTATTGATAGTTTGAATCAGTTAAGCTCAAGATACTGTATTAATCAACCAAAAATCATAAATTTGATTATTTCTTGGATACGATATTTATTTCGAAGCTACGGGAGCAGCATGGGTCCTCTAGTCTTTTATATATAAAAAAAATGTTTTTCTTTTCCGAGTTCCTTGGCTCTTCTACCTGACCGATTTTTATGATTGAGGTCTCAAATTGAAGGGATGCACTCACAGATTTCACATCATGCATCGGCATATATTTATCTACCTACTGTATTACTCGACCAAAAAACATGAATTTGATTTATTTTTGAACCTTACTTCAATTTAAGATGTATTTCATCAGTTATCTATCTATATCTATAATACCCCCGCCGCAGCAAGCCTGCAGACTAAGCGAATTTCCATTTGCCTGATTGGATTTACACTAAAATGTCTCCTTAAAAATCTCATTTATTCCCTATTTAAATAACATTAGTTTAACGAGTACCTAGGTTTGCTGCAACAGGGAGGGTAAAAAGGTGATTTTTGTAAAATGTTAATAGCTTAGTATCAAATGAATGCATTTTCCAAATTTGATCAAAATATGATCATAAACAAGCAAACTACTACAGTTTACTTATTCTCCATAAAAATAACCTGGGAATTTTAAATTTACAGCTTCTTGGAATTTTTTCTGTAACCATTAGGCGCATAATAACGCTTCAATATACTAAATCATTTGTTTTTTTAAGCTCTACAAAATGGTTTGGAAAGAAAATGCTAAATTTTAAGTTTTTTAGGGTCAAAAATGGGGAAAACCAATTTTTGCCCCATAAAACCCCCCATAAACCCCCGTTCCCATGGTCCGATCATGCTGGTTTGCGAACTCGTTCAAATAAACGTAGGTCTACACGTTTGTACCAAATTTCATCAAAATCGGTTGATTTTTGCTCGAGTTATCGCGCTTACAATTTGAACAAATGGTGTTTTTGGTCTCTAGGGACCTCAAAACGATCAAGTAAATCGGTCCCGGGTCCAGGTCTTACCATGAGTACTACGGTAATAGCTTATTCCCTATATGGGAAATTCGCTAAAAGAGGAAGTATGTATGTATGTATGTACCCTATGGACTTTGAAACTGCTAGACAGATTGTAATGAAACTTTTTAGGCAGTCCTTACTTAAAAAACCGCCCTTGTATTTAAAGCATCTTTCTTTTTTACCAAAAATAAAAATAATTTTTAAACTACTAAAGACTCCAACCTGACTAGCAAGTAGGTACACTGATGTGTTTTTTGCTTCCACCACTACCATTCTGGTTGGTCCCACGATTAGACTCGTCTTAGTAGCCAATACCAGTGTAAGGAAAATCTACTCATCCAACAAATTTGATTCTTGTTCTGTGAAAGAGGATCTATTAAAGTCCACCGTTAGTTCAAGTCTGTGAATGTAGAAAAGTGTTTGGACATAGAAAACAGGGTGGAAAAAGTTTGAAGATGGTTGTTAATATTTGCATGGCTACAATTTGTAGAGGGGGAAGTAGTGGAAAGAGTGGGTGGTGTCATATTTAACTGGCTTGAGTCTGGAGACCTTAATTTACGCACAACCCTTGAATTAGATGGTTATTTTTCTAATTGTTTCATGTAATTAGTAGGCAAAGATATAAACTATAGTCCATTAGTCTTTTTATACTTTAAATTTATGAGGAGATTTTGGAAGGCCGTTCTCTTTCATATGAGTTACAACTTAGGGTCAGTATCGATCTTACTTTTTACTTAACGACATTTGTCTCCTACTCTCCTACTATTTTATTATGATGAAATCATGGCATAACGATACCTTGATTATTTTTTGTTGGGTAATTCTTACAATTATTAATACCTCAAGAGTAGACTGTGTGAAAATGACCAATGACAGTTGATGCATTGTTAGGAGTTACAATGGTAAAACTTCTATATGATTATTTTGGCGAGGTCTATAATAAAGTACTTATCGATATTTTATTCCAGTATATATAAAACTATAATAAATATGAGGAATCACTATAAAATTCAAAAGCACATTTAAGTATTGGCTAAGTATTTATTATAATTTTGATAAAGATAAAAATTAACAACATAGCTAGAGTCAGGAACTTAGAATTATCTGACTGCCCAAGTCCTGACGACATTCTTATACAAAAACAAAACTCAAGCTTATCTAAATTGGCCCTCGAATTGTAAAACATAGTTCAGTCTCCTGTCTAAACGAATCATTCTAAATAATAAAACTCATGCACACTTACGCCAAAGCCTTAAAATTAATGGTGTGTACAACAGCCACTAAAAGTAAAATATATATAAAAACATATATTTAACTTATATAAATCTGTAATACATGTTACAAAAAATACAAACAATACATAACAGTAGAATTTACAACCAATAAATAAGGTAAAGTAATTTTATTTTACAATAGTATAAAATGATAGGAGTGGAGCAAGTGGTGGAGGGGGTGTTAGAGTTAACGAGAGCCAGACTTGGAGTGCGCGATCAGCCACTGCAGCGTAATGTCAATGTTGTCTTTCTCTTTACACGAGATTGAATAACAACAGATTTCTCGATCTTGAATTGCACACAGATTCCTGAAAAATACAACACTTAGTTAGCGTTTTGTGTAATGCATTTATTTATGAGGAAAACACTACTATGTGATGGTGAATATGAAGCACTCTCTCCACAAAACATTCAATATATGGTTCAGACATACTAGATCGATAAGAAAAACTGTTAAGTGCTGGGAATGGAATTTTTTTTTAATTCATATTAAATTAGTAATCATGTTAAATTTTAAGGAAGGGGACATGATTACTACTCGCCAGAATAAAGCTGCTATCCTTTCCCTGGCTGAAGAAGACTAAGTCCTAAAACAGCCTCAGTCCAGTAGGGTTTCAGCTCTCTGGATTGGAACGTCAAGAAGAACAGAGAACAAAAAGTTTTCAGTAAGGACTCACTTGAATATAACTAAATACAAGGGCAATCCAGAATGAAAATTTACGTTTCTGTACTCATCCCTGGGCAGGGCTAGGTGCTACCCCCCTCAATCGGCATCCATGAGTGGTATCGGTGAGCGGTTTGAGTTGTAACGTGTCTGGTTATAGATTGAAATATTGGCTGGTTGAAATGTTTGCCTTAATATTGAAAATCCTGCGAATTGTGAGGAGTGTTTAGTGATAACAATTTTGTATAGTGTATGGGGATAATATTATAACTGAAGATAGTATGCTTCAATCAAGTAGTCATTAATTTTAAAATGGCTGAACAAACGTTTACAATAAACAGCAAAATAAAGTGGAAGGCTCATCTTAGCAACTGCCAAACTTGTTGAAAAATGATAAAACAGACATGTTCACATACTTTTCACATAGTTTGTTACAAGAAATAGTCAGCTTGGTTGCCACAAGCTTTGTGCTCAATGGGTAGCAGTCCAATACAAAAAATAAAAAGTTGAGTCATAAAATTGGGTGTTAAGTTGTTAAGCATATATTTTAGGAGAGTGTAATTAAAGGCTATGGTAATGTTATTAAGTTAATTGTAGGTAGCATGATTAGGCAACTTAGACCAGGGGTTCACCCTCATTTGTTCCAACATCATGATTTATAGGCCTAGTGTTTATTCGAGGATTTTTCTTGGAAGGGATGAGCAAAAGAGAAGTTTGAAAGAATATTTCTCTTTTACTTTGGCAGGAAGCTTTAATTAAAATAGTTATTGGCTGGGTAGCTGAGTGGTTATAGTGCTCGCCTAACAATCAAAAGGTTGTGGGATCAGATCCTGAGAAAAGTCACTAACTTTTAGATGGTTCGAAATTAACCCAAATGTCCTTGATAATAGGGCTTTGAATAAATGATCCTGGCTAGTGAGACAGCTGATCTTAATCAGTAAAAAAATACACAGATCATCTCACTCCATTCTACACTCATATTTGGGTTAAAATACGCACCTAGACCTAGGTTGTAATGAAAATAAATAAATAATAAATAACTAAAATACCCATCTAAATTTATAATGATAATAATAACAATTATTATAATAATGATAGAGATCCTAAATTTGGTATCAAATTAAATGATTATGTATTGTAACAATTTGTTCGAGCAATATTACAAAGTGTACATAACAAAATAATTACATGCGCTTCAGGTTTGAATCGTAGCCTACTTGATAGTAGGTGATTAAAGAGGCAATGCTTCTTTTAAAACAATTTTTCTTATAAAGGTTTTCTGTTTATTTGGTAGCTATTAAAACTTTTTGGTCCTGGTATCTGGTTTATATTTAAGGAGTTTTAAGTTATGCATTACAAAGGTAGGCCTGCTAATATTCCTTTTGTCAAGTATTATAGCTTTGAGTCGGTGAAAAATACAGTAGGATATTTGAGAAACAAATCATCCCTAAAAAAGAATGTTTATGGAATATCTGCGAAGGACCATAAATAATCTCTAAACTTCTGCAATCTATTTTACACTAGACCGATCTTTCTGCTGGGCTCTGCTTCTTTCTGCAACAATGTCAGATTATTGCTCAATGTTCTTTTTGGGACAAATAGTTGGTTACAACTCACATCCTGTCGATAAGCTCCTTCTCGTCCAGAGCGTTGGGAAGGTCCCGCTTGTTGCCCAGGACCAGGACCGGGATACCCATCAACTGCGGCTTGTCTAGCAGGTTATGCAGCTCGTTTCTCGACGCTTCTAGCTTCTCATGGTCAGCTGCATCCACCATGTAGCTAAATCAGAGTGACATATATCAAGAATAGGGAATCATATCAAACTATATTAGACTAGTTAGATGGAGTATGTTAGATGGAGTATGTTAGATGGAAACTATGTTGTATGTTTTCACAGTAAATATGAGGGCTATTCAGAAAGTAAGGAAAGTTTAGAAATAAATTTAAAAAGTTTGTAGAAGGAAAAAATTATTATCTATACCCTTAATACAGTAACAGTTTTCACTATAACACCCCTTTTTCAGCTGTCCTACTTAACGGGTTTTCACGATTGAGGTGTCATTTTTAAACTAATGATCCAGCGTACCTGCAAATGGCAATGAAAAACTTAATTTTCTTAAGGGCTTAGCCCCCCTTTTGTAATCTAACAGCTTATCCTCCAAGTGAATGTTTAACCACAGTCTGCAACAGTTGTTTATGTATTCAAACAAATGACAGATGAAAACAGTTTACGAAAATGGATTTTAAACATGCTTCTTCAGTCTTTATTGTGTAGATCTAGATCTTTGAAAAGTAAAAGGGTATTGCATTATTATTTTTACATTGGAATTATATTTTAAATTAAACCCTAATAAAATGTGCAATTTTTGTAAACTTAAATATACTACTACTTTTCAACAAGTCGCCAAACAAATTGAGGCACAGATGTTTTATTTTTCACATTCTTTTCCGTACATTTCACATACTTGAGTAAATTTGTATAGGTTTTAAGTTTATAGCCCACAAAAAACCACACCTCACAACTAGCAGAATTTCCAATTGCAGCACATTTTTTAAACTTAAATATTGCAACACTTCTGTTGGACAGTCATTGAGGAGGCGAACACGTTCGTAGCCTACTAGAAAGTACTATTGGCAGCAGACGGAATCATTCCTTACATTCTGAAAAGCCTTTGTAGTGAGCCTCAATGAGTTGTCCAATTTTTTTTCATTGGTGCTGTTTGTTGTAATGAGATTATTGTTACTGCTTCCTGGTCCTAATTCTTGCTACTCGTACTCTTACTATGTTTTTGGACCTGCCCTAAACGAATGTGATTGACCTACGTTGATTCACTTTGCTTATTAATGGTAAAAAAAGTTATATAAAAAAAAAAAACTGGCCCCAAATAAGGCCAAGTTATCAATCTACATTAGGTTACAGTATATTGATGTTGTATACTGCGGTTCTTGAGTAGGTAAGCTGTTTGTGTTACCCTATGCATTTCACTAGCATGTGCAGCATCTCCTTAAGTTATCTTCTTATCACTAACACTCTAGTCGATACTGTCGATACAAAAATATTTACACACACACAGTCACTTGTATCGTGGTCGGTCAACGCGGCAATGCGACAACAGACACGCGTAACATTTACAGTATCAGCAGATCTTTTTTCCTCCAAAATATTTCTTGGACTGGGGATGATGGAATTTGAATTTGGGCCATTTGACGGTAGTTTGGACTTTCTTGGTTTAGGTTTGGGCGGGTGATTTCATCTATGTATTGTTGCAGGTTTGTCGCTGTGTTTCCAGTTTTGCTAGTTTCAATGTTGTATATTAATTTCAAAATTGTATAACTGTGTAGTCTTCCTTTTTGTTTAGAAGGATGTTCAATACATTTGTATTTACATGTTTGGATATTTTGTAGCTTTCTTGTACTTTTGCTAATGGTTTTGTGTGGGTTTATAAAAATGGACCAATAATTATATTAAAATGGAAGAGTAGCTAGGAACCAAAGGGACGGAGATCTTTTACCCTGACCAGAACACTTGCCTAGCCAGTTTAGATTTATGCTAAAAGAACAAATTACCTAAATATATCCTTCCCAAACACTAAGTTCTGAAAATGGTTAATTGGTTGTTAAAACTGCCGAGTTAATGAATGAGTTGCTTAATGTTGGAGTTTAATTTGGTGAAATGTGAATGAATAAGAATTTAACTGGAAAAGGGTGGAGAACAATCTGGGGACATGAGGTATATTTTTCGTTTTGCAAATGGCTCGCTGCAGAGAGAAGCAAACCGAATAAATGTTAATTCCTACATCTCAAATGTCGGGGCGAGCCTTTTTGTGTTTCCTGTTGCCCGTTTACTTAGCCGGACATTATACTAAGCCTATTACTACATAATCTTAACCATAGAACTTATCCAAATTTCAATGAGAAGGATGTCCTGATTTTTGGCTGCTACGTCTTCTAGGGAGATTGGAGAAAGAGGACGAGCGTAGGTAGGAAGGAGGGGGTAAAGCGATCTTTCAGTCGCGGCAGGTTACGAGCTTGACATGCAACCCGGCTTCGCGAACTGCTCACACTATATAAAAATAGTGTTCAAATATGCATCACACCTCCTGCTGTGACTCCACCCCGTGTCTATTGTCACCTTGTCCGATATACCCGACCACGATTGTATAAATACAGTATCGACTATAGCTAGCAGGGGTATACAACCTTTTTACTGAAGGGCCATATTGTCAATTTTTGGAGAAAAGGCGGGTCCATGAACATTTATATTTCAATGCAGATAGGGTAGCCTCCTCCAAATAATCCACAACTCTGTAGTTTGTGAATTAAGCCGGGTTTACACGCTCCGATAAAACATAACGTCTTGTCTGCAACGACTAATCGTTACGTTTTGTTGTAGGTTGAGCGGACCATTTACACGTTCCGTCCTTTTCTCTACTTTGGCTCTCAAACCACTACCAGATCTTGTTGTTAAGTAGTTGCCCTGTCAATTGCCTGCAGACGGGTCGATTTCTTTATATGTTGATTAATTCTACATAGGCCAGGTCTTTCTTGTTACTGTCAGAATAGCCCTTATGTTTGACTTGCCACACACTCTTGTATAGTTCAATGAACTCTATTACAAAGTCACGAGAGGCTTGACGTACGTCTGACATAGCGACAAATGTGACACAAAACAGTAAAGATAAACTACACACTACACTACACAGTCAAAATATACCACAGTGGTTAAAACAACAGTACTACACAGTACAATTACACGACAGTTAACTGGACCAACGCGACATCGGAGGGTCTACAGGTTGTAGCGATGACTGAGTCACCGTTTACACGCAACGACTTGTCACTACGATCCACAGAAAATCGCTACGATCTACAGAAAATCGCTACGATCTTCAGAAATTGGTGGAAATTTCCACCAACCTTCCAACCTCACTCCAACTCAGACAAAACGTAACGACTTCCAGTTTACACGTTCCGTCGTGCATGAACGATTTGTCGTTGCAGACAAATCGTTACGTTTTATCGAAGCGTGTAAACCCGGCTTTAAGAGCTAAGCGGTGATTTTTGAAATTTTCTTGCTGATTTTTTAGTTGCTTATCTTGTAGACTAAGACAAATTCTTTACATTTTTGTGCAAATGATGATGTGACCTAACAAAACAATCGACCAAGACCTCAAGACACCCTCACGAGTGTTACCGTGACTTTGACGCTTATCGGTGTATATACTGTATACCGTCATATAAAAATAATTATTTCTCAGAAGGCCTTTGCCTTGGATAAAATCTGTTTACGGGCCGGGCCATAGGGCCGTTGGTGATGGGTAGATAACTTAAGAATGCCCCTGAATATGTCACACAAGCTAGTGAAATGTATAGGGTAACAAAACAGCTTACCTACTCAAGAATTACAGGCTAAAATAAAGGTAAACTAATATAATTCAAGTTTTTGAAACCGGGATGGAAAATAAAATATCAATCTACAATAATTTACATAAAATCAATCAATAACCAAAAACAAGAAGATTTGCTCATATGATGTTGACAATGTGAATTAACATAAAAAATCAAGGTTGATTTTCAATAAATATTGTTTTCTACTAACTTATAGAAATCAAATTGTTAAAAAATATAAAATTAAACTACAACCTAGCACCCACAAATAAAACAAATGATAATGTCATATTTTCAAATATAAAAAAACATAAAACAAATTGCATGAAAATGTATTATAATATTTTGTAACATTAATACAGTAGCAATATGATCAGTAAAACAAATGTAGCATGCTGACTCACACAGACAATATGATAAATCAAACCAATGATAAGCAGATAGTCAAGCAAACCAACACAGATTGGAATTTGGTTATTTGAACAGGAAACTGGGCCATAGACCAATTGACTCTTTGACAATAAAAGTCCAAAGCCATAAACTCACTTATTTTTGTATATTTTTTCTGATTAATAAAACCCTGCTATATCTTTTTTAATTTGAAGTTTCCAGCCTTAGACTAAGTTTGGCGGTGTTATATTTTTATACTTCTGAAAACATGAAAATTTGCCATCGTAAGTAATTGGGCTTAACAAATGTGGACAACCTATTTCTCGGTCATTTAATTGAATGTGTTTGCAGGAATTAAGGGAAATTTTATTATCGTTTAAATAGAATAAGGCCGTTAAAGAGTATAAAATTTGGAAGATAGAATCCCTTATGTAAGTCTTTTCCGCTAACAGAAGATTACAAAACCAGTAAAACACTGATTTTCCAAAATAAAGGAAGCAATGCCGATTCAGAGAACCTATTTATTGGTTCAATGGTAGGAATTTAAAAGCTACTTGTCCATTCAAAGAGATCATAACAGGTAGTTTTTTATGTAACTGCTGTTATCTCAAAATCTACAGAATGGATACGCAAAATCTATGTATTTAAATAATCCTACAGGTTTACTGAACTTGATTTAAATCACAGTAAGATATTCATGTTGTCCTCTGCTCCATTACATTTTCTTGACCAAACTGGACAACTACTCGCAATGGGAACTACCAAAACATGATGGTTTTAACCCAGGATTCGGTTTAACGAGTTGCAGTTAAAAGGCATTTTACAGCATATAGAACTTTCTGCTACAGGGAGGGTAACAAAGTGTGTTTTTTAGTAATATATTAATAGGTAGCTTAGTGTAAGATAAATAAATTTGCAAAATTTTATCATGAAATATATATATATATAGCCTAGGCCTAAACAGGCAAATTACAACAGTTTACTTATCCTCCATAAGAATAACATGGGAATTTAAAATTTAAAATTTCTTGAATTTTCTCTTTAACCAATAAATGTACAAAAACACTTCAATATACTATATTATTTGGGGTTTTATTCTATTCTAAATGGTTTAGAGAAAAGTTTGGAAATTTTGTTTTCAGGGGCAAAAATGAGAGAAACCAATTTTCACCCCAAAAAACCTTGTCCCCATGGTCCGAAAACGCTGCTTCGTGAACTTGTTCGAGTAAACATAGGTTACAAGTTTGTATAAAACTTCATCAAGATCGGCATTGTTGCGCGAGTTATCATGCTAACGGACACACACACACACACACACACATTAACAACATATATGAATTTGAACGGATGGTGTTTTTGGCCTCTGGGAACTTCAAAACAAAAAAGTAAATCAGTCCCGTGTCCAGATCTCACCATGAGACCTACGATAATAGCTTGTTCCCTATATGGGAAATTCGCTAACAACGTTACAAAATAATGGCAACTCTTTCATTTAGTAATTTATTTAATTTTGGTGGATTATCATGTGATTGTCTGAGCTTAAAACAAACTCAAAAATCAATAATGCCAACAATGAAAACCACAAAAATTTTGAAAATGTAAAAATAATATGAAATATGGCAATGGTCTTGGTTTAGGATGGTATTTTTTTTATGTTAAGTTTTTAAAGTGATTTATAAAATCGTGGATTAAAAGGAGCAAAGGGTAGGATTTTTATAATTTTAAAATAGGCCTACTAAGTATGTCAAACAGAACCTATCATTATAAACTTGCCTTAATTAATCATTTGTTTCAGTAAAAACAGCCACCAAAGAATTTAGAATTATAAGCAATTAAATTACATCCATAAACACAAACAAATGTTCTTGGAAAAATGTTCCGGGAAATGGTAAGTAGTCAAGGTAAGTTGATTTGAGTTAAGGTATATAGGGAAGTGTATAGGGCTGTCTTAGAAGACCATTTCAAAACAGAAGTAAATAGAAAACCAACATACTTACACAATTGCATTGACACCCCGACAATATCTCTCCCACATCGACCTAAACCTAGGTTGGCCGCCTATATCCCACACTTTGATGGTGACGTTTCCTTTGGTGACTCTTCTCATGTTGAAACCGACTGTGGGAATCATATCTTGGCTGAACTGGCCCGACTGTAAATTATACATTGTTATATAATTGGTCAATTTAAAACACAAACACGTGGCTTGTTAAAAAATTACAAATGTGTAGATTTAGTCATTAGCTAAGGAACCACAATGATCTAGACTATATTAATTACTTGTATGATCATACCAGATATCAGTGTATAACCTTGCCTTAGATGATCACCTATAGAAACTCCTATTATGCTAAATAATGACCTGAACACAAGCTTTAGGGGCAAATCGACAAATTGTGAGTTGGAAGAACGCTGAGGTTGGAATGCTAAGGTGGGTTACACACCGGTGTTGCAGACATCGTGTCTACAACATTTCTTGTGTCTAGGCATGTCTAACGTGAATCCAACTTATGTTATTAAATCAGAGCTTGCGAGAGATGTTTTAAGATATCATCTCTGTTCCAGACATGTGTTGCACAAGACTGATTGGTCAGTTTGGTGCAACAAGTTAACAGCAAAAGTCCTGTTTCATGTTTCCTGTTGCCACCACTTTACTGTGGAGAAGTCAATCAAGATCAAGAGGAATAAATTTAGTGTTACATTAATGTGCATACAGTATTTGCAGTAGGCTAAGTGTATGCAGAGAGAGAAGGCACTTAAATGACCAAAAGTTTATAACTTACTCTGGACCAACACATTTTTGTTTTACAACTTGCTTTTAAATCTTATGTTGTCTAGGTTATAAAGTTAAGTCTAAATGATTACCTCCACACAGCTGTGGGGGTAAAGTCGTTTTCCCAAAAGTGCTTAAAATTGCCTAATTTTGGTAGATAAAGGAAAACAATGCAATATGACATAAGACATAAGTAATATAAGTTCAGTATTACCGTTCCTTCCAATTAGGCCTATGTAGTTACTTTTAAAATCCAGTAAAAGAAATCCCTTTAAAATAAGTGGTTCCCTGATAATTCTAAAGTACCTATAATTATTTTAAGTAGAGTGGATAGTCATAGATAGGCCTATGGATCAATTTTTTTAACCAAAAGTTTTGTCGATAAGTTATATTATTAAATTGTAAATATGATGGAGTTGGATATCAAAGTTTCACAGATCATAGCTTCCAGTAGGCCTATAATAAAAGTACCAACTCAAACAACATATAACTTAGATGAAAGTGGTAACAGACATTCCTTCATGGCCAAAAATTATGAAAAGAAATGCCATAAAACTCCGGGTAACTTACTGATCTCAAAATACAGTAGCCTATTTGGTTAATCCGAGTGTTATTAAATATTGCCTGCTTTAAGGTTGGATTGGGAAATGATAGGCATTGCCTCATCACTATAACGTTATGCCTATTTTATAACAAGTAAAAGTTTTTAAGATTGAAGGGGTTCAAATAAAATGTTAAAAGGAAGGGCTGCACTTTAGTATCTGTCCTACACTTATTCGAATGAATATATATATTCATTCGAATAAATATCAATCGATAGGCTATATAGATTATTTCATTCGGTTAGTTAGGTTAGGTTAACCGGTACTTTCCTGTTAAAGAGAACAATTATTATTATTGATGATTTTTTTCGATATATCAATATTTTTGTTTTCTTTTACGATCCATTACAAATTGACAACTGATCATGTTTAGGCTCAAATATAGTCTATTATGTGGATTAATAAATGAAACTGTTCTAAGCTAACCTAACATAACCAACTAAAATTGCTGTAACATTTAAAAATTTTGTTTGAAAGGAAGTGGAGGATATTAAATGGAATTTTGAAATGTTGCAGCACGTTTGGTTTGTTTGTTGGGTTGGTTTGGAACAGTTTCATTTCAAAACTTTTTTTAACCATTGTTTGTTGATATTGAACAATATTTATTTATTGTAGTTGTCAGCTAATAGGTTTAAAATCGTTAATATCGATATACAGTATCGAGAAAAAATCATCGATAATAATGAATGTTCCGTTTAACAGGAAAGTATAGTAACCTAACTAACCTAACTTGAAAACAAGTTATTGAATGAAATAATCAATATATCGATTGAGTGTATGATAGATACTAAAGTTCAGCCAATGGGAGGCTAGACACTAGACACATGATTTGGACTTAACTTACCTAACCGCTCTCTCATAACCATACATCCTAAATTTCTAATAGAGATACCATGCATTTATGAACTGTAATTACAAGCATTAAGTATTTATTTTGGAAACAAGTAGTCTAGTGCAAAATAAATGTAAGGAAAATAATAGAAGGGGTTAGGACATGTTTTAGGAGTAAAATTTTGATTGTGTTAGGTAACAGGATTGTTATTACATTTGCTCATTTTAATATCGAGTAAGCTCCGGTTTGTATGGTATTTAATAAAATGTCTGTATATACTATATTAACCAATTAAATTAGTAAATATTATGTAAATCCCTTCAAAATACTTACAGCAATGACATTAACAAAAGTGGTTTTGCCTGAGCATTGTAATCCAACTAATGTCAGTTCCATTTCTTCTTTCCAAAATAAACTTTTAAACCAGTCTAAGATACGATTTATTAAGGCCAACATTGTTGTTTTGTAATTAGTAGCTTAAATATATCACAAAACTGTCACTATACTGATTATTGATTAAAATAGTCAACTCTCAAACTTTCAGATGAACTGACTGAATCACACAAACAAAAAGGCTGTAACGTTAGTCAGCTGAATGATGACATTTTGACTATCTGTCAAGTTTTGCAGGTTATCCAGCAGAACAGCGAATCCAAAATTCTATAATAGGCTTATATGTAATAAAGTAAGCATTTGATGTAAAATATTGAAATCAGACTGGTGTTTTTCTCTGAATGTAGAGTTGTTTTACAGGTCACAGGGTTAAAAATAGATAATATTACTTTAATGCATAAAATAAATATCGTATCACAAAAAGAGCTATTTAGTTATTGAATCCTCACATGAAGGTTATCCATTGTGTAGTATATATTAATACTTTTAACTGAAATTGTGACCATATATAGGTAGGTATTTTAAAACAAGTATGAATGGAGATGGGTGTAGGATAAGTGGCACTATCTTTCAGTCTTTACTGACTAAGACCGACGTTCCCATCCCAGACAGGGCTGTTAAATAGCCCATACCGTACATATATACAGCCAACGGCTTAAAGGGACCTACAGTTTAAAGTGGAATCCATGGTATTCTATAAACAAATGCTTTAGGTCAACTCTCAAATTTAGAAAACTGGTAAAAAAATAGGATTTATTGGTAAGAAAAATTAACTACCTACTAAAATTAGCTTTTATATCATGGCCATGCAAAAATTGTAAACTTTGAAGCCCAATTTCAACTTGGGTTAACCCTAGCTAAAACCATAAAACTAAGCTTGTATTGTATGTATAAGTTTATTGCTCTAAGCTTGGTTTGTTGCTGTGTGAATAAGCGAGCTCTCTTTATTTACTCACCTGCACAGCTGGAGAATGATAGACCAATTATCTATTATATGCTACATGAAACTTTGTAAACAATAAGGCTTTTTTGTTTTAGCATTTAACCCCACATATTATGAACCAAAATGTTCGTCTAGGTTTATAGAGTTGCAACTGACCTTACATTTTAGAAAAAAGTCCCTTGGGCTCTGCACCAGTGGCTTTTTATGTTGCCATGTTATCCTTACGAAGAACATATTAGTTTACATTATGATCAGCCAGCTGGATAATTCAATTGCTGTTAGTGTTAATATTTAATTTACGCCACACAACATTATTTTGACGAACTTCCCACGCAAGGATTTAGTCCAGAAAACAGCTGTTTACCGCCAGCTTGTTCAAATGGGGTTTCATTGCTTACTACTGTTCTGCAAATGAGTTTTACCGGACACCAATCACCAATCAGCTGATTCTACTGTATTTGCGTGGCAATTAGTGGTTATAAACAAAAACATAACCTCTCTCAGAGGTTATGACCACTGTTATGACTTGTGATTATTAGTCATTTAGTTGGTGGAAATAAATAAGGATTTGTACGAAATAAGTAGTATGGCGTAAACTGTCGTACGTAACTCGTCCAAAATACACATTTTGTCGTACTGTAAACTGTCGTACTGGACTCGTATGGTAATCCCGTACTCGACTTTGTCTCGCACGGGAACGACCACACTCGTCCGGCAAACACTTATTTTCAGAACTAGTAACGTAATATAGGTACTATTACTTGCCAAGGAAACGTGTGCTACAAACATTTACTGACTTGGTTGAAATGAAATATTTATTTGAAATTGGGTTGGCGTAAATATATTACAATGGAAAACAAGCGAGAAAGCCTGGACAATTTGATATAGGCCTACTAAAAAGAAAACTGAATTAACACTGTGCTGCATTTCTTGAGCAATCATTGAAAGAGCCGATTTCCAAACTATAGAAACATAGGAAAGTCATATAGAACACCACCAAGTAGAAGAAATAGAAATAATTTTTTTCCCGAAATTACTATCATTATTATGAACAACTTATCAGCTTTTGAAAAATGATAAGATCAAACTGTAGGTGCGTTTACACTTTGTAACAAAGTTTTAAAACAAAGTTACCTAACATTGTTTTGTAACTTTGTTATGTAACAATGTTTTAAGAAAATGAAAAAAAACCTATAACATCGTTTTACAACTTTGTTGTAAAACAGTCTTATAAAATAAAGTTTGATAACAAATGTTTACTATCTTTTTAAGTATTAAACAAAGTTATAAAACACGTCTCTCTTTCCAAGATGGCTTCTTCCGTGTGCCCCTGCCCCACCGCATACAGAACGGCTCATCTGACTCATATTTGCTCTTACTGGACATACATTGGAAATTATTTTATAGAAGATATTGTACACAATTCTTTTTGCAAAACAATGGTAATCTTTTAGAAAAGACTTCTTTTATAACTTCTCCTTTATTACATTTATTGATGTGTATAACTACCGGACTTCGTGCATTGTTCATATATTTTGTGTACTGGACTATTACCTTAAACTTTCGAAATAGTGTAAACATACCCATTTATCTGGTACATATCAAACAAATTATACAAAGTATATTTTATAAATTATTATTTCATACAATATTTTTGTAAAATAACTTTTATAGTGTAACTAGGCTTACAGCTGCGAAGCACGGGTACATCAGGTAGTTATTTATATCAGTGAGTGAGTGAGTGAGTGCGGCCGTCTAGCTTTATATTATTAAAAGATACCGGCAATATAAAGTTATAAAACAAATTCGGCACGCCCAAACGCCTGTAACAATGTTTTAAAACATTGTTTTATAATACCCTTTGATCTCTACCGACTATGGACGGGAAAGATGTAACATGGTTTTAAAACAAACTTTCACTGTTTTAAAACAAGGTTATATAACTTTTAAAGTCATGAAACTGCATTCCTTAAAAAGTGTTTTAAAACATTGTTATTCAAACAATGTTATATAACTTTTGTTTTAGACAAACTGCATTCCTGTGTGAAAAGTTTTATAACAATGTTATAAAACAGTGTTTTGTTACATAGTGTAAACGCGGCTTTAAATGTACATCGTGAGTATTTCCATAATCTTTGAGTCAACTCTTAAGTCATAAGAAATTATGACCATTTTTCGTTGAAAAAAAAAACCGCCTGTAATGCTTCCGATTTGCTCGAATTCAACAGGTACACTAGTTAATAAATAATGCATGTAAATAGGGGTGATGGTTATAAAGTAATGGTTAACTTCGGTCTTGCTTTCAACTTTATTTTAACACCTCAATAAACACTAAAAATAAAACACTATACAATGTTTCAATTTTCTTCTAAATGCATCTACCCATTCAATAGTACGGTACTAAACCTATTTTGTTATTACCGGTATGGCCTACAGAACTTAAGTTAGCACATTATTTCAGTACTTTAAAAACCAAAAATGTTACATTCAAACCAGAATTCAATTCGACTAATTAAAACTACTAACAAAATAAAATCGATAAAAGAATAGAATAGAATAGAAGAATAGAACAGAATAACAGAATGAATCAATCGTTAAGGTACAACTTTAATATGCACAATTGGATAGTTAGTTAAGAGAAATTAACTTAAATTTGTTTTATATCATCATATTACTTGTATCAAACACAATTTTACAAATAAAGATAAAGGTGTCTATTCAGTTTACAGTAATATTTGATGAATATTGATTGATACATTAGAAAATCATAGCACAAGCACAAAAATCATCAGAAAATATTTGACTAGAAAAAAATATATATTTGACATTCTTTGTTCCATGAATACTGAAAATAGGAAGCTTCAGTAGTAATTTGAAAAATAAGACTGTTTTTATAATGTTAAATGTATTGTAGTTTTAATATTTTCCAAACTCAACACTAATATTTAGGTACCTCCATATATGTAAATTTTAGTTGAAACCCTAAAATCATTTTTTATTATTATTTGAATATTTTCTCAGGCAATCTGATTTTCAACAATTGAGATATTTCAGAATGATTAATTTAGTATATTAACTACTTTAAATTAATTTAAAGAAATCCTTGCATTTACAGCATTTCATTATCTGGTTATACAAGGGTTTCTCATTATCTGTAATGCTTACAGTCTGTGAAGGAGTTCCATTTTATTCAGTCTTATGAACAGTCTTTAGTTACTGTCAAATAAAGCTTATAAAATATCAATTACTAACCCAATAATAATTTGCCAATTTAGACCAAACATAGATAGATATTGATTCATTAGTATAGAATCAGCTAAAGAAAGTTTCAAGGTATTTTTTTGTATCATACAGTGTAGGAAAAAGTCACTGGGTGGATAAAAATTAAAAAAAAAATAATAAAGATAGAGAGCTACAAAATTTGGAACAAAGTTACTCTGTATAAAACCATTTTAAAAACTTATTCAGTGATATGGTACCTTAAATACTTTACTTTAATAATTTATTCTGAAATGGCAACCATACTAATGTAGGTTTTTTAAGCCAAGAATGAGTGGAGATGAGTGTAGGATGAGTGGAGCGATCTTGTAGTCTTGCTAGTGACTAAGGCCGACATCTTTAGGGGGTCGGCCTGCTAGGAGTTAGCAGAAAATATTAAATGTAAGCATTGGTTGTTGATATGTACGTAAAATAAAAGGTCTTTATTTTTGTAAAATACAATACCGCAAGCCCCAACTTAAACAAAAAAACCAAGTCAAAATATGCAGCCACTCAAAAATTTCTTGAATTGCAACGGGGAACAGCCTTGCAGGATATTAGAATTTTGCCAATTAGTACTACGTGGAGTAGTAATTGCAAATTAAAGAAATCTTTGAACAGCTGCATATTTTGACCTAAACCGGTTCCCGCGAGGGTATAATTAACAGTACAGGCCTGTATTCCATCACCGAGAACCATTTTGTTAACTAAGTACGTGTCCCATTGTGTTTGTGTTTATGTGAGTTTAACAACGTCCAAGCGAACGACAATGATAACAACGTGATACTTCTTGACATGACCTACGTCACCATGACGCAACTGGCATTGAAACCATGCTTGTAGATTCAAAACAAAACTATTTTTTCTACAGTCACTTAACAATGTACATGTTCTCTCACTGATTTGAGAAAGCAAAGTGGCCAATTCGCTCATCAGTGAGACAATGTTAACATTGTCTCACTCTAATTACTTTGTCTCACTCCAGATTTGCAACGGGAAGACACGAAATAGTGAGCGCGTAACATGCAGGCAACGTCGTATGCGCGCGGAATACGTTGGCAGCACTGGCTGTAAATCAGCTGGTCAGCTGTTGTACTGTTGTATTTGTCAATTCACATTAAATGTTATATTAAAAGTTCACTTCTGTGTAAAAATAGGTTATGTTTCTTCACCAATTTATTTGTTTTATGGTAACTCTAGAAAAAATATAATGTGCAACTCGAGTTCAAAGTGCAATTGCCTCACTCGAGAAACCATTCCTCACTCGCCTACGGCTCGTGAGTAAGGATTTCTCTCGAGTGAGTCAATTGCTCACTTTTCTCACTAGTTGCACAAATAACTATTAAGCTAAGACGAAAATAAAAGGTAATTAAACCACCATAAATATTTTTCTTACCAGCTTAGGGGAAAACCACAACAATGTCAAAAATGGCAGCCAATCCTTTTTTTTAATCTGCCATTTTGAATCTTTGAATGGTATACATTTATGATTTTATTCTGAATTCTAGCCCCCCTGAGGAGGTAGCGTTTATAGCATTGGTCTCAAACCTACGGCCTGCAAACTGATTTTATCCGGCCCGCGAACTGATTAATGCCCAGTAACTTTGAGCCAAGTTTTATAGCTCTATCTTTATATTAAATATTCAACTGTCCCAGAAGTTTTTTTTCATCCTGTATATGTTACATACTTTTGTCATTGTCAAAAACTGAAATAATATATGACTAGTTTCAGAACATTATTGCTCCATTTTCAAATAGAATAAGATAAAAAAAAAATAATTAAATAATGTTCTGAAACAAATAATTTATTATACATAGCTAATCGACAAGGTCAACAGGTGTTACCATAAATTATTATCCAGCATTAAGCCTGTTTTTACGAACTATATAGTAACCAGACATGAAAACGTACTTCAGATTTTACAACAGACGAGAAGTCTATTTGCAACATTAAAAGTTAATGGTAATTATTTTCTACATGCTAAAAGTGTTTATTTTACATGTCCTATTTCGACTTTTAATATCAACCAATATAAGCAAGCAGCTATATTTGTGAACAGATGGACATGAAATAGTAGTTTACGCAACGACTGCGTAAAGATAGAGTTAACAACTTGAGTAGAAAATTTAAGGTATGAGCCTTGGCGAGTGCTTTAAAACTTTCTACGAGTGTCGTTAACACTATTTACGAGAGTTGCGTACACTACTTTACCTACGACAGTTATTTAATTACTAAAAATCACTACTCATAACTTCTAAGAGAGGTTATGTTTTCGTTTATAACCCCTCATTGCCACTGACAGTGATGCAATGAAACATTGTACTAAAATTCAATTGGCCTGAACAGCTGATTAGTTGAAGTTAGAACAATTAAAATTTTACTTCTACTCTCTCACTCCTTGAACCTCATTGGTCTGTTACCCGAGTTTTGAGTAAAACTAAGCTGTTATGAAAGTAAATAATGCTGTTATGAGAAACTCTTCAATTCTCAGAACTGAACTAAAAAGGCTACTTTAAAAACTAAATATATTTGAATGTACAGTATAATAAATGAATGAGACAAAACTTGCATTGATCCATCTGGTATTAATTTTAATCTGGATATTTAACTATGAGGTTGTATTTTGTGGATGTGAATATTTATAGTTTTCACTTTTCAGTTTCAGTAGGTTATACCATAAAGTTATCTGTAGCTCAAGTTAATATTACAGAATATTTCAGTTGTTTGAATAACATATGTTTTTAAATGTTATTGTTTACTTTAGGTACTATGTTACTTTGATTTGATTAATATAAAAACAAATATCTGAGTATTTTAAACCTTGTTATTGTTAACACACTCAACTTACTCTCATTTTATACTTGTGAGCAAACAACTAACTATTATTTAACTAGACAAAAATCCCTCCCTAAAATTAAATGTTAGTATGGCAATCAGACTAAAGCATAAAACATTTCACATGTTTATGGAATGTTACTAATTACACCTGCATCATATGTTAGACATGTGGAAAGCTGAGTTAAATGCACCGGTTCACATCACAAGTTACACATTATGGTCAAATAGTTTCTAACAAAATAAAGATAAAAGATATTCTCTGACAACAGCTAAGGCACATCAGAAGGCTAATCTGTACTTGACTATCGTTTGATCTGAAACAAATAGAAACAAACCATCATGATTCAGTGTTATTATTGTCAATATATGCATTTATTGTTTGAAAATTATCAATCATTAAGATGGGGACGCCACTTAGGTGCGTATTTTAACCCAAATATGAGTGAAGGATGAGTGTAGAATGGAGTGAGATGATCTGTGTAGCTTTGTTACTGACTAAGATCAGCTGTTTCATTAGCCAGGATCATTTATTTAAAGCCCAATGATCAGGAACAGCTGGGTCCAGTTTCGAACCATCAAAAAGCTACTGACTTTTCTCAGGATCGAACCGGCGACCTTTTGATTAGTAGGCGAGCACTATAACCACTCAGCTACCCAGCCAGTTAAGGGAATTATTAAAAAGGGAAACACATACGATTCGCAAAAGTATGAAATCTGTATAAGGACTGATATTTCCATCTGAAGGCACAAAATATCAATCTTAGATCCAAAGATTCTTTAATATGAATTTAATTATAAGATTTTAGTAATAATTCTTCAATCTTTAAGAAAAAATACATCATTATTATTTTTGCCAATCTAAAACTACATAGTTCTTGAATGCCAAATTGGTTATAAAAATTGGTAAATCCAAAATGTTTACACATAATGTGTTAAAAAATAACTTGTTTATTTATGTACCGAGAATCTTTTTATACAATACACTCACCTAAAGCCTAAAGATTGGCTAAGGCAGGGAGCAGCTCACAGTAGATTTTGATGCCTTGTAAGAATACCTTTTCATTTAGGAATTCATCATGGTCATGGAGCAGAACTGGAGTGTTGTTCATTGGAGAAAACCCAAATGCTGGAATACCAACCTGGAAAGTTAATAGGCCTACTTAAAACATATAAAAATCATTATCATAATATTTTTTTGCAGGAGTACAAAATCATTGATTTGGCCAGCCCTAAATTGACAGATGTATTAAAGCAATAATCTTCAGAGGCACAATTTAACAAAATTTAATTTAAAATTCAAAGTACAGTAATATGCTGAACAGTTCCAGGCTAGTACCCTAAGGGAGTTCATTTTTTTCCGTTCACCTGGATAAATTTAATCATGTTTAAATCATTCCTGAGAATTTAAATTATTGACAGTTTATAGACTTTACAGATATAAAACCATATTGCATGTTGGACCATGAGTCAGAATTACAAAAACAGCAATACATAGCCTACACATAATTACAACACAAGAAACAAACAAAACTTCGGCTTCAGCAAATCCCACACTTCATACATAAAAAAATACTCACTTCTAAAAAAAAAAATTTAAATGATAAATATATTTTACAAAAACTAGCTCGTTAAAATTTCAGGAGATTTTCCATGCATATGGTAATTTAAGCTGATTAGGCTGACCCAATTAACAAAACTAAAATATTTACCTGTCTAATGTAACGGCTATCCGTGCCTCCAGGAAAAATATTGCACTTCAATTTCAGCCCTCTGAAATAAATATGAAGTTCTTTTAGTATTTGATAGCATTCGAGTGTAGGTTTGTACATTGATGGCTGAATTTTTGTGTTGCGAAAATAAAGAAGTAGGTGTAAACAACATTTTGTTTACATGTAACAGAAAAAAACAAACCAATATGATACAACTGTAACAACTCTTAACTACTTTAGAAAAACTATATGGAGAGTAAATGAAAATACGTCTAACAGTTGAAACATATATCTACACTTATACTACTATTTTAAACAGGTCGGTAAATATTTACCGTCGTGTTTAAAACACTATAAGAGTAAATATATGTTTAATATATAAATACCCCCGCCGCAGCAAACCTGCAGACTAAGCGAATTTAAATTTGACTGATTTGATTTACACTGAAATGTCTAACTTACTTACAAATATAACATTTATTCCGATTTAAATAGAATTAGTTTAACAAGTACTTAGGTTTGCTGCATCAGGGAGGGTAAAACTGTTTTTTTTTTTTGTAAAATGTTAATAGTTAGTAAGAAATAAAAACATTTTCCAAATTTGATCAAAATATGTTCATAAACAAGCAAACTACAACAGTTTACTTATTCTCCATAAGAATAACATGGGAATTTTAAATTTACAATTTTTTGGAATTTTCTCCGTAACCATTAGGCGCATAACAACGCTTCAATATACTAAATTATTTGTTTTTTTAAGCTCTACAAAATGGTTTGGAAAGAAATTGCTAAATTTTATGTTTTTTTGGTCAAAAATGGGAAAATCCTATTTTTACCCCATAAAACCCCCCGTAAACCCCCGTTTCCATGGTCCGACCATGCTGGATTGCGAACTCGTTCGAATAAACGTAGGTTTACACGTTTATACCAAATTTCATCAAAATCGGATCATTTTTGCTCGAGTTATCGTGCTGACGGACATATATATATATATATATATATATATATATATGAATTTGAACGGATGGTGTTTTTGGCCTCTAGGGACCTCAAAACGAAAAAAAAATCGGTCCCGCGTTTAGGTCTTACCATGAGTACTACGGTAATAGCTTATTCCCTTTATAAGAAATTCGCTAAAAAAAGTACTAGCCGACCCGTGCAAAGCAGTCACACTGAGTCCTTCTCAAATCTCACCTGTTGAAGTATACAACATACAGTTAATACTGCGTAGTAAGTGCATCGTTGATTTAGGTATGGGTCCCTACTTCAGAATAGATGTGGGTTTAGATTTTAGATAACTAACCTTATCCAAATATAATATTAAGTTATTTACGTTTTTAAATGTTTACATGACCTCTTTGAACGCCATGTTTGAAGTGGCTTAAAATACCCACTTTGTATGGCCACCATTTCAATGAAAAGTATTAAAGTATTAATAATACAAGAGGTTCTACCCGCAAATTCACGGGTGTACAGAAGCCACCATTAAATTAATTTAATCAACTTTGACTTTATATTTCATTTAAAGGGCCCAAGTCGGAGAAATGGTCATCTGAAAGGATGTTAAAGCAGTCGAACCTTCATATCTTACGTCCTACAGTGGCCGAGGTGGGTACGGTTGTACCTGAACTCGCCGCTCTCTTTCACAACGTCTTTAATACTTTTCAATGAAATTGCAACCTGTTAAAGATCGATGACAACCTCTTGGAACGAACAACATACATGGTTTTTAATCTCATATTCATCGTGTTTCGAACACCTTTAATCACTCACTTGTATCAAACAGCTAGAAATAGCTCCACCTCTTTTAAGAACATAACAGTAAATAATAAAATAAGTAAACAAAAATGTAAACAAACAAACTATATTGTCAATTGCATTGGCCAGCTGTTGTTCACTAAATTAATCGAGTAACGTTAACTTCCAAAACATGCAAGGCGTAGCCCTTTGGAAATTAGCCTATGGGGCAGAGTCCTTTAGGGAGTTCGTCCATATCAATACTTTTCGGCAAATCTACAAACTCTAAGCTTCATTTTGATATGCCATATGCCTATATTTTTATTTGGTAAATGGCCTTTACATAAAATTTGATTGTATCACTTTAATAATATAATAGATGGTCATATACAGTTTTTGTGTTGATGGCTTTGTTTTTATACAGACTTAGTTGTAACTGAAAAAGCGCACCCTTGACAAATCCACAATCAACTGAATGTGTTAAAAAAACGGGATTTGGCACGTACAATCCTTCCTTCGTCCATGTGCCTTTTGTTTTAAGTAATGGCAAAGGTAACTTTTAAAGGAAATTCCTTCTTAGTCAGTTTGAAAGGATTACGGACTATTGTGTAGTATGACAGTTTGACCGGAGTCAGCCAACTTCGCTTTGATAGTGTAGGTGTCCAAGAGGACAACCAATCTTGGACCCTGCTTAGGTTTCTCATAAAGAAGATAATAGGGTTATTTTTAGCATGGGTTTAAGAGGTGACGGACCTAAAAAGCTTAATGAGTTCAAAAACTGGAATGTTCCACGTTCCTTGGCAAAGAACCGAATCAAAACTGCTATAAAGTGTTTCCTGTCGGTAACAAATTCTACACAGCATAACCATTCATTGAAACCTGTAGTAAAACAAAGAAAAGAGGTGATGTTTGAAGATGAAATACTTAAATATACACTGAATGATTGGTAGGTATGTCAAAATGAAGGCTATGTCGTAAATTAAAATTATAAAAGCTAAAGAATCAACGCAGTACTTACTTTTGAGTTGTTTTTGTTTAGACTTCTTTAAAGTGAATAATCTGACTTCATCTCCAGGGTTATTTATCATAGATAGCTACGTCATGGATGAAGTAAAACAAATCACTTGGATTTGAGAAATAAATATTTGTTTGTTTTGATTAATTTAATTCACATGTTTCAGCTGATCGAATAACGTAGATATCCATTTCAAGTCTAAACACTTGCAGAATGAATAGATAGTTTTTACAAAAAACTACTGAAAATTGAGTGATTTGTATATTTTTCCGCTGTAGTGGGTAAAAAAAGCTTTAAAATGACACCTCATTCATGGAAATTGGTGAAGAATTAAGGAAGTTATGGCCTACCAACAATAAAAAGTACTTTAGAAATCATAATATATAGGATAAAGTATAAATATATATTTCAAGTGTTATTAGACGTATTTTCATTTACTCTCCGTAAAACTATAATAGGCCCTAACACATATTATGCTCCCTTTGTTAAGTACGTTGTTAATGTAAAGTTATATTCAAGGTGTTACATGACAAGATGATAAATATCAGTTTTTCTGATTGTGGAAATTCTGAAGGGTTATCACAATATCCTGTTTTTTTGGGGAACTACTTTTGTTGAGTACACATGAACAAATCGATTTGTATGGTTGTAAAAGCTATTACATTTTGTTACATTTTGGTGTTATACAATTTAGTTCACACTACAAACTTACATGTTGTCACAAGCAGACTTAAAAAAACCCCACCAAGGGTTGTTGTTGTCAATAGTTGTTATTTCATTTGGGGGCATTTTTCGGTGGAACTCAACAAAAACCCCTGGTCCTGCTAAAGAGCACACTTCCTAATCACACAAAAAAACATTGTTCTTTTAACAGCTTATCCTTATATTTGGTCGTCAGTTTTGTTGCACCAAAGCATTAGTAGCCTACTTGTGTGTTTATATTATTATAAGTAATTTTAATGTGTGATTGTTACTAGTTAACCATTATTATTAATTCAGCATTGTTAAAAAATACCCAGTTACATGTTGGTAAGAACCTCAAATGTCTGTAGTTTTTCCCAGGTGTACATTTGATGACCTAGGGTTTAGATAAATGGATACACATTCACCAAATAGATACTACAACAATAAAACACCTGTTGCCCTATTTATGAAATGGTTGAGAGTCGAGTCAATCGTCAACACTCAAATCAACCAACAACAGGATTTGGTATTTTTGAAATTCAACAGTTGAGAAGTGAGTTGATAGTCACTAGTTGTGTTACTTGTTTGGAAATGAAAGTGGAAACACCGCACAAAATACAGATGATGTCATTTTGGACCAATCGCAGTGCAGAGTGTAGCTAACGAGCTAACCTCTGGCTCTTCATTCTGGATCATTTTCTAAGCTACTCTGCCAAATTTGAGAAACTGAGGTAAACTGCCAGCTCCATCCGAAGATATTGAAGTTAATGTCTTAATCTTACTGATTGCAAAGTGCCTTCTTGAAGTATTCAAAATGAAATTAACTATGGAGGCTTGTTTTAGGCTATACCTATTTGCACATATACCCGAATAATAGATTATTTTCATATTGATGTTCTTTAGTCCAGGACCACTTCTTGAATGTAGTTTTATAATAAAGTGAATATTGTAACAGTCATCAGTTTTATTTAGCAACCAAACAAATAGTTTTTCTTTACAATCCTTTTTCTAGAAGAGAGTTTCAAAAATGTAGTTTGGAAGATAAACGCAATTACAAAATCTATCACACATCCAAAGACTCAGATATACTGGGGGATTAAAAAAAATCACAGATTACGTTGACCCAGATACATTTTAAGGGAAGAAAAGAGCTCTTTAGTGTAAGCTCTTTTGAGAAATGTCCCAAATGACAGAAGACCAGCTAGGAGGTCAGGTCTGCTGGGTTATGAGGAAGCTGTAGGCTGAACCTACTGGGGAGGCTGTATTGATGAGGCCAAGTACTGAATGGGTACGAGTGGTCACTTCAGTGAGTTAATTAAGCAAATTAGAAGAGTCAAGAAGTAAAAAAAACCTAATGCAAAGAATGTGGCTGAATGATGAGAAACCGGGTTTGCTGATGAAATTAACCTCAACCCTGTCAAACATTTGAATTCATTAATCTAGCTTGTAATTTAAAATATACAATAACTTAACACGAAAGTATGAAATAATAAAGTAAATGTTACTAATTGTTAGGATATCTAAAAACTAAGCCAGCGATGTGCTGAAGTAGTAAATAATTTCCTACAGACCTTAAAGTGTGAGTGTACTTTCCCTTACACCAAAAGCTAATATTCGAAACGCATTGGCATGACACTTACATATTAAGAGCTGCTGTTTTGAAACTCTTCCACCATGGGTTGGTTTGGTCCAAAGTCTGCGGAGGAGCTAAAGGCTCTCGAACATCTATATCAGCCCAGGTCCCTGGACCAGCTGACTTACATACATCCTGTCACACATACCTCGCTAGCTTAGCTTCTCAGAAGGATAAGTTTTTGGTCTAAATAATTTTGAAGGGAATGGACAATGGACTCATATCTCTAACAATGAACTTCAAATACTGTAGTGAATATAGCAAACAATGAAAAACATCTTGAACCTATATGTAACAAACAAAGAACCTACCCATGCTATTTCATATACACGAGGTCTGTTCAAAAGTGTCTTTACTCTAAAGAGAAGAATTTTTTTCACTGGTCCATTGCCTATGGTCAACGCCCAACAGTCAAGATGTGGTGCAACAGCAGATGACATAACGACTCGGGCCCATGTGATTATTATCAATATTATCAATCATTGAGATGGGGACGCCACCTAGGTGTGTATTTTAACCCAAATATGAGTGAAGGATGAGTGTGGAATGGTGTGAGATGATCTGTGTAGCTTTGTTACTGGCTGAGGAACGTATGAAGCAGAGCCAAGTGTAAACAAACAAGATGCAAACCCACAACATGCCTTATCCTTAGTCGATTGCGCTACAGACTGAGCCAAAAACTAACCTACCCAAATATTAAAAGCTGGGAATATAATAATATACAAAACACTTACAAACTCACTAACCACTAGAGATTAGTCGAGCATTGTTACAAAATATTAAATTCTGAGACTAAATTTATTCAAAAGAATATGTATTCAATTGAGAATTTGCATGATCAGTGATCAGTATTAGGTTAGTTGTTCCCATTTCCAAAAACAGATAAAGCAAACAATTGCCAGCACTCACAATTTGTCAGCTTTAGATTTGAAAGACGTCCACCAAGGGTTTGTACTATCGAGTGTAGTTGTCTTGATTAAGTCTTGCTTGATCTCGTACTCAACTGATATGCCATCGCCAGCAGCTTTACAGACTTCCTGAAATCCAGTCAAGGGGTCCCATTCCCATGTGACAACAAAAACAAACCAACACAAAACAGAAAACACCAGTCACACACACATGCAATCAAGATTCCAAGGATATATGTAACACATTTGCTGGGATTGTTGTGACGTGGGAGTACATGAGGCCATCACTTATTAGAAGAAGTACTGTATAAATAGCCCCGCCGCAGCAAACCTGTAGACTAAGCAAATTTCCATTTGCCTGATTGGATTTACACTAAAATATGCCCTTCAACATGTTTACTCCCTATTTAAATAGCATTAGTTTAACAAGTATTTACTTACGTTTGCTGCAACAGGGAGAGTAAAAAAGTGTTTTTTGTAAAATGTTAATAGTTTAGTATGAAATAAATGCATCCTCCAAATTTGATCAAAGTATGTTCATAAACAAGCAAACTAAAACAGTTTACACTTATTCTCCACTAGAGTAACATGGGAATTTTAAATTTACAACTTTTTTGGAATTTTCTCCGTAACTATTAGGCGCATAACAACGCTTCAATATACTAAATTAGGCCTATTTGTTTTTTGAGGTCTACAAAATGGTTTGGAAAAAATTGCAAAATTTTATGTTTTTAGGATCAAAAATAGGAAAAACCAATTTTTACCCCATAAACCCCCGTTTCCATAGTCTGATCATGATGGTTCACAAACTTGTTCGAATAAAATGTAGGTTTACATGTTTGTACCACATTTCATCAAAATTGTATCATTTTTGCTCGAGTTATCGTGCTAACGGACACATATACATCTCTAAATATATATATATATATGAATTTGGATGGATGGTGTTTTTGGCCTCTAGGGACCTCAAAACAAAAAAGTAAATTGGTCCTGGGTCCAGGTCTTACCATGAGTACTACGGTAATAGCTTATTCCCTATATGGGAAATTCGCTAAAAAGCAACAACATTTGATTGAAGTATTAAATGCAGAGCCAGGATACAGCTCATGGGAATAATTTATAAGATCATGGGAGCAGATTAACGGCAACTAATTTTACAATCCTATTATGCAAGAGATAAAAAATGTATTTATTAATGATATCAATTAATTAAGCCTGCAACTTAGATTTATGTATATTTTAACTGAAGATGAATGTGTGGTGAACGTACAATAGAGTGAGATGACATCTGTAGATTTTACCTTTGTTACTGAATCTTTAGCCAGAGTTTACTTAAAACTTAATGATCAAGAACATCTTGATTCCGTTATGAACTATCAAAAAGGTGAAGATGAGTTGATTTGTTTATTGCGGATATTTTCCATCACAATGGTAAAATACAATACACAACGTTTTGGGATCTGAAAAAAAAACTTAACCAACACATTACAGCTAACGATATACAAAACAAAACCCAACCTAAGATGGAATAAACTACAGAGAGTAAGGTAGCAGTCTTTGTCTAGCATATGCACTGTGTAGAAGTCAAAAGTCATGATACAAAATGCAAAATATAAACAATCACAAAACAAAAAAAATCTATGTATGAAGAGAATAAATTAGATATAAATAGCTCACAACACTGGAACACTATATCGTACATCGCTCCGCCATTTTATATTTTTTTTATAAATAAATACGTATTGTCTTGACAACAGACATTGTATCTTGGTATTGTATGTTGGTTTTACTTTTTTTTCTTTTTTTTTTTTGCTCTACGCCAGTGGCATTTTTGTAATCAAGTCAAACACTTTTAAGGGAAAGCGGTCCAAACCCATTAAAGCTTTTTTGGATGTGCCGGGGATTGAACCTGCCTCTCCCGCACAACTTTTTCATGGATGTCACTTTCGGATCGGTTGACTATGAGGCTTCAGTCTCATTGGTGGCACCATTGCGAGCTGTGCAATTAGTGTTCCAGTTTTGTGAGCTATTTACCCTATATATCTTATTTTTTCTTTTTTAATTTTTTCTTTTTCTGTCCTAAATATTGATTTTTTCCTGTTGGTTATATTTTTAATTTTTTATCATTGCTTGACTGCTATACAGTGCATACTTGACTGCAACTCTCTGTAGTTTATTCCAACTTAGGTTGTATTGTTAGCTGTAATGTGTTAGGTAAGTTTTTTCACTTGAGTACAGGATCAGATTTTGAAACTTTGTGTATTGTATTTTTATTTTACCATTGTGATGGAAAATGTCTGTTATAAACCTTTAAACAATATCAAATAGGTTTTTTTTAAGGATAGTTGTTATATAATATTTAACCATAACCAAGATAAACTGCTAACACATAAATTGTCTAAGAGCTAAGCTTTGCAAGCACCCTACAGGGCATCCCCAGACCACTGGCAAAGCCAGTGGCGGATTTACCATAAGGCACACTAGGCACGTGCCTAGGGGCGCCAGCCGTTGAGGGGCGCCCGCCGTTGAAGGGCGCATGGCCGCGGCAGGCGGCGGGTAAGTGACGGGCGGCGTGCGTGGCGGCGGGCGCCAGGTGATTATCGATCGGTGAAGATGACTCACGTTCATGTCCCGACGTGCAGATGCAGACATAATATATAGACTGCGAGTAGCAGTAGCAAGCACTATACTAGCGTCTAGCTAGATACTCAGAGCAACGAGTCGGCTCACTGGAGCAACAGTCGTGGTGAGGAGCTGGGAGGAACGATGACTTAATTCAAACCTTCACAGTGGGTAGCGCCATTGTGGAAGTAAATATTTACTTCCACCATGGGTAGCGCTCTTAGCGGGAACGATGACATCATCACTTACTTCCAGCTTTACGCTTTACTGATTTCTCTATCAGTCTAAAATAATTTATTGGTATCTTCTATGATTTAATTACATTTATGGATTTAAACTTTATTTTCTGAAGTAGGTATGAGCTCATCATGGTCATAGGATAGCTGTAATCTGTATGTTATAAAAGGTGATGTGACACTAAACTTGGCTCTCGGTTGGTAAACCAGTTGGCCTACAGATATCATAGAATTCATTACAACATTTATCTTGGACTTATTTACCACACAATTTGAGCAGTTCCAGATTTCATGAATCTATTTTGATTATCTAATCTTAAATCATTTTGAATCAACAGCTTGTGCATAAGCCAGAGAATAAACCTGTGAAGGGTTTATCATGAGTTCTTCAACCTAATAACTTCAATTACTAAAAATATGTTAATCGTAAGATAAATCTGAGAATTTAGACGCTAGTAATTATTCAAAAATAGGCTACCAATAAGTTATTTTACAGCTATAGATAGATAGATTTACAACAACATATAATAATTATGTTGTTATTTATATAATTACGATTCCATATTATAAGATGACATAAACAATCATTCTTCGAACAACTTTAATCCTTTCAGTTTAACGTTTATTCCAACCAATCGCTAAAAATCTATTTGCCATTTTCATTTGGTTTACCAAATTCGGAATTCGGACTCGCTACAGGGCTAGCAGACAGCTAACCGCTATCCATGGTGAAAATTTGAATTAAGTAATGACGTCATCGTTTCAATGACGCCAATTCAAATATATATATGTATTGATAATTTCATAGAAATTATAAGAAAAACCAAAACAAAACCAATTTAAGCTGAATATATTTGAATTGGATTTTAGTCAAGAACGGCAATGCGTTCGGCGATTAATTTAGGCTATTCATACAATACAATACAATACAATACAAATCATCTTTATTCATCAAGTATTTTACAGCAAATACATGAATTGCGTCACAGAAAGGAAAAGATAAGCAAAAAATTAGGTATACAAGTATCCTAAATAATAGATTACAAACATAAATCATAACATAACATATTTCTAATCATTTAAATTCCAAAACTCTTCAATTGAATATAATGATTTAGATTGCAAATAGTTTTTCAGTAGTTTTTTAAAGCTACTGTAATTATGTTCATTGAAAATATTTTTGGGTAGGCTAAATAAAAATTTTTTGCCAATGAAACTGGTTTTTTTCTCAAATAACTTCAATCTGTGTTGTTCTACATGCCTGGTGTTTCGTAAATTGTAACTGTGGAAATTTTTAGTTTGATAATCTGAACTTTTTACATGTAGAATAGTTTCAAAAATGTATAAATCATAGATGGTCATTATACCCAATTTAGAAAAATATTTTTTAACTGATTCTCTGTTTTTTATACTAAAGATAATTCTAAGAGCTTTTTCCTGTTGACGTAGAATTTTGTCTAGGTTTTTTTTTGTGGTACCACCATATAAAGCTATTCCATAAGCTATATGTGAATTTATCAAAGCAAAATAAATAGTTTTAAGAGTTTCAATGCTTGAGACACGGGACATTTGTCGCAAAGCATAAATACCAGCTGTAGATTTTTTTACCACATGTTTCACATGCTCATCCCAGGTTTAAATGCTGGTCTAATATTAGACCAAGAAATTTAGTGTGCTCCACTTGATTTAATTTTGAACCATTAAGATATATATCTGGTTGTAATTTTAATCTTGATTGCCTTGTGGAGAAAGATAAAATATTAGATTTATTTGAATTTATTAGTAGATTTTTGTTATTTGTGAATTCATTTACTGACAACAAATTTAAAAAAGACTTTAGTTCCACTTCTTCTTGAGATTTACCTGTAATTGTTATGTTTGTATCATCTGCATACAGACATACAGATCCTCCAGCATTTACAACTCCTGGAAACCCCCTTATGTAGCAAAGAAACAACAAGGGACCCAGTATAGATCCCTGTGGGACACCATACTTAACTGTTTTAAAGTTGGACAAGACATTTTGGGTGTATGCATATTTGCAATTTGGATAGTATGAGGTATGTCGAATTTGAACACATTGTTTCCGATTGTTTAAATATGATCTGAACCAATTATATTCTTTATTATTTATGTTTAGGCCATGAAGAATTTCAAGTAATTTATCATGTGAGACACTATCAAAAGCTTTAGAAAAATCCAAAAATATTCCAACAACTTTTTCATTGTTGTTAATTGAGTTGATAACTGATTCAATGAAGTTAATGCTAGCAGTGGTTGTGGATCTTCCTGGTCGAAAACCATATTGCTCTTGATCCAGCAACTGGTTTGATTCCAAAAAATCCAACAACTGGTTGTATACAACTTTTTCAAGGATTTTTGAAAAAACTGGTAGCAATGATATTGGTCTGTAACTAGAAGGATCATTGGCATCCCCCTTTTTAAAGACCGGTATTATTTTAGCAATTTTTAGTTTAGAAGGAAAGATACCGCTAATTAAAGATGAATTAATAATGTGTGTTAATGGTCTTGAAATAATTGGGAAAACACGCTTAACAAGGGTAATTGGAATATCATCTACTCCTGTTGAAAATTTATTTTTGAGTAATTTAACTATCTTTTCAATATCTTTTTCATTGACTTCTTTAAATTTGAAACTACTCTTAGGCTTTTGTAAATTTATTAAGTTTGATTGTGAAGTTGTATTTATGTTAATATTAGGAAGAACTTGATCTTCCACAAGGTTTGTGAAGAAATCATTAAATATGTTTCCTACACATGTGGGGTCCGATTCACACTTGCCATTTAATACTACTTTAATGTTTTTTTCTTGTTTTGTTTTGTTGTTAATCTCAGAATTGACAATTTTCCATGTTGATTTAGACTTGTTGGTTGAATCAGATATTTTTCTGTCAAAATATTGCTTTTTCTCGTTTAATATTTGGAATTTCAGTTCTTTTTTTAACTGTTTGACTCTATGTTTTAGGGAATCCGTTTTTAGATTTCTGTATTGCTTTTCCAAATCCGCTATATATCCTTTTTTATGTTTTATATCATAGGAAATCCAAGCATTTTTATTTTTATTAATTTTTTCAGCCCTTAATAATTTAGGAAAAGTTGTTTCAAATGCATAAGAAAACACAGAATGAAAGGCATCATATTTAGCATCTACTGGGGCTTGGTACACCTCCAACCAGTTTTCATTGGCTAACAAAGTTAAAAATATATCCACATTAGTGTCTGAGTAACACCTCCTATTAACTTTATTTACACATTTGGGTTTATCATTTACACCTAGAATTTCAAACATCTGTCCATCATGATCTGAAATACATGTTATAATACCAGATATATTTGTTTTTTTATCAGTTATATTTGTAATAATGTTGTCAATGGCAGTTTCTGACTCTGACGCCACTCTAGTAGGGAAATCAACTTTATATTTCAAGTTATATGATCTTAAAACATTAGTAAAAGCAGAATAAATTTTATCTTTTTTTAATACATTGATATTAAAATCGCCTACAATAACAATATTCTTAAATTTACTAGTTAAAATACTACACATAGAATCAAGCTTATCCAGAAAACTTTCGGTCAAGCATTGTATTGGGGATCTATAAATACAAACCAGTACAAATGTAAAGTTAGTAACATTTATCTCAGATAAACAACATTCAAACTCCTTTTCCATGACGAGGTTTTGAATAGCAGGAATTTTAAGATGTTTACTTTTAATGTTTATAATATCATTTCTAACTAGTATTAAGACCCCCCCTCCTAGGGAACAATTTCTTGTAAAAGAGGAGCATCTTTTGTATCCCTCGATATTTAGAGAGAGAATTTCGGACTGATTCATTTTATGCTCAGATAAGGCTATTATATCTGGCTTTAATTCTTCCAAGTTAATTTTTAAGATATTTAAACGTGATGACAGATGTTGTACGTTTTGGTGAAATATTTTTAGATTAGGAGGTTGAATGTTATTTGGGGGTTGTAAATTATGGAGATCTAATTGAGCCTGAGAATGTTTTGATTTAGATTTAGTTTGACAATTTTGTAGTTGCAATTCTTTTTGAGAATTTTCCAATTGGGTTTTGGTTGAAGAATGTGAAATGTAACTATTGATTTTCTTTTTCTCACTATTTATATGGGTAAAGTAATTTTTTAATGCTGAACTAATTTCATTGTCATAATAATCTAGTTTAACAGTATTATATGAACATTTAACAGTCTGTATGAATATCCTCATATTCATATTTATTCTTGTCTGAACAACAAAATATATGTTTTTCTTAAAACCTATTAATACAACTTTAATATAAAGTAGGCCCTACTCATATAGTGACTATGTTTTTCCTGGAAAATGCATTAGTAAGCATGCCAACAACGGGAAGTTTAATATTGCTTTTACGCTGAAACCTTTCCTCAATCGCGGAACACAAAGGGGCGGCCGGCCGAACGGGCCTAGGGGCGGCACCATAGGTAAATCCGCCACTGGGCAAAGCCACAGCAAATGTGTTAGTTTATTAAACTAAAACTAATAATACAAAGAAACGACTCTTTGACTGTCAAAAAATAAAGTTTATGACAAAGATGGAAAGTCTTAAACACAGCATTTATACTTTTTTATACTTTTATACTTTCTTATGAAATGGCGACCATACTATGTAGGTATTTTAAGCCAAGTATGAATGGAGATGAGTGTAGGATGAGTGGCGCGATCTTGTAGTCTTGTTAGTGACTAAGGCCGACATTCCTTAGACACAGCTGTTAATTAATAGCCCAAACAGCTAATGGCAACTAAGGGACCTACAGTTTATAGTGGAATCCGAACCACATTTTTTCCTTGGTATATACGAATTGGTCTAATTATCAGGATAGTACTGCGGATAGTAGTAGTACTCACTAGTGCGGACGTTAATCCACACCAGGGAGTATCCCATCCACAGTGCATGCCTATAAATATCCACAATCCGTGACCTCCAAGTAGCTGGATTACAGGACGACGCCACCCGTCCCAGTCAAGGATATACCTTTTTGTTTTATTTCTCTTGTTTCAGGTTTTCTCTAGGTAAAATCCAAAAGCCACTAGGTAGAATAGGCCTTAGGTGTAAATTATACAGGGTTATATGTTTGATCTTAATGGAAAGAATCTAAAACATTAAACCTGATCTAATATTGCCCATATGTTTATCCGTTTTCATCTCTTAAACACACTTTACCTTGACAAGTGATACTTACATTAATCCAATTTTCAAACTCTTGATGGTCCGTTTCAACACTCAATCTGCAGTCAAATGCTACAGTAAGTTCCGGTGGAACAACATTGGTTTGTACTCCACCCTGGAAAACATTTAAAATATTTAAATTTTTATATAAAGTGTTTAGGCCTAACTTATCAGTTTAGTTTATACATGCTTAAGGTAAGTTTTTGTAATTTTTAAATACAAGAAAGGGTTTTATGTTATAAAAATACAAATAACACTCAAAAACAAAAAAAAAATCTCTAAATTTGTACTTATGACTACCTAACCAAAACCTCTTTTGTTGTACATAATACGACTATACCTTGAGACTAGTCAGATTGATCGTTGTGACATCTCCGATTGTCAGTTCCGGATTATCCTTCAACTTCTTCTTCTCCACAGCTCTGCGAGCCAAGAACTTGTCAATGACGACGGCCAGTTTCTCTCCAGCTGTGTCATCATGCAGCAGAGACCCATGTCCAGGAGTTCCAGTGCAGTGGATCCACACATCTGTGATAAATACAAAATCATACAGTAAAGGCCCTGTCACACATGGCGAGTTTACTCGCCGCTACTTTAGTCGCCACTAGTACTCGCAGGCTTGCAAAACACTTAACAGTAAGGCCCCCAATCATATTTTAAAATAATGAGGATAACCGTTCCAAAATTTGATGATTTGTTGGATATGGTATTACCACTGATATAGAAAAAATATACGTTTTGGAGGAAGGCAATTTCATGCAGAAAAAAATTAAAATAGCTTAAAGATACATGGCTAGTGGGGACAACGTCGAATTCAAGGTCCGCCACTAGCGACTACTCGCTCCAAAAGTTGAACATGTCCGACTTTCCTAGCGAGTGCTAGTCACCGCTACTTACTATGTCACACATACCGATTATTAGTCGCGGCGAGTAAACTTGCCATGTGTGACAGGGCCTTAAACCTGAGTTATTATCTACTTATATATAAGTCAGTTTTACAAATCTTTGTACAACTAAATCTAGAGTTCTACTGGACTGATTTTATTAATTAATGGGTCGTTGGAAAGCTAAATTTGTGTAGATGTGCCAATAATTATGAAAGTTTTTTTTTTTGTAATGAACTGTGGTGAAAAAAACATGTTTTCCATCAGAAATACATTGAAACGGTGTTTTTCACACTTTTTATTTGGATGAGACTTTTGGCTGCCTTTTTTAGTATTTTCGCAAAGATGAAGTGAAATTTCAAGTGGAGGTTTGTGCTAGTTGGCGACAGATGAAAGAACGATTTTTTCTTTAAACAGAATTAATTTGAACGCGTTGCAATTACATCCCTACGGGATATATGTTAAACGGTTATCAAAATTAAATTTTTTGCCAACTAACACCGCGAACTTTGAATAATTTGTACGACCCGATTAAAAGCGCCCCCTGCGGGAAAGGAACACTGAAAGGAAACTGAACGGAACTGGTCTCTTCTCCCGCTTGGAGTCATCTCGATGCCGTAGTGGCTTGTGGGTATTTTCGTCTGTCATATTTACACATTAAAGATTTAAAAGAAGCAAATAATTTTGAATAAAAATACTTTTTAAAAATGTTTTTAAACGCACTCAAAAGTAGAAAATAATTTATAAATATGTGGAGGGAATAAATACTTGTAAGATTTAAAACAAAAAACATGTGGCGCATGCAATCTTTATATATATTACGTGAAGGCGATTTCTACGAAACACTACTCCTCCATTAATAATGGATGGATTTTTACAAACGATGTGTAAAAATTAAGTATTTTTTGTGTAGATGCCCCCTTTCACCAATTCCTGTAATTAAATTCCTAGGGCTTTGCCCTACAGGCCATCAAAATCCCAATGAATTTCACATAAAGAAAAGATTTTGTTTACTTAAACAGACGAAGAATTTGTATTGATTGCATACTAAAACAGCTGTCCATAGTAAAGACATGATAGGCTACACGCAAGAGCGTTCGTTTTCAGAGTGAGTTCGTTTTCAGTTTCGATACCTGGAGTGGAGTGATTGATTACATTATCTTTGAGTTGACTCTTTTAAGTCATCGGAAATTATGACTGTTATTCGTTTTTAAATAATGCCTGTAATACTTTGCAATTACTCGAATTCGAGCAACAGGTGCGCTAGTAGATAATAATAAATCAATAGGTGAAGAATTGTAAATAAGCATGCGCTACACGTTTTTTGTTTTAAATCTTCTAAGTATTTATTCCCTCCACATATTTATAAATTATTTTCTACTTTTTAGTGTGTTTGAAAACGTGTCAATTAAAAAAAAAATATTTATAAATTATTTCAAATAACCTAGTAAGTTTGGCTAAAAAGTGTGCAGCCGTTATTGGGTGATGAGTGCTGAGTGGTTATAGTGCTCGCTTAACAATCAAAAGGTCGCCGGTTATAACCTGAGAAAAGTCAGTAGCTTTATGATGGTTCGAAACTGGACCCAGCTATTCCTGATCATTGGGCTTTAAATAAATGATCCTGACTGATAAAACATCTGATCTTAGTCTGTAACAAGGCTACACAGATCATCTCACACCACTCTACACTCATCCTTCACTCATATTTGGGTTATACCATAGATAAAACATACTCCCTTGTGTTGCTTAGTCTATGGTTATACGCACCAAGGTAACGTACCCATCTCAATTAATTTATAATTGATGGATTACAAAATTTGCAAAGACCCGATCTCAATGAGCTCTGCTCACTCCCCTCAATAAGAAAAATATTTTTAAGTATGTTTATGCAAAATAAGGTTTTTCTATCTCAATTATAACTTTGCATTGCAAGCCATAAACAGCAGTTTCCTAGGTATGATAAGGATAAGATACACTTATTTGTTTTACAGAATCACTAAACATTTCCTAAGCCAAGATAAGATAGTCTTGAGGCCGTTGTGCACAAAACATTTTATGTTTAGAAAATTATTGTTTAAGGTAGTGTTTTCTTGAAAAACTTAAATGATTGAGCTTTAACAACTGTTGGAATAAGATAAAATAAGATATAACCTAATTTAAAAATATTAATTGTTAATTTGTACACAAATTTTCAAACTTTGTTCATGATAACAAGTGATATGAAATGTTAACATGTACGACGGCCCTGAAGGGACACTCAGTTTCTTTTTGTCTTTCATTTTACTTCGACTTTTTTCTCGAAAAGTAGTTTGACTTTTTTCTCGAAGTACTTCGACATTTCTATCTAGTCTAGTTTTACTTCAACTCAACTTCAATACGAATACGGTCATTCTATTCTGTTTCTGTTTCTGATTCTTTCTCTGTCTGCTGTCTCCACTGCCTCTCGTCTCTGTCGCACTCAGACCTAATAAAATCCTTGACAGAGTCAATATCAGAAAAGTGTTTCCTTCTATGAAGTCCGAGCTTCTTGGTATACCTTTTAAGTGTCCGCTCACTTATGCAAATGTTATGCTTCAATAAAAGAATTGTAAGCATTTCAGGCTGTTGAAGGCCTAAACTAAAATATTGTTCAATCAGTTCATTAATGTCATATTCCATTATGTGTCCTAAAGCTCAAACCCCTTTCTATCTGCCAATTCTTATCAAAAATATGTCTACAGCAGAAACACCCCTACATCAACAGTTAGTTGGGTTGTGGTTGCCGTAAAATTATAACAAACTATAATAAGCACATTCGAGAATAAAGTCGAAGTACTTCGAGAATAAAGTCTACTTCGAGAATAATGTTGAAGTACTTCGAGAATAAAGTCGAAGTACTTCGAGAATAATGTCGAAGTACTTCGAGGATAAAGTCGAAGTACTTCGAGAATAATGTCGAAGTACTTCGAGAATAAAGTCGAAGTGAATGAAAGACAAAAAGAAACTGGAATGTCCCTTCAGGGCCGTCGTAAACATGTGAACAAAAGTGTTAACAAATTTTTGTTTAGAATTAAAAACTGACTGATCAATGAATAAAATACTCACGCCAAATAGGTCTTTCTCCATAAAAAAATTGGTAGCTTTCATCAGGACTGGCAATACCTTCATCTAAAGCACAACCAACATTGAGATTCTTGAAGTCTTCAGATTCGATAAAAAGTTTCATACCTTCCAGTCCGCCAATCTCTTCGTCTAAAAGAAAAATTAGGCCTACATGAACTTTAAAATATTGATTTTTACTAATCTTACTAATATTATAAATGTGAAAGTTTGTGTCTTGGTTAGTTTGAAGCTCAATCACACATCAACTAGGCTACTGGTCGGATTATGCTCAAATTGGGCACTAATGATAGCTCACATTCCCGATTAACAAATAGGCATTTTCTTATCTCAAAAATCCTTTCGGACTCCAGCCCGGTGGCTCTGGAGTTTCCCATGTTAACCTTGTTAGTATTCACATTTAAAAGGTGGTTACATATAGTAGAGCTAGAAGGCCTGTGGATTATAATTACTGCCTAAGCAACCTGCCCCTCGCTAGAAGTGACAACATTCGAGATCTGGGTGTTGTACTGTCTGCGGATCTGAGTTTCTCACGCCATATTGAGGAAATTTATTCTAAGGCCACCAGGATATTGGGACTCATCATGAGATCCTCTAGATGTGGTCTGAGTATAGAGGCGCTTCGCACACTGTACATTTCTTTGGTGAGATAAAGACTTGAATATTGTAGCTCTATATGGTCACCCCACCAACAGTGCTATATTGATCGTCTGGAGAGTGTCCAGTGCCGATTTCTACGTCTTATTGGGTGTAGGATGGGTTACATGTACCGGGATGTACCTACCCAGGACATCAGAAGGTTTCTTGGACTTGATACCCTGGCCAAGAGGAGGGAAATCAGTGATGCCATGTTCCTGTTCAAGATACTAAATGGACGAATCAACTGTCCTGATCTGCTTGCGCTGATTGACCTGCATGTTTCCCCACCTAGATCCACTCGTTCCAATGTGCTGTTTGCTCGCCAACACTGCTCCACGAACTATGAACTTTATAGCCCTCTGCCTAGACTGCATCGACTCGGCAATCGGCTCTGTCATTATGTGGACTTCTTTGACTGCTGTCCACGGGTTGTCAAGAGGATTGCGTCTTCGGTTCTTAAGGAACAGTAATCTCGTTCTGCTGTGATTTAATTGTACAGGTCTTGTGTAATAATTTAATTCTCTGTCAATGCTTCCTTATCAATGCTCCCTAGTCATTATTGCCGTCTGTCACTAGTTTATTGATATTGCTTGTACTATTGATGTAGTTTTATCTCTCTTGTTATCTAGTCGCATGTTTTCTTGTAGTATTTTATCGACTGTTATTGTTTCCAAATTTCTATTTATTGTTATGCTTGCTATTCAACTAGTTTTTCTTTTCTATTAGCATGTGATGTTAGTACTGAATTGATGTATGTATTATCTTTCTGTATCTAGTCGCATGTTTTCTTGTAGTATTTATCGATTGTTATTGTTACCTAATTCTATCCTTTGTTATGCTTGCTATTCAACCAGTTTTTCTTTTTTTATTAGCATGTGATGTTAGTATTGAATTGATGTATGTATTATCTTTCTGTTATCTAGTCGCATGTTTTCTAGTAGTATTTATCGATTGTTATTGTTACCTAATTCTATCCATTGTTATGCTTGCTATTCAACCAGTTTTTTTTTCCATTAGCATGTGATGTTAGTCCCTATCTGCCTTTTAATAAATCCTGCAAAAAAACAAAAAAAATAAAAGAGCATGAGAAAAGGCAGAAGGGAAGAAAATTTAATTAGGATCTTTCAATATTGTATCTGATCAGCATGTCAACCCTGTTATGTCAACCCTGTAAAAATGGTGTTATACCGTAAACAAATAAATAAATAAAAAGGAATTAAAGAACCTTGAAAGCTGTTTCAACTAAACAAGTTCCTTCTATGAAGTTTAATAACAAGTTAACTAGTTACTAGAAGCATTAACAAGTTACTAGATTTACCAACAGGGTGCAGCACTAATTATTTTTTTGTTTGAATTTATGACAACAGCTAATTTGAAATAAGATGCGACAAAATACACAATGACTGTGATACACAATGAGAACACCCTCTCCGCACAATAGGGTGTTTTTATTTTTAAGTGAAAAATTCATAGACTTATTGACAGTCTTTTTTTCAAATGTTTATTGAGCCGAGCAAGCGAAGCTCTTATACATCGACTCTTATGCCGTAATACGCAAACTCCTCTTCGACAGCTGAATCAATCTTTTTCAAATTTTGCATGGCGATAAAGACCATATCGGTGAGTGCCAATGTATATAGGTATGGCGTTAAAACAGTTTCTCAGGAAACCGCCCCACGGGCCCTCAAAATTACAATGTAATTCTTGAGAAAGCAGTATTTGACAAAAAATGGCATAAGATCAGCTGTTGACGTATTAAAGGAATTATTGTAACTGTTATCGCGGATATTAGAACAGAAACGGCTAGGAAAAATATAAACAAATGACGTCACTAGCTTGAACCACTAATAACATTAATCACTTTCTTTTATTTGTATTAAATCAGAGTAGGTATAAAAACACAATTTTTCCCAAATAAACTGCCGCCATTTTGAAACGGAAAAGATCATTTATTTCTGTTTTCGCCAAAATGTTTGTCTATTAAGTACCGGTACCTTTAAAATTATGTATAACATGACATATGTTTACGTTAGAAAATTCCGAAATTTGAACTAGTGACCCTCATTTTTTGGCACACCCTGTATCGGTTTTTGATAAATATATTTATGTTATTCCTTGGGGTTGATTTAGCCAGAAATAATGTTATTTCATCCTTCTACTTTAGGCCGTTTTTCCGAAATAAATTTGAGACACCTTACGTGGGACACCCTGTATACTTGGTATTTTCTCTACTTAAGGTAAAAGGGATGATACTATGCATAACCTAACCTAACCAACCTAACCTAACCAAACCTAACCTAACTAACCTAACAAGCAACATGGTAGTGCTAGATCAACCAATGAATAGGTTGGTACTGAAGGGCGCACATGAAAAGAGCCCAAAAACTCAGGCAGACGCTTGAAAAGCGCCCGGACCTCCAAGGTCCCTCCCAGGACGGTGCGAAAAGAGCCCAGACTCTTCCTAGAACTTTCACAACGGGTATTCAAAGGAGGAAGATCCATTAACACAGTTGAAATACATGAATTTATTTACAATATTAAAAGATATACTGTTAAAAGATACATTATCAAAATATAGATTATTAAAAGATATTTACATTACTAAAAGAAATAGGCTGTTTACCTAACCTTACCTAACCTAACCTAACCTAACCCAACCAAACACAACCCTATTTCAGAACACGAGTCAGCGTCCTCTTCCTCAGGTACCTGTGGAGACCCGGGCTCTTTCCATGCTTAAGATTAGTGAACCTTTTTGGGGATTAAAATTTCGGGCTCTTTTCATGTGCTCCGGTACTGAAAAATTTCCCAATTCCAAGCAAATCTCCCATAAGTTCCCATTCCTCCCGACTAATTGCCCATTATTTCCTGTAAAATTCGCTTTTTACACATTAAACTAACTTAAAAGTCTTGATGAATCCAAGGGCTGCGGTCCAGATAGTGTACCCCCTTCTGTACTGAAGCATTGTGCTTACATCTTAGCACCAATATTAACTGTACTTTTCAACAAATCCCTGCAAGTTGGTATCTTCCCGGAAATATTTAAGCGGGGCTTCATAGTTCCAATTCCAAAGTCAAATGATCCTAGTGTAGCGACTAACCTACGTCCAGTGGTAATATTGTCATCCCTCTCTAAGGTATTCGAAAAGCTTGTTCTCCTTCAACTTGTTCCTGCAACTAAACACATTTTCGCCTCCGAACAACATGGCTTCAGGGCAGGCCGTTCAACTATGACCAATCTGCTGACTCTTCAAACCAGAATATTGCATGCTTTTGAGAGGGGCAATCAGGTCGACGTCATATATCTGGACTATGCAAGCGTTCGACAAACTAAACCACTCAACGCTTCTCATTAAATTGAAGAGCTATGGAATCCTGGGAAATCTCTTGAGCTGGTTTGGCAGCTACTTGTCTGGAAGGAGTCTCTGTGTAAAATTCGCTTCCGCAGTATCAACTCCAATTCCTGCTTCTTCAGGAGTGCCACAGGGATCATTGATGGGACCCTTCCTATTCTCTCTTTTCGTGAATGACCTTCCCAGTGTTTTGCAAGTCCGTTCTCTAATGTTTGCCGACGATGTGAAGCTCATCCTGGAAATCAACACCGTGCGAGACTGTCTTCACCTGCAGAGAGCCCTTGACTCTGTTCTCGAGTGGTCAACAAAGAACTTAATGTCGCTGAACCCAAATAAGTGCAAAATCATTTAATTTCATAGAAACATTCAACCAATCGAATTTCAGTATATGGTTGACACTACTTACTTGGAGCGTGTCACAAGCATTCGTGACTTAGGGGTGGTTCTCTCATCTGACCTTTCACCTGACCTTCATGTTGATGAGATTTGTCGTCGAGGCCACAAAACTATGGGTCTCCTTTGCAGAATATCTAGGGATCCCTTTAGTACAAAAACATTGCTCAGCTTCTATTGTTCCTATATACGCCAGCAATTGGAATATTGTTCCGTTATCTGGTCACCTTACCTCCTGGGCCAATGCGATAGGCTTGAATCCATCCAGAGAAGATTTGCTCGGTTGGTGGGAACTAAGCTCGGATTCGGATACTTGGAGTCTCCTGCTCCTGACATCCTAACTGATCTAGGCCTCACCCCACTAAAGCTTCGACGGGAAGTGGCGGATATCAGTTTTCTCCACAAACTATTAACGGGTGCTATCAACTGTGAAGAGCTCCTAGAACAAATTGAATTCCGCATTCCCAATCGAACCAGATCACGTTAATTATTCTAAAAGAGATCTTATCTCTACAACTATCTACAACACTCTCCTCTTCCCAGATTGATGCGTCTTGGCAACATGGTAGCTTCTCATCTGGATTTCTTCAATGGCCTGAGCCCAGCTGCCTTCAAACGGAGAGCGACTTCCATTCTTCAATCCAATTAGCCTCAGCGCACTAGAAATCATCTGTGGGGTTGTGTTCACGGTGGTTCAGTGAGTCTATGTCAATAGTGTGGGGTCAGTGGGGGGATCCGGGGGTTGTGCGTGTGTTGACATCGGTTTGCCGAGGGAAATGCTTACCTCCGACCTTTGCACTACTCCATCCCGAACTCCTACTCTATCCTGAACTCCTGCATCAATCTTTGCATGTTTCCAAACTTTCTATTTATTGCATTGTTATTTATTTTTGTTAATATAGTCTATCCTGTTGTTACTTGTTATTGTTATATCTTGTACTTTTACAGAGTTTATTATATTGTTATTTTTCTGCATGTTTTATCTGTTGTCTTTAAGTTTGTTCTGCCTCTTTACTGAAGTTTCACTCGGCTACTGCTTTGCATCATTGTATTGTTCCTATACTGGTTTTGTTTTTTGAATACTGTATCTCGTTTTGTCAACTTGCTCAGATAGTTTGTTATTTATAGTTGTTACTTATAGTTTGTTATTCATAGTTAGTTATTTATAGTTTGTTATTTATAGTTGTTATTTATCTTTTTATGTCTTGTTTTGAAGTTTTGTTTTCCAGTTTTTTTTTTTCCATTACTCTTGTACTGACCTGTGATTTTTTTTTCTGCTTCTGATGTAAGATTATTGTATTTACATGTAAAAATGGTGCATCCGTTAATAAATAAATAAATAAATTAATTAATTAAAACTACCCTTTCCCCCGCCTAATTTCCTGATGATGAACCACGTTAGATATCTCCCCCACCCAAAACCCCAAATTCCCACCTGTCCCCTGAGTTGGGGTTATTCGTTCACATTTTCATCAAAATCTCGCTTATTTGACATCGGATTCAAATAAGTTCTCGCATATTCGTGATCTGCTTGATATTCCGGTTAGTTTGAGTACATACATGTCGTGTTTTTATAAAAAATTTTTGGACGTTTTAGTCGTTTTTCCGGTTTAAGGTCCTTTTCTACAGAAAAAGAACATAATTTTCGGAATCAATGTTGAATTTAGAGTAGAATGAAAAAAAAAAAACTCAAAAACTTTGTGCAAACCTTAAAATGCATATATTAACTAATTTTTCCAATTAGGCCTAACTTATAACTTTATATTTGACAGTTTGATTTAGGTAGGCCTACTGATTAAAAATTAGTTACCTGGAACAAACAGAATGTGGATTGTTCTCTTAAGTTTCTGGTTGTTCTTCATGAGCCTCTCAACAGCCTCTAGGTATTGTATGCCAACACATTTCATGTCTTGAGAGCCTCGGGCGTAAATATTACCCTTTGAGTCTGTCTCCGCTCCAAACGGAGGATAAGTCCAGTTTTCCTGGAAATTTAAATATAAGTTACTTATAGAGCTACAAGTTTACCGTTCAGTGTTCAGATGCAAAAGCCCACATACAAAAAGTGTAGCCAATTACAAAAAATACATTCCATGATAATCATAAAATGACTGAGGAACATGCAAAATTTATAAGTTACTTGCCAGGTGGCAGTAAAAATACGAAGAAAAATGAACATTTGGAATTCTTATAACTCGTAGTTCAAATGAATGTAAGTTATTGTACCTATCTGAAAATATTCAAAATTCTGTGTTTTGAAAGTAGGCTAAATGTGCTAATCCTAGACTTACAGGAAATACAGGAACCACATCCATGTGTGAATTTAGCAATAAACTGGGCAACTGAGGTTCACTGCCAAGCCACGAGATTAAAATGACTGGTTTCTTTGGAGCAACAGTGAACACTCTTATTGGAAGACCTAAGATTTCAGCTCGATTCCTCAAGAACGCCTCACAACCATCTAAAAAAAATAGATTAGCAAATATTGTTTTAATGTTGAAAATTTAGCTTGTAGACATCCTAGTAAAAAAATATAGGACTAGAGATATAAGGGCCTATTTTACCTATATGTTAATAATACCTAATGTTAATAGTAAAAAAAAATTTTTTGGAAAGTTAAATATAGCCTACTTCTGTAAAAATGCCATAGATTTAACAGGTTCAGTACCGGACGTCACACTCCTCTTTATGTTTTTTAATGAGGCTTAACATATCTGAATGGAAAAGAGTCCAAACTGGTACAAGAAACACAAATTTTTACTTACACTAGGCTATATAAGTTAAACAACAGAAAAAGAACCATAAAAAGGTGAATGTCCTAAGTTGGGCTAGAAAAGTGTTTAGATTCGGTTCAGACTAAACACTACTTATTTGTCAAACGTGAAACTTTAATCTTTTCTGCCAAGCATGATTTGTCAGCTGCTGGACCAAGACATCATATAAAGTTACAAATAAAACCTTGCATAACTTAGCCTAAGTCTATTACAAAAATTGGCTGCACTTTACTTTGCTATTACTCATTCGAATGAAAATATCGTTTGTTCGATTGTTTCATTCGATATATCGTTTGGTTAGTTAGGTTAGGTTAACCTTACCTATTTAACCGAACGATATATCAAATGAAACAATCGATTAATCGATATATCAATCGATATTTTCATTCAAATGAGTGTAGGACCTAAAGTAAAGTGCAGCCAACTTAAATAACAACTTACCATAGTTTACATCAGGATGAACAGATGGAATACGTAAATATTCCTTAAAATTTGTAAGAGCAGATAAGTCAGTATCTGACAATGAACCTTCATTTGCAGACATTTCAAATTTTAAGTTATTTGTGTTTCTAAATAATATGGACTAAGGATAGGCCTAGGTCTGGTTAAATAATTATATTTTGATTAAATTTATAATTTGAAACATAAACATAAGTTACTTATACTTCAGCTTTTCCCTCGGCTTATAGGGTAGCCTATGCCTACACACAATTTCCAAAATGTAAGGTAGGCCTACCACACACAAATTAATTCACACTGTGAGGTACCGGTAGTAAGTCAAGTCTAATGCTGATAAATTTAATAGAACCTAGTCTCTAGTCGGTACATAAGAATCTGAAGATAAAAAGCCTGGACCTACAACCCAATTTCAAATTGCGTTATCAGTAGAGATAAGGCTACTTTGGATTATGTAAACCCTAAAAGTCTAATATTTAAAATTTAACCTCAACTCAACCAAAGGCAAGATGCTGATCAGCTCAGCAATAACAGCATTATTGACATTTGTCATTTGACAAGAGAAAAGAAGAACATGAAAAAATATGACATGGGGCTGCCGGTGGTAGCTTTTTTGGCTGTGTTGAGCTGCGCCGTTCGGTTGCCGGGTCCCTGTCATGCCATTTATTTTAAATCATAGGGACTATTTTTTTCTGTGATTTTTTAAATATAACCATGAAGTTTCCCTCATCTTCAAAATTTTTAATTTCTTTTGGAATCCTTAAACATCTTGGAGCACAAAAAATACTCAGGACCATTTTGGACTGAAAAGCTCCATGGTTTCAATTAATTTTAGCCTACTTTATTCAGCTTAATATCCCCCCAAGTACTGAAAAAGTTATTGTGAAAATTTTAACCTCAAAACACAACAAACTATCGAAATCTCATCCCTTGTCTCTTACTCTTCATCTTTTAATAATTATTATAATTTAAAATAGAAAGTGGAGTGGAAGTTTGATTTGAAGAGCATGAGAATATAAATTTAACAGTAACTTGAGCTTAATTATTTCAAATGGATTCATTTAGTTCCAATGCAGAAGAGACTATTCATAGAAGAATCTCTTGTATTTATGAAGGAGCATCAGTGATAACTGAAGCAGATTTGGTTAATGCATTTGATTTAAAAAAGTGTATCTCATTCATTCAGGAACGTGGATTTACTAAGGTTGGGTACAGTTTCTTAACTGGGCTATGCTAATATCGATTGAAACTATCGATTCGATTAGTAAACCTTCATGCGATTTTTTCACTATCAGCAAGTTTGGTTGGTTAGGTTAGGTTATGATAGTTTAATTTTATCCTAGATATAGCCTATTTAAAAATACCAACTATTAATCAATATTTTCAATTCGATAGTTTTAATCGATATTAGCATAGCCCAGTTAAGAAACTGTACCCCTAAGGGGTTTTAAAATATGAATATAATATCAATAAGATAATATCAAATTGATGTAGGCCTAGGTTTGAACTTGCACAAGCTCATTGTTTAATTTAGCCTGCCAAGTTAGTAATTTTCATTATTGTCTGTTACTGTGTTACTGAGTGTGCTATTCATTACTCAAGGTCATTACTCAGCGGTGGTATTGTACTGTTCCATTGACAAGTATTTTAAGCCTTTTTTGTTGTCTCAGTCTGAAATACTTATTCAAGTTTAGGAATGTTGATAATTCACACTTAATTGCACAGAAATGTTTAGTTTGGATATTACATACATTTTTCTTCAATCTAAGTGTCCTATTGTGTAGGTATGCCTGCAATTTCCGGATAATCTACTGCAGTTTGCTGTTCAGGTAGCTTTATGGCTGGAAAATTCTTTAAACCAAAAGCTGTTTGTGCTAGGAGACACAACATATGGCAGGTAAATGCTTTGTTGTAGGCCTAAGTTTAGGTAACATAAATCAAATTCCATTTGTTTACGCTTGACAGGTAAACCTATGCCTTGACAAAATGAACACAGAGGATACGCGTCCGGTAACTGGACGTGGATGAGGCATCCGGTGTGACATCACCGGATTGCGGGGTCCCGGAACATCATTAACTCAACGATACGATGTTTAGCCATCAGTGTTCGTGGTGTAGGGGATAGAGTACTCGGCTGATATGCTAGAGGTACCTGGTGCAAATCCCATTTGAAACCTTAACTTTTGACAAAGATTTTGCTTTGAATGCCATTTCTTATTAACTGTAGCCTACATCTTTTGTTAGGATTTTTGGCATTTATAATTTCATTTTATGAACAGAATTTAACCTTCATTCAATTTTTTCATTATCAGCAAGTTTGGTTGGTTAGGTAAGGTTATGACAGTAATTAACCTAAAGTGCAAGTTTAGAATCTTTATCTTTCTAACAGTATAAAAATTATTCTCTTTTACAATACAGTATTTTTAACCTAACCATTTATTTGGAATGAACCAAAACCTTGCAAAACTCGACAATTATAGTCGCTGCTACTACAGAAACCACCTAACTTACCGCTGCCAGTTAGAGGGTTAATGTAGCCTATGTTTTTTTAACAATTAACATTTATGTAAATTCAGACTTTTTTAGGTTATAACCTAAACATGGAAGAAAGATGTTTACTACTCGTAATGATCGCCTATAGCTACAACATTTTTTAGTATTGATATAGGCCTACCTCAAAAAATAAAATATTGATAGGCCTATATTGAAAAAATCCTTGATAATAATGAATGATCCCTTTAATAGGAAAGTACTGAATTTATTATTGTTATCTGACTGATGTTTTCCCTTTTTCACTCAAGAAATAGGGTTAAGTATTCAATGACAAAGGCTAACTTATTTCATTGAAACTTAAATGTAATCAAAGGTTTATGTAAAGATTTCTTGTGTTTATTTAAGTTGCTGTGTGGATGAACTAGCAGCCCAGCACATAGATGGTGATGCTGTTATCCACTTTGGACACGCATGTCTCAGCCCAACGTCCAGACTACCTGTGATGTACGTCTTGCCTCGGGCAACGCTAGATCTGGACAAGTTCACGGATGCTTTTACACAACATTGTAATAGTTCTGAGGGGCCAGTGCTGTTGCTGTACGATGTCGCTTTTAGTCACTTAATAGGTAAGTACCAGGGGACGAGCATTGCTCATGGTGTTTAATTTGTTTGAGATGTAATTTTTTTACATCTCTAACAAATTAAACACCACAAGCAATGCTCGTCCCCTGTTTATTTTTTATAAACATAGGCTAGGCCTACATATTTACAATTTCCATGATATCATAATTACAGTACAGTACGGTCTTACCATATGACTTACCTACAAAATTTTTTAGAGAGAGGTGGGAAAACGCATTTATGCACACAGGTGGCTAGCTTGTAGTGTAGGACTCCAACGGGTTTAAGGCCCAAAGACTACCCACTGAAAACCTCCTCTATTGGTTTAAAAGTACTTTTTTTGCTATGCATATGATTCTTCTTACAAAGGTGAGATTCTGTATTCAACAGGTAGTTTGCAACAGTAGGTGAGTCGGTGGCTCAGTTGTTAGCGTCACAGACTTCGGGCCCAAAGCAGGGATGTCGTGGGTTCGGATCCTGGTCACTGCCGCAAACATTTTCATTTTATCATTAAGTTCAACTTTGTACTGTACCGGCTCACCCCTTGCTTTGATGGATACGTTCCATGGCAGTTAGTCTATGTGGATGGGCAAATGCAAGGTTATAAGAGGTCACCAAATACTTTTTTTAAAAAGAAACAAAAATTTATATAGAACACAAAAAGGGTTCAAGTAGATTGTTGACCAGTTGTGATTAGGGATTAATTTGGTGTGTTTTATAAAATAACTTAACTTTCTACCTTTAGTGGACATTATAAAAGTGTTTTATGAAGTTTCCACCCGCCGGTTGGTAACCGCATAAACATGGTTCTAAAAAAAACCTGGCATTACTAAAGTTTATCGAGTTTAAATAAACTGTAAAATATTCACAAAGATCCAAACAATGCACTGGATGAACTGAAACCTTTGTATTTGTTGCTTCTTTAAGTATTTAACAACACTACTTGCTACGTTACCAGGTCACGTCCTGGAGTTAAAGGTGGCCGTGGTAGAGGTAGAACCCTTTTAACTTAATATCTTTAATGTGTTGCAGATGATATATCGACATGTATTTCTCATTTGAAAGAGAAGGCAGTGATATCTCAGCTAGTCGTACCTGGAATTCAGACCAATAGGTGTTGTGAAAAGTGTTCACTGAATGAAGGCTCAAATCACGTTGTTTCCTTACTTGGACGAACCTACTGTTGTGAATCATTTGCATCTGTTGTTTACATTGCCTATAAACACACTCAAAACATGCTTAACTTTGCCTTGACGTTCAGAGGTAAGCTGTTTATTTTACAATTTTTAATAATTTATCAACATTTATCATTATGCACATCCAGTATGATTAAGAAACTTTCCTTGTTGGGATAAGAAAACATATTCAAGTAAGTGTTCTGAAGTCCTAGCTGACATCATCTTTGTCTCCTGCGATCTTGGAAATCATAAACTTTTTTGCGTTCGTGGAGAAGTAATCTTATCCCACAGTAGTTTGCCACTTTTGGTAGTAAACCATTTTTGTTTCGATTGCACAGTCTAGTAGATACTTTTGGCAATCATGAGAATAGTAGGTGGACTCGAATATGGAACCATTTGACAGATTTGATTGGCGAAATACCTTTAGATATATCAGAGTTTGGACTACTCAAGATTGACTGTGAATCAATCACAAAATGGGTGTAATACCCTTTTTAACTTAAACTTTGTTACCCATCAAGAACATCGTAGCTGAATAGATTTATATTTGAAGAGGAGATTCTTTTCAGAAAACCAAGTTAGATCAGATATTTTTTAAAGTAAATTAAATGTTTGGATACTTATAACTTTATATAGCCTACAATATAAGTGTAATATATTATTGTTTAGGGTCAATCTTAAAAATTGTTCATATTTTGAACACGGTGGAATATCTAAGGAAGAAGTTGACCTAAAAGTTCATCTAGATAAAAGTACATAAATAAAGGGTAGAAGCAGTTAAATTAGCATTAAAAACTATTTTAGTCTTATAAATTAGCAAAGTTTTTCAGGGGAGGACTTGCTTAACATTAGTCAGGGGGGTTTTCTAAACCTCCCCCCACCAAGGGGTGTCCAATAACATCCACCCCGGTACCAAGAATTTTTCATTAGGTATATAATTGTGTTTCCCTTAACCCATGATTTCAATTCAACTGCCATTCAAGTTGGTAAAACAATTCTACCTTTTTATTTCAGTCCAATATTGGCCCTTAGGCCAATTAAAAAGTGATGAATCAAATTAATGTCAAGTGTACCAAAAACAGTTAAACACTTATAGGATCTATAAAAAATGTTATGCAGTCAAAGTTTAATTAAACATTTGTGTTCAAGATGCTCAATTTTACACATACTCTGGAGGAGATATTACAACAGTGGATTTCAACAAGACACTCCGAAGAAGACTTTACTTTGTTGAAAAAGTGAAAGATGCAAAAGTTCTTGGCATCTTGGTTGGGACACTGAGCGTGGATAGTTATTTGTGTGCTATTGAAAGGATTAAGAATCTGGCAGCATTCAGAGGGAAGCGCTCTTACATTTTCTCAGTCGGAAAACCAAACCCAGCGAAGCTCGCAAACTTTCCTGAGGTAAGAAAAAGTTATTCAAATTAGAGTATATTCAGTAGATACATCATATGATACAGTTTTTAAATACTTAAAGATTTCCTCTTCACGCAACACCACCTCTGGAAAGAAGCCTGATGTTTTATCACTAATAAAGCCGTGTAGCGTTTTTTTCTTCTTCAAATTGTCAACCAAACTGAAGGCCCTATTATGCTAATTTTTGTTTCTTTGCATTTGTTAATAAATTTCACATTTTAGTAAATATATATGATGTTTTAATTTGGTATCTCTTTTAAGTTTTGTTTAAGGAAAGAATATAGTTTAAGAGGCTGATTTTTATAATAAAGGGATAGCAGCTAGCTTTACTTGGAAAAGACCAGATATGCCACTATATATAACACATAACACATAGAAATAAGCGGCATTTACTTTTATTCTTTCTGTGTTTACTATGGCCTGCAGGGATTTTTCTACTCAAAAGCAAGCTGCTGATCCTTTATTCAACATTTATTTCCCGTAGATCGTTCAGTATTTCCTAATTTTAGGATGGTATTTTCTAGTTTCTTTATATTTATTTTATGGCAAAAATTTGACCATTTAAGTGATAGGTGGCATCCCCATCTCAAATAATGTATAATTTTGATCATTGATAATGGATTTTACTGGGGAAAAGTGTTCTTCTTGTCTTGTGTTTTCTGTAGTTTTTTTTTTTATTAAACCCATTTAATAATGCAGCTTTTACAAACAACTTTCATTTGGCAACAATCATATAGCTGAACTGCTCTTGTGTTTTCAGATAGAAGTGTACGTGCTGATATCTTGTCCAGAGGCTTGTCTGGAGAGTGAGAAGGACTTCATGCAACCTGTCGTTTCACTGTTAGAGGCAGAACTGGCATTGAGTCCAGGCACCAGCTGGGACGACAAGCTGTCTGTGGACTTCAGAGATCTTGTCAAAAGTAGGCTAATGTGGGTTTTATGCCTAATACTTTTTGATTTCAGAAGGTGTTAGAAACAGATATTTTTTTTAGGTTACAAAAGTCGTCAATCCTGAACCCATTGACGCCAGAATGTATATTTTTACTCTATTAATTAATTTTGTAGGTTATGTCGTTTTGTGTCTTTCATGTATGCATTTTAACACAATATGTTCATTTTAAACTAGAATAAAAGAAAATAAATTGTTGTCCCTCCACAGTAATGTAAATTAAATGAAGCAACACGTGTGTGCAAGCCCCATTTAAACTCACTAATGCTTCAACTTCCACCTAAGCCCACCACACCAGCCAAGCCACACAATAGTAAAATGTATAATGATAGAAATACCTCAATGCTACACTCGTCAGTGCAACGCCTTAGCTAACTGAGCTACCACGCCACCGTTGGCTGACCCGAGTACCACTTGATGAAAAGCGTCACTACTAGCACTCGTGTTTTTTTTTTTTTTAGATTTGAGGAACTAATTACCGTCAGTGGGATAGCAGTACGCCTACCTCGCCACAAAATGCGGTAATGAGCAGCACAAGTGACTTGGCGTCATAAAGTTAAACCATATAAATTAAACATCTTGATAAAGCCAGTTACAAGATTATTCTCTTAAGTAACAGTAGGATCCTAATTCTTAAAATAATAATAGTGATTGTTACCAATTTTAAATGTCGTTGCAGGTGCAACTTCATTGCCTGAAGGTCAAGAGCCGCTGGCGCCTGATGTGTCGTTGATAGTCAACAGGATACGGTCAGACGTGGTGGTGGCCGACACAGACTCCAGTAATGCCACCAGTACAGAACTCACCATCAAAGACCAGTACCAGATATCAGTCGCTAGCTCATACAGCGCTGGAAGGTCAGTGACATGTTCAATCCCACAAACATCATTGTATAGTCTGTAGTCGTGCTCAACCCTTTCTTTATTAATTTTTCTACAGGTAAAAGCAAACTATATCTTAATAGATAATAAGGATACTCATCTCAAATTTTGTCTAGAATTTACTTTTCCAACCAACTAAATAGGCGCAACAATTGATTGTAAAAATCCCCCAATTCAATAGAAATTTTGGGTGAAACGTTAGAAGTAACGTGTATTTGAATTTTTAATGAGTTTGGGAACCAACTTGTTGTTTTGACCACTGAGGGATAGAATAAAATTGGTCTTACCTGAACTTTTCTACCCATAAAATTTCAAATAGGCAACCCATTTAATTTGTTACATTATAATAAGGATCTTCAAATAAAAGATCCTAACTGATCTTCTCTCACCATTCTGTACTCATCCCTCAATCATATTCGGGTTCAAATACGCACCTAGGTGGTGTTCCTATCTCAATTAATTGATAATTTAATTATTGACTAGTGTACATGTTGCTCGAATTCGAGCAATTGCAAAGTATTACAGGAGTTATTTCAAAACGAATAACAGTCATATTTACAATGAGTTTAAAAGAGTCAACTCAAAGATTACCGGTGTGTAGCTCATGGGGATATTCACGATGTTTAAAACAGTAATCATTTCCTGTAAATATTGTATCATATTTCATAACCTGGTATTGCTTTTTAATGTTTTCTACAAACATTTCCTGACTTATAGCCATATAAGGTTGTCCATGTTTATCTTTGTTATTGATAAATCTAAAGCATTCCGGCCGGTTTTCTCCTTCTCAAAATACCTCACTGTACAGGCAACACAGGGCCAATTGAGAACAAAAAGTCGTTTTGGAGTAGTGTACAACTAAACAAATTATAGATACACAAAACAACGATAAATGCACAAATTTAAGTTGCAATCATGCTAACACGATCCGTCATAGCGACACAAAAAACGATAAATACACGAATTTAAGATACAACCATACTAACACGATCCGTCTTGGGGGTTATGTTTACACAAACTCAAATAGTAAATAAATGTACGCAATGCGTTTCATTGAATTGATAAATAAATAACAGCAATTAAATTATACAGCTGATCAAAATGTAAACAATTATGTTCTTCATAAGGATAACATGGGAACTTTCAAAGCCACTGGGGCAGAGCCCAAGGGACTTTTTCAAAAATGTAGGGCCAGTTTGCAAATCTACGCGACGTGCTCTGTCCAATGAGACGTCAATGGATAAAATCGGTTAAGAAATGGCGGAGGAGTTCAACCGACAAAGTTTCATGTAGCGTATTAATTATATAGATAGCTAATTTACTAAGATATTTAAAAAAATATGTTAGTTGAGAAACGTAACACTATGTACTGTACAATGATTATTAAAACAGTTTGTTAACGGAGAGTATTATTTCAGTTTGCGATGATATTGTTTGTTTTCGCCTCAACAATGAATTATATCAATACTGAAGATTTTTTCTTTTTTTTTTTAAATGGTCACTTTGCTCACTAGTTGCATAAATAACTAATTTCATGTTTTTAAAAACTCTAGTAAAAAAACAATAAATTATCAGGGTTGTCAGGCATTGGTCTAAGTATAAACTAAATGTTATTTTTTTCGTTGATTCAATAAAAAAATAAGAAATTTACTTTCTACTTAAGTTAACTGTAACTGGGTTATTAAAAGTAGGCTTAAAATATGTGCATAGTTTTATAAAGCATCGTAGATAGCACGATAATTGTTTACAATGGGCCTGGAGTTCAAGTATCTAAGTACAGGGGGACTCCTATTATATCACTTTTTGTTGGAAATTAACTTTATTTTGATTTGATAAAAGAATGCACGGAAATGCCGATGAGTTGCAATGATTGAATCATTACTTTTTAAATTTGACTCGATAACAAACATACGTTGCTCTGGGGACCACTGTTCTATGACCACAGATAGATAATGGCATCATGTAGGCTTTCCAACAAGCCGACCATCACCACCACCCTCAGACAACCTGTCGCTGAACAGTGCGCTGCATAGAATAGATCGGTTTTTTTGCCGCACCCTGTACTGTATTGGTTATACTGAGTACCATTTGAAAAATATGTTCATGTTTTAATCGGTCTTGCACATGGGATTTTTGGTAAACAATTAACTAAATTTACATTAATATTTCCTTGTTACAGAAGTTGGCGAGGTCTTGAACAGGCTCTTGGCCAAACTCCTGTAACTCAAGCAAAAATTGGTCGCTCAGGCATTCCTTTGGCATATGAAGAAGAAAAGGCCCACCAAAACTCATGACTTTGGAGACTTTAGTCAAAGATTGATTTGTACTTACTTTTGTAAATAAATTTGTTTAAATAGACCAGGATACTTCATTTAGTGTAAGACGATTCTGAATAATCTCTAAAGCTGGGTTTTCCTAGGCTCGGAAGCGGAATGTGAAGTCCGCTCTCCTCTTGTATTAGGTAATTTTTTCCTAGAAGCGGAGCATACCTTCATGTAATTCGCTTCTCCTCACTTCGCATTCTGTGCCTAGGATTTACCCGTTTTTAGGTAATAAAACACCTGTGTGAGTTTGAACTGGACAGTCAACCTGCTCTCTTATAAACACAAAACACATCGTACGACATTGCCACCATGGGGGCTTCCATGAGCTCCCCTTCTGTCCTGTTACAAGAGACAAGCAACTTCCAGTGGTTAGTTTGACCTAGCTACCCATGTTAGAAGGATGGGGTTGTTCTCGGTTATTGTGCTAGTTAAAGTTATGTTTGTGTTTTGGAGTAATTTTTTGTTTGTGTATTCGGGCTTTTCGTCTCAGCTTTTTCCCTACATTTGGCATTACTGAGGACATTAATTTGTAATGTTTCAATTTAAGATACTTTACACAGTCGCTAGCATTATTTTAAATTTAAAGAACAAGACATGTTCTTCAATAATATAACAATACGTTATAAAACAGAAATTAGCAGCTATAGAGACTGGAGAGTGAGTAGTGTCCAAATGTATCCCTAGCATTTAAAAGTCACTGGCTTAACAGCTTAACCGATCTACACAGTAGAACAGCTGATTTGCTCATAAAGTTTTTACAATTTGACTTAAGGAACTGATAATCATTGCTATGACAAGGTTGATAAATGAAACACACTCATTCATCATCATGGTACAACTTTTTACTTTATAAATAACAAAGAACAAAGAGATATCAAATCTTTTTCAATTATGTTAGTCTCATTGTGTCATCACACATTTAAATAACTATTTCAAATAAGTCTAGAAAAGTATCGTATTACATGCTGACAATTACAAACACAAAAGAACAATTACAAAACCTCAAAAGTTTTACACAAACACAAATTTAAACTAAACTACAACACATTTTGTACAGTTAAATAATACTAGGAACTGTAATATTATACCAAAATAGCATGGCTATTTGTGATGATAATCACATAGTGAAACTGAGCTGACAAATGATTGATGTACTTCTCAATTAAAAAAGCAAACATCAGAAAAAATATCGAGAAAAGATGGATTTATAAACAATTATTTCGATGTTATGAACATAAATTTTTAAATAGTGAAAGTCCAAGAATCCAAATGAAGGATGTTGGCTGGTTATCAGTCCCAAAACTCGGCAATGGACGGTTGGATATTTCTTCGGTGATTTTGTGGTTTCTTATGCAATGCGAAGCAGACTAAGTTCTTGTAGTCTCGGAACTCATCAATGGAGGGGCCTAAGACATAAAATGATTAAGTCAAACAGATGTCGTCGCACATAGTCGATGAGTGCTTTTCCTGGAAGATTGATTAGTTTGCAAAATAGATGACGCAGGACTTGATGTCTGAAAACATTGGGTTTAGCATTGTGAAGGAAGGGTTTTTTGTACATCGATAAATGTTAAAATACATTTGTTACGCCGTACACTGCACATTTGACATTCAGTTTATTGAAATAATTTGAAACGTTAAACTAATGCAGTGTAGTCTCGATTGTCTAATCTACCATAGTTCCCGTAGACGATTTGACCCGACCCCAGTGATGATCAATTTAGGGAGGGTATACTGAAAATTTAAGTAGGGCCAATCCAGTGAAGGTTGGTTAAGAAGGGATGTACTGAAGATTCATGTAGTGTAAATTGGTTGTTTTTATGTCACAAGAATTAAGATTAATTCTTGAGAGCTGTTATATTCCTATACATTACATTACTAAATAACTGAACAGTGATCAACTGTAATATTTCCAATTCCTCTACAGGAGCTAACATTTTTTATTTGTTCGCAAATATTGCCTGGTCTAACAATTAAATCTTATTTTAGGAGAATTAGGTGTTCCATAGAGTTAAAGAGTATTATAATTCATAAGTTGGAGGAAATCAATGGGATCTGTCTCAAGTTTGGGAAACAATTTCTCAATACCTTAGTCTAGGAATGGTATTACTTACTACTAACGCACCCTTTACTTTTATAAAAAAAAATTAAGAGATCAAATAATAAATTTGAAGGGAGAAAAAATATACAAAACCTGGAAGATCTTCTTCGTTCACGCCGCTTTTCTGAAATAAGAAAAAATAAAGTCTAAAAAGAAGAACGAAAAGAAGAAAGATGTGTATAAATATTACTTTATGAGGAATTAAAAAGACCATATAATGTTTCAAGCTAGGGATGTTTAAAATTTTTACATTCTTTTTCCTCTTTAATGATACTAGAAAAAGTCTGTTCACGAAATATGATACTTTGATAAACATAATAAAATCAATAAACTGTCCTATTCAGCTAAATCCTGCCCGGGTTACATTTTTTTCATTCAAATGAGCCTTTTAGGCGTACTAACTTCAAAATCATTGTAATAACTAAAATTTTTGGAAATCGAAGGTTTGACTTTCATGTTTTTTAGAGTCACAAAACAACTAGAAGTGTTGGGCAGTGAAAATTATTCAAGGACTCAAATAGATGTAGCCTACTTCGGGGATTTGTTTTCTAAATCTAACCTTTTTTGCAAGAATATCTCACAAGAAGAATCTATATTGTTATCTCTTCACTCTAATTCTCCCCAAACCACTTCATAGGAGTTACAAAATATAATTCATCAGAAAATATTATCTACATATTTAAAAAAGGTAAAAAATAATGGCACTAAAGCAATCCTGAATAATTTTTCATTTTAGTCGCCTCAGAAACTAAATTAAACAATGACAGAATACTCTGCATACTTTGAGTCTGTAGATATAATCCTAATGCCATTATACATTGAGTCAAAAGAAGAGATATATCTGTATCAATAAATTAAAAACTACATATATGCTAATGCATTAGGTAAAAATTTGTCATCATACTGTCCGGAAAGAAACCGTTTTTAGGTCTGTAAATCGTCCGCAAATTCATCTTTTCGGGTAACTTCAAATAGGGAACAGAGTAAACGTATGGTAAATTTTTCGGATTGAAAGTGTCTTTTTTGGTACTTAATCGTATTTCCATTTCGCTCCTAGTGATGAAAACTACTACCATACGTAGTAAGCAATAGCAAAGCAATAGAAGTCAGAGGTAAAAACATAGTTTTTGTAAATGCATTTCTACACTGAGTCAGAGTTTTAATACAAATAAAATTAAGTTGAGTAGCCTTTGTAGCTATTCTGCTATGGGAAACACAATATAGGCTACAACGACTTAATTTGTTTTAGAAGCGCACAATGAAATAAAAAAAAAATGAAATAAAAAATTCTACAACACATCTCTAGATTTATTAATTTTCCATGTGGTTTTGATTTCTTTTAATCATTTAATCAATAAAGCCAAAAGAAGGATTTTCGGAGGTTGTAGTCTAATAAGTTTTTTTTGGAAATGAAAATTTAACTTATTGTTTGTTTTTGTTCCATTCCATTTCGAAATCTGTCACATTTTATGTATAAAAGTGTCAACCAACACATAATAACAGTTTGTACAAAATCTACTAGGAAGAAGTCCTACATTAGGAAAAAGTATCAGTGTTGTTATGTAATATTTTACTCGAGTATCTATTAATTCCTATATAGTACTTCCTATATTTTTCTCTGATAAGATTGCTGGACTGTAACCCTTTCTGAAAAAAACTCCTAATTTTAATAAATTGTCTATTGGTTGCTACTGTGGACTTTGAAAGGAAAAAAGAGCAGTCCCAGATCTATGTCCACTGTGGTGAGTTGTGGAAACTCTATGAGAAAATAAAAAAAATAAATCACACAACTGAGCACTGATTAATTTTCTTTTACCAACACTAGGTGAGTAAATAGGGTTTTACAATTTCAGTTTGGATGGGTTTGGGTAGACAATATAACTAGTCACCAAAACTTAAGTCCCACCTTCACATCCTAAGACGCTAGGTCTAGCCTGGAACTTATTTACACATTACTTTATGCTAGTCCTAGAGGGTTGCGGCATTATCTTTTCACATAGGTAAAATCCATTGGTGGTTGGCGAGATTCGAACCTGAGACCTTGGACTACAAAGCCCTGAGCTCTACGACTAGACCAGCTTGCTCCCTACTAATAGTAACACCATTAAAATAATTAGAGTTCTTTCCTTTTTTCTAAGGTCCAAACTCCCCTTTACTCCAAATGATAACCAATTACAACAGTTGTTCTAAAAAGTGATTATCAATAAATCAGACACTCACTAAGAGATTCCTGAACCCACATGCGATGTTCAAACGAGCGGACGGGCGGGCGGAGTGTAAACAGCGAGGTCTTTTTGAGGTAGCGACGCAGACGGTTGGCTTCACGTCGAGCGGGTGTTTCGTGATTTGGGTCATCCGTTCTCATCTCACTCAAGCTGAACTCTGGCTTGCTCATTACAAGAGGCGTGTAAGCCTCAAGCCAGCACTGGTCAGCCACAGGGTTCCATATAAACACACACTTGAAGCCACAAAACAGCCGTTCTTGAAACACCTCCCTGTAAATTAAATTAAATATGTCTTTATTTGAAAGGCAAAGTTAGCACTTGCAAGTCCTCTCTACCACTTAACCTCTAAAACATAAATAAAACTACCCTGTAAGTTGTAATAAGACGATAAAATAAGTATTACAGGAACTCATCTGTTCCACAGTGTCCCATTTGTTTTTATTTCCGAGTGAGAAAATTGTGTCTCAAAAAGTACCTGGTTGATAAACATCTACTTGTTTTTTTTACAAGATGACTTGTCTTATTCAAGGTGTGAATGATTTCTTTCTCAAATCCAAAAGTCGTTAAATTTAAATTGCAACTTAAACAACGTTCTGCTTAATGGCTTGTGTAATAATGTAGACGATTGAGTTTGATGCAAAGAAGTAGTGGTAATGAGCAATGACATAAAATCAATAGTACATCTGTGGGGAAAACAAACTATTTATGTCGACAATTAATTAAATGATAATCTGACCTAAAGTACAGATGAAGTCTTTGAGGTAAAGTTTACACAAGAGCATCGTTCTGGCTGCTGGCTGAAATAACTTTAGTGGCAGAAAACAGTTTTAACCACTCACTTTGGAAACTAATAAAATTATAATACAATTATGGACAAAAATGTATGCATTACCATTGATTATTGGATACTGACATATTGTATCAATAGTCAAACGCAGTACCCACAATCAGGCATCCCGGTTATTCGGGAGTTGATCAGTACTTCTTCTATTTTAAAGTATTAGATTTCATAATTGCATTATTATCCATTCCAATACACTGCACAACGTACTAAACACCATATTTTAGAATGCAATCAGTTCTCCTGATGTTCATTTTTTGCACTGAATTGAACCTCTAAAAATCAAATTTTGTGGAGGATGAACCTTGATAAATCAAACGTTTATTATTCAAAGTACTCGATAATTCAAAAGTTCCCCGTTCCCCTTGGGATTACATTTATTTAAGTTCCACAGTATTTAAATCATCTCATCATTGTAGTTAAAAATTAATGTTTCATTTATAGTTTTCAAAGTATCCAACTTAGTTTAAAAACATTGAAAAAATATGTCAAAATTTGCTTAGCATGATGTAAATATGCAAGACGTGCTATTTGCAAATTTCTTTAAAGTACTCCCATTAAAAGTTAAAACATACATAATTTCCCTTTACCATCCAAAGTAATGGCCCAATAACCAAAATAATAATAATTTACTTACAGACCTTTATTATAAATTTTCAATATTTCAAATAATAATAAATAAAAGTAACTAAAATATTTCATCAGAATTGACTATTCCTTACTTTTCATGGTTTGTAGATTCCTCAACATTCACTCGCATACAAACGACACCCAAAATATCACAGTTTAAAGTACAGACCTGAAACAAGCAAACATAATTACAATGGGGGGAAATTCAATGCATTTAGGACTAAGATATTTTTTTAATGGATCTCAAGAAGCGAGATTTCCTTGGGGGGGGGGGGGGACAGAAGATGTATAATTTCAACACATTGTAGTGATGTGCGATGATACGCGTCAATTTATCGATATGCAGTATCAATATGCCATATTAACCGTAGAAGTGAGAGAGAGATGGTAAAGATGGTACTCAGAGGTATACCAGAAGGAAGGAGAACATTAGGTAGACCAAGAATGCAATGGGTTGATGAGGTGACGAAGGACTTGAGAGGAATGGGAGCAGACTTGGAGCTGGCAGAGGATAGAAGAGCTTGGAGGCACATGGTTGGCGAGGCCAAAAACCACCTAGGTTTCCAATGGCCACAGGAGTAAGTAAGTAAGTAAGTATCAATATGTCTCTTAGTGGTGTATTCAATTAAATTCATATAACTTTATTCATTTCAGTACATCAATAAAGTTGAATGATGTGAAGAGTGATTTAATAAAACTAAAATACTCATCAGTCATCATTATCATGCATGACGTAACATACCATCAATATTAATAGCTTTTAACTCAAATAAAGTAAAACATACAATGCAATATAAAAATTTATACATATCAAATCAAAATTAAAATGATAAATAGAATTATTTTAAAACCAAAAGTTTCAACTTACATAAAATGAAGCGAAATTGAGCTATAACTCTTCTTTTAGCGAATTTCCCAATAGGGAAGCAGCTATTACCGTAGGTGGCACGGTAAGACCTAGGCCTGCGACCGATTTACTTTTTAATTTTGATGTCTCCAGAGGCCAAAAACACTATTCGTGAGGTAGCCTATAGTGAACTCACAGACCCGGAGATAACCCGAACAGTAGAGGATATGTATGTATGTAGGTCAGGGCATAAAATAACATGTTAACTGGGCGGCGACACTTGCTGAGATTTGGTCGCCCAGTGACTATGGGTGGTGCCGGCATATTTTTTTAATGATTCACATTTTAAATGTATTGGAATTTAAAAAAATAACATTATGTAAATATTGAACTTTGATTTTGGCCCAAGAGGTTGTGAAGGGAGCCTTGGCCTGTTACAACGTTCTAGAATACGTAATTAAGTAAGTTTATATGGACCATGTACAAGCAAATATAATCGAAAAATCCATTAAAAGATATGTACATAGAAATGTGTGATTTTCACTTTAATTTATACAAAAATTTCCAAGGGGAACCCTCGGACCCCTCAGTAAGTCCGGTGCCACTGTCGCCCAGTGGAAATCCCTTAAAATATGCTCTGATGTAGGTATGTAATAATGTAAATGCACAGTGTGAATAAATTTCACATCAGATGTCTTTACCGTTTAGATGGCCAGTGGTACTGGCCAAACCCATAGAACATGTGTTTGTTTATTTATACAAAATGTTTTTGTTTTTATGTCTGCTTAGAAAGATTTACCATTAAATTGTTGGTAGACAACATCAGTCTTGTTTTACTTTAAGCATTAATTAAGTACTTAGTGAGCAACTTTGTTACTAAAATAATTCCAAGCTAGTGGGAAGAAGCAGACGTGATGTCTGCCAAGCTAATTCACAAGACAGACGATCAGTGGTAGCCTACTGGTTGTACAAAAGGCAGCTACAGTGGGTGTTGAAACAATTCCATACTGTTTACATCAACAACATAGCCAATACGCCTCACTAAGTGCAATGATTAAGGAATTACATATTGATACAAGTCAATTTATAGAACGCTTACATCAATGAGCTCTACATCAAAATCACTGCAGTGCCAGAACTTGAAACCCTCAAATTGGCAGATTACATCAGCTGCTTTTGAACAAAAGTTGTCTATGGCAAGGCTCGTTTGGAACACACGTTCACAATTCATGCTCTGCAACAAACATGTTAAGATATCATAGTGAGATTGTCATCTTCAGCATTTTCATACATTTCCTACTTTTACAATTGGTATATTTGATTGTGTTCTTAATATATGATCGTACAAGTCTTAGAAAATTTTGCCTCTCAAAGAAAATAATAAGAAGTGACCTTGTTGAGAAACAAAAACTGTTCAGGCTGGTGCTGATGTTCATGGTAATATTTTAAAAACTGGCTTTACACCAATTTGTGAAAATACAGTAGCACTCCAACTATCTGAATCACTTGTAGAAAGAATTTTAAAAACCTTAAGCTACCACAATAAGAATCGTTATTAAAGAAGGCAGAAGCCGTGATAGTAGTAAATTCCTGATTATTTCTTGCAGTCCTGAGGATATCAGATATCAAGTTTTCTGCGTTCACAGAAACATCATCTACTTCTGTAATTGTGGCAAAATCCAGAATATCTCTTGCGGTTGTGTGGACTTCATCATTGTCTCCCGCAGTCATGGATAATTATTAACCTGAACCTCAAGATTCCTGACATAAAGAACCAGCCAAACTTTTCAAAACTGATACAATTTTTAACCCGAACCTCAAGATTCCTGACATAAAGAACCAGCCAAACTTTTCAAAACTGATATAATTTTTAACCTGAACCTCAAGATTTCTGACATAAAGAACCAGCCAAACTTTTCAAAACTGTTAGAATTTTTAACCTAAACCTCAAGATTCCTGACATAAAGAACCAGCCAAACTTTTCAAAACTGATATAATTTTACACCTGAACTTCAAGACCCCTGACATAAAGAACCAGCCAAACTTTTCAAAACTGATACAATTTTACACCTGAACTATGTCGAAGAACAAAACAAAAGTTTCAAAATATCCGTGTGGTGAATGCAACATCGGTGTAAAATATTCCAGTATAAAATGTACTGGTCCCTGCAACTCCTGGTTTCATGGTGGGTGTGTCAATATCACAGAAAAACAATTAAAAAACCTTTCTAAAGAAGACATTTCCCTATGGAGGTGTAACAATTGTAGTGATTTTTCCCTCACCTCTGGAAAGCCAGCGTTACAACTAAAAGAAGACCAAACTCCCACACCCCCAAATCAAATATCCTCTGAAAGTCAGGGTAACAAAATGGGCGAGGTAGAAAACAAAATTCTAGAACTAGAAAACTCAGAAGATCCCGATTTAGAAACTTCTCTAACACTTGCAGCAGAAGTTGGAAATGCACTTCTAGCACAAAATAGCAAACTAAGAGAAGAAGTACTCAACCTGACTCAACAAAATTCGAGTCTGGCCCAGAAACTAACAAACATACAAACCATCGACATCATGAACTACCACGCTCAAATTGAACAACTAGAAGACGAGAAAAATACTATTCTAATTAGAAACAACAACCTAATCGAAACAATAACTGAACTAGAACACCAATTGGAAAAGGAAGTAAGCCTAAGAAACACTCTCACAAAAACATTTGAAGATTATGACAAAGACAGGGAAGAAAACTTTTAATAGCTTCATCACAAAAATAAAGGACATGGAGAATGAAATTAAATGCCTTAGGCAAAAAAATACATGCAGCAGAATAAACACCGGAGAAGAATCTACAAAATCATTCAGAGAGACAAGCACACAGACAACCACTACAGAGGCGAAGGACCTCACAAACAAATCCACAGTTTCAGACAACAAAAAGCCAGAAGCATCAAACACAGAAACACTAATTCTACTTGAACTAAAGGCCCTAAAAGAAAAACTGAATAATATGGAGTCAAAAATGAAGAAATTAGAAAATAAAATAACAGTAGAAGATTCCCAGCACCTAATGACTGAGAAAAAGGAGACTCCTTGCAAGCCAATTAACACACCAAGGCGAGTTTCATATAATAAAAACAAATTGGCAACTACTAAGAAAACCCATTTCAGTGTTTCCTTGCAAATAGCAAAAAGCAAGTTGAGGAAAGAAGCACCAGAACACCAAAGTCAACCACAACAAACACAAAATCAAAATATTAAAGAACCCAAGGCCATCAAAATCCCAAAAGGAGTTTGCTCTACTTTCAAGTTCACTATATCTCCCCCAAACAAATCAACTAAACCAAAGAACACAGGGAAACCCCCGATCACCGCCAAGCTTCTGAAGCCGGGAGAGACCATTGAAGACTTCTTTTGGAAAAATATAGACCTATATAAAAAGAATATTCTGTCACACACCAAGCGACTAAACATGACCGAGATGGACTGCCTCTCTTCTCAAGGAGAACAGAAACATGAGCAGCTGCAGGAACCCAATTCAAGTCAACAATCCAATCACTCTACAGTGCCCCATACTATAACCCCTTTTTTAGAAACAAACAGCCTGAAAAAAGCAAAAGAAAAATCTGCAAATCTCCAAATAATTCTTGTGTAGCAATAATGCACCAAAATATTAGAGGACTTGCTACAAAGACGAACAGACTACACCATATTCTCAATGACACAAAACCAAGCATTTTAGTCTTGACTGAACACGGACTGAAAAAAACAGAGCTAGAAGCTACAAAAATTCCCGGCTACTCTTTAATTACCCACTTTAGTAGAGAAGAACATAAACTTGGAGGTGTTGCAATATATTCCAAGGAATCCCTTGCTGATACAGTATCAGCTATTAACATATCAAACACATGCCGGGAGTTAATTTTCGAAGCAGCAATGATTCGCATGCAGACAACAAAGAAAAAGGATATCTACATTCTGGGAATCTATAGACCACCAATCGAAAATGCAAGAATTGCCCTTGACCTCCTATCAGACACGCTAGAACTACAAGAAGTACACAAGAAAAACCTCATACTCATCGGTGACATAAATATCGACAGGCTCACCCAAGATTCCAAAAACACCATGCTGGAAGAAGAGTTAACCACACAAAACATCTGGAGATTTCCTCTAGAGGCCACCAGAATAACCCATGACACAGCCACTTCAATAGACTGTATATGCTCAAACATACCATATGCGTATATTACTGGACAAGTTGTGCATACTGGTCTATCTGACCACACTGCGCAGCTATGCCTGCTGAAAACACACCAAGAAGACACTTCCCAAAGATTTGTAATGAAAAGAAGCCTAAACAACACAAACCTAAACAATCTAAAGGCTCACCTCCATCTACAAAATTGGGAACATGTTTACTCTTCACCGAATCTTGAAACCTCCTACAACAAATTTCATAATATTCTTCAAACAGCACTGGATTATACATGCCCATTAAAGAAAACTAAAATTAGTACAAACAAAAAACATATGAAGTACTACGATCCTGAAGCAAAATACCTTAAAGAGAACTTTTTGAAAGCTCTGCAAAAATTTGAGTTAACAAACAGAAATGAAGACAAATTAGAAATGATTAATAGAAAAAGGATATACGACATGAAACTAAGAAACCTAAAAATGTCCTCAACAGCTAGCTTCATAGAACAAGCTGACAACAAACCAAAAGCACTATGGCAAGTTATAAACAAGGAAAGAAAAGGAAAATGTGAAGAGAAAACCCTTACAGAATTAGAAATAAATGGCAAACTCACAAACGACACAAAAGAAATGGCCGAACACTTCAACACATTCTTCTCAAATATAGCAGAAAATACCCTTGACCAAAACAGAGCAATCGTCATAGACCCTGAAACAGTGCTGAATGGGGAGGAACCAGTCTGCCCAATACACCTTACCCTAACTTCAACATCCTATAAAGAAGTTAAAACGATAATAAAAAGCCAAAACATCAAGTGGAATAGATGAGTTTTCCTCTAAGATGATAAAGCACTGCTCTCAAGAACTCATCTCTCCTCTGGTTTATCTTATAAATAAATCATTTAAAGAAGGCAAATTCCCATCCGCCATAAAAGTCAGTAAAATATACCCCAAACATAAAAAAGGACCAACTGAAAATGCTCAAAACTACAGGCCCATCTCTCTCATCTCCAGTTTCTCTAAAATCATAGAAAATACCCCCGCCGCAGCAAACCTGCCGACTAAGCGAATTTCCATTTGTCTGAATTGATTTTCAGTTAAATATATTTTAATAACATTAGGTTTAACAAGTACCTAGGTTTGCTGCTACAAGGAAACTAATAAAGTGTGTTTTTGAGTAAAATATTGATAGCTTAGTACAAAATAAATAAATTTGCCAAGTTTGATCAAAATATGTTCATAAACAAGCAAACTACAACATTTGACAATATTCTCCATAAGAATAACATGGGAATTTTAAATTTACAATTTTTTGAATTTTCTCCGTTACTAATAATCGAACAAAAATACTTTTATATACTAAATTATTTGTTTTTTTAAGCTCTTTAAAAAGGTCTAAAGAGAAATTGGGAAATTTTGTGTTTTGAGGGTCAAAAGTGAGAAAAACCAATTTTTACCCCATAAAACCCCCCGTAAAGCCCCGTTCCCATGGTCTGATCGTGCTGGTTCGCGAACTCATTCAAGTTTATCCCGCTTTACACCTTTAAACCAAATTTCATCAAAATCGGACAAAAATTACTCAAGTTATCGCGTTCACGGATAACTATACAACACAACATAACTAACAACGGATAACATATATAAATATATGTCTATATATATATATATACATATATAAAAATTTGAACGAATAGTGTTTTTGGCCTCTGGGGACATCAAAATGAAAAAGTAAATCGGTCCCGGGTCTAGATCTTACCGTGCCACCTACGGTAATAGCTACTTCCCTATAGGGAAATTCGCTAAAAAAATTGCTCTGGCTAGATTAATGGCACATCTTAATCATAACAAACTCTTAACTGACAGCCAACATGGCTTTCGGAAGAATAAATCTACATCCTCAGCTATAACAGCACTAATTGAGTACGTCCTAGACCAGATAGAAAAGGAACAATACATTTCCGCCATCTTCCTTGATTACAGTAAAGCTTTTGACTGCCTGGGCCACGACCTGATCTGCAAGAAACTCGAAAGACTCGGTATAAGAAACTCTGCGCTAGAATGGTTCAAAAGCTACCTAACAGGACGTTCACAAGTTGTGGAACTGAAAAACTCATCAAATGAAGTCACAGAAAGTTTCAAATCTTCAAAAAGCAAGCAGACGAGAGGAGTTCCACAAGGCTCTGTACTAGGCCCGATTCTATTCATCTTATTGACTAATGACTTCCCCAAACAAATTGAGAGTGAAAATGCTGTTGCAATCATGTATGCAGATGACACAACCATTTTGATCAAGGACAACACAGCCCAAAACCTTTACCTTAATTCAAAATCGATCCTAAATAAAGCTATCCTCTACTCAAAGAACAATGACTTAGCAATAAACCCCACAAAAACTACAACTCTGAATTTCAGTAAGAAAAAAGACATAGTCCCTCAATTAGAGGATGTAACAATAGAAAACCACACAAAATTTCTCGGTGTTATCCTTGATAACAAACTAACATGGAAAGAGCACATCAACCACTTAAGCAAAAAAATCAGTACTGGAATATATGTCGTCAGAAGAATAAACTACATAGGCGGACTCTCCGTGGCCAAAACAGCTTACTTCGCACTGGTAGAGCCGCATCTTAGATATGGCTTGACAGTGTGGGGAGGAACTTCAACAAAAAATATGAATCGAATTCTTGTCCTTCAAAAGAAAGCCATAAGAGCCCTCGCCAACCTTGTCCCACCACAGACTTGCAGACTAGCATTCGCAAACCTAGGAATCCTCACAGTGGTGTCTCTCTACATACTTGAATCTATAAAGTATGTGAATGAAATAAACCCCCCAAGAAACCAAGACCTGCACCACTACAACACCCGTCATGGCTCCAAATTTGCACTACCAGTTCACCGAACAACTCTTTGGGAGAAAAAACCTTCCTACACCGGCTGCAAGCTGAGGAACCATCTACCTGACTACCTGAGAGACCTGACTGGCAACAAGCTACACCAGGAGTTGAAGAAGTGGCTAATCGCAAGACCCTTCTACTCAATAAAGGAATTTTATGAAAATTAACATGTACAATTCACTATTGTATTGACACTATTGTAATTCTTGACGAATTAACAATAAAGAATATTGTATTGTATAAAATCAATACTGTAACGTCCTCTGCAATTGTGTTGAAAGCGATAACTTTTCAATCGCAAAAATCTTCAAAGACACATTCTGTGATCACGGTAGTACTGTAAAACTTGGAGTTCAAATCAAATTATCTGAATTTTTTTATTTTCTGATTGACTCGGATCATTAAGAGTTCTGCTGTAAAACCTTGATATTGCTCCAAATAGGGTTTACAACAATACAACCAATTTGTTTATTATATTAAAGCTAGCTGAGCTATCCCAATATTTTCCCAACAGACATTTTAATGACATAGCTTATTTAAGTTATATTTAAAAAGAGCCAAGTGGCTGATTTACTAGGAAGTTAATTTAAGTAAAAGATAAAGTTAAAATTAAGGGAACAAGTAGATACACAATAAAAGCAACACTGATATTTAATGATAATTTCATTAAATATACTTCAGGAAGTATATTTAAGAGATTATTTTTATTTTTAATTACATATACTGAACAATAGGCTTAACGAAATATTAATCTATGGATAAATCTATTTATTTCCTTACCAGTCTTTCCGCCTTCTGTCTAGACACCATCTGCAGTTGAGCGTAGGCAGAGCCGTGGACAGACAGAGGTAGCGCATCATGGAAGGCTGTGTCGTCATCTGAAATCAAACTCAATCATTAGATTTAATAACGTACTAATTTAGATATGACAATCATAAATTTGAAAATATATAGTTTTAATGAAACACTAAATTCTTTTGCTATCACATGATAAACCTATATAAAACTACAGGTATTACCAAAACCAAAGTAAAGCTATTGTAATAAAAAAATATAAACAAGATTGAAAATAAAATTTAACATTAAATTATTCGTTTTTGTTTAAACAGTATTGGTTAGATCAACATTCTACACATAAGAATTTAGATTTAAATTTAATGAACATTGTTGTAGTTGAAAAAGTAACACAACTTTATAAAGCGAAAATAAAATTACATAATCAATCAACACTTTGTACGAAAACTACCTTCAAAATCTGTTGAAATAGTTGAAATAATCTCATCGTCCAGTTCAATGTATATTCTATCAAATCGCACTGAACATTCCGATATCATACGCTGCCTCAGAGAGATGTCTGGTTCTCTTGCTGGCTTCACTGTAACTGCAAAACTCACTTGTTAGTAATAATAAACAATAAATCAAGGTGAGCAAAAGGTTCAAATGTCGGTGTTGTGGCGACTGCAAGCATTAACCATAATGTCACTATGATTGAAGAAGGTGATCACGATTACATTGAGCAAGTACAGACAATATTAATAAAAAATATTACAGTACACTCCCGATTAACCCGATTAACCAAGGTTACCAAGAATCTCGGAAAACACGGAGGTCAGATAGATTTTGAGGTTAGGGTTACAGTACCTTATTATGAAGTCAAACCTGCAATAAGACACTTTCAACTGTCCTTAAACCTGCAATTTATCATTAACTTCTTAAAAATAGTGATATGTTGATACCAAAATTTTTTGAATCTTTGTCACGGAAACGTCATCGTCTGCTCCCGCGGTCACGGAAACGGCATCGTCTGCTCCCGGGGTCACGGAAAAATCATCGTCGTCTCCAGTGGTCACGGAAACTTCATCGTCTCCCGTGGTCACAGAAACGTCATCTTTATGCGCGATCGTGACAAATTGAAAATTCCCGGTAAAATATGAAATTCACGCATAATTCCCGGTTTTCCCGGTCGGTGGACACCCTGCTACTGCTATTTTTACGTTTCTTTAGGTATAAAAATACTATAATAAAGTAATTATTACTGTTCAAAGGTTTATGGCGGACATTTTCCATCACGATGGTTAATTTTTATTGTTTTCCTACGGGAAAAAATATATATTTGGGCCAAAAACGACCTGAGGGCTAGGATAATCAGGAGTGTACTGTAAGTACAATCCAAGTATGTGGAGGAAGAGGAATTGTGGAGAGGCCTAGGAAACACCTAGACCTGGAGATAACTGGAACGTGAGAGGATATGTATGTATGTACAATCCAAAATGTTTAGTTTCACCAATTTGAAAATTAATAGCAATTGGAAAAGCTGTAGGCTAGATAATATATACCTTTGTTGCAGTAAGTATTAATTAACTAACACTTAGATCAGTGATTGAAAAATTAAGCCCCTTGCACAGACAACAAGGCATAGGACCAAAGAAAGAAGATGATAGTTTCACAACTTTATTTCTTTTTTAAGGTAACTGTTTCTGAACAGAATCAATCTACACCAGAGTGTAGCTAATCTGAATTTGGAACCAAACCCTGATTTGATTAGCACATTTACATTGATCAAATTAGCCTGATATGCAGGTTAATTGTTTAAAAATTTGAAACAATTTACTTTTATAAGGCAAATGGCTATACTGTATATTGTTCTTGTGATCACGGCACTACTGTGATCATCTCCTGCAATCACATCTACTTGATACTCATTTCCCACATCATGGAAACACTATGCTCATTTCCCATACTCACACCGACAGCATCACAGTCTGCCACGATCGCAGTGACCTCCGAAATTATCTACTGGGATAACTTTCTTCTTACTACATAATAATGTCAAAAAAACCAACTGTAGGCATGGGCTATTCAAGAATGCTTGGCCAAGGGATATTTTTGCAAAGTTTCCCATTCCAAACAAATTTCATGTATGTACTTTTTAAAGAATTTTTCCAGTCATCGAAATGTACATACAATTTATCTTTTCCCAGTTGAGACATCATATTTCAGGAGACATAGTCAATTGGGTTTAATTTAAATTACTAGACCTAATATTTTTTAGTACAGATGGTTCGAATTGGACATTTGATAAAGCAGGGTTTGGATTATCGTGATTCAAATTAGCAGGTTTCTGGTGTGTCTAAAATTTGAGTAATAATTAGTTAAACTAAAATAAAAGTTTTCCTAACCTTTAGTGGGAACCTCTTCTTTGGCTAACTCTTTTGCCTTTTCTTGCTCCTTGGGCTTTTGCTGTTCTTCTTGAATGCAATTTCTTGTCCTGAGCACAACTAACAAAGGTGAGTACTTAGGGGAAGACGTTTTACTAACCGAGGGAGCATTTTCATTTGATATCTGGCTTACATTTTCACTTGACACACCGTTTTGAGCAGTTCGAGGAGAAATAGTCACACCGGGCATCAGGTCTAGAAAAGATTGGATAACATCGTTTTTGCCCAGAGAATCCGATCTCGGAGACAAGGATGAAACCGAGTCGGCTTCCCATTCAGCCAAGATGGAGGAAAGGTTAGGATTGATCACAGAAACTTCTAGGTGAGGTTTGTGATTTGACTGATCACTAGCAGAAGACACTCGCTGACTGTGGTGTACTTTCATTGCTGAAGTTCCTTCACAAGAAGGAAATGGCGTATTAAGATCATTGAAATCTTTCTCTCTAGAAGACCTTCTAGGGTAATCACATATTGAAAATTCATGTTCAACTGAATCGTGATGCATAAGATCACCACTAAGTCCTTGGCAACTGGTTTGGTTCAGAATCTTAAAATCACATTTGTCGCTCTTGGCGCTATCACAGACACTGCTGACCGGTACACGGTTAGTATTCATCTTGTGCTCTTCAATCACTCCTTTGTAAATTTCATTAATTGAAAATGGTCCTGGCCTTTGAGTGTAGAATGTAAATTTGGGTGTCTCTGGAACCACAAATGACGCCTGTCCAAGTCTGGAACAAACAAAATCATCTTAGTAGAGCTAAGTAAAGTAAGGAACATTAGTTAGAAAGTGATATTAATCGTTAATACCCCCACAGCAGTGAACCTGCAGACTAACCAAATTTCTATTTCCCTGATTGGATTTTCACTAAAATATTTACTTAAACATGATCAGATTTAACCACTAATAAAAAGAAATAGTTTATCTTTTTTGTTGCTACAGGGAAGGGAAAAAGTGTTTTTTATTATTTTTGTAAAATGTTAATAGCAGGCTTATAGCATGAAATGAAGATAATAGGCCTATATGATTGATATAAATAATTCGTAAATTATCTATCAACAAACTACTTTACTTTTCCTCTGTAAGAATAACATAGGATTTTTAAATGTACAGTTTTTGGGAATTTTCTTTGTAACCTTTAATTAATTGTAGGCTTAAACATCGCTTTGATATACAAAAACTATTTGGGTTTGTTGCACTAAACGAAGGCTGTAAAAAAATTGGAAATTGTTATATTTTTAAAAGAAAAATTTGATAAAAATAAATTTTGTAAAATTTCAAAACGCCGTAACCCCCACCTTTATAACCCGATCTTGCTGGTTTGTGAACTCATTAAAGTTTATGTTGCCCTACACGTTCATGCCAAATTTCATAAACATCTGACCAAAATTACTCGATTTATTGTGTTCACGGAAACACATACAAAAAGAACTATACTGATGATTGACATGGAAATTCTTAATTTACAGTTTTTTTAGTGAATCTCCTAAAAGGGAAGTAGTTATTACTGTAGGTGGCACGGTAAGACCTAAGCCCGGGACCAATATAATTTTTCATTTTGATGCCCTCAGAGACCAAAAATACTCTTCAATCAAATATTTATATTTGTCAAGAGAGTCAACAATCGAGAGATTTATTGGTCTAAGAACATAAATATGTGCATACGCCCTTGTGAAGAAAAATATTAAAATAATAAAAACAAATATCAGATTTTAAAATATGGATTACAATAATAAAGCTACAAAAATATAAAACAGTAAACTTATCACAGATTAAAACAACTTCCACAATAGGGGCCTACTCCTTAATACAATAGGAAGGATTGTTGACTAGCAGAAAATGAATGGCTTTTTTTAAACTTGTAAAAGTCAAACATCTTACATCTAAAGTCAAATGGTTAAAAAGTCTAACACCTACGCATGGATGGCTTCTCATGTTTTAGCTAACCTAAATTGATCAATATGGACATTTCTACTACATCTAGTGTTATATGAATGGATAGTATCTATATATAAAAAATTATTTGTTTTTATTTTCCGAGCCGTTTAGGATCTTCTACCAAAAAAAAGAACAGATGGTTTTAAAATGTAAACAACTCAAACATTTAAATTTATACAAAATGTTTTATTGCATATTACAAATTGGTATTCATGAACACTTATAAAAATAACTAAAAAGGGCGTATTTGATCTGTTTAGGATTTGAAGACCACGTCTTTCAAATGATGCCCGTCAATTTAAAATTTCAAAACGTTAAAAGTTTTCATAATAATAATAACTGCAACCAGACACAACTCAACTTGTGTTGCTTTAAACAGGAGGTATGTTTTCTTGGCCAATCGGACACTGCCAGTAAAAAATATGAAACAAGACATGGGTTGACTTGACTCATTACAAACAATATTTAAATTGTTAATATACTTTGGAAGTCAGCCTACCTTGCAGTCTTTACTGGAGGGCACTTATTTTCCATATCTTCATCACTGTCACTGCAAAACTCATACATTTTGTCTGCAAGCCTTCGCTTTTTATACCACTTAAATCTGGGCTCGCACACATCATAAGGCTCTTCATAAGCATACAACTGCAACAATACATAAAATAAAACAATTCAACTCTAAAAATATGCACTGAGTTTTAATTTATGAGGTTTAATTGATAAGTAAGCCTAAGCATAAAATAATAAGACAAACCACTGTGTTGTGAGCATTGATTATTGTAATATATTGGAAACAGCTGTAAAAGCTTTTTTTTTTGTTTACGTGTGACCGTTTTTTAAAGTAACCGTTTCAGTTGAGTTCTTGGAATTGAAAAGTTTCCCACTACAGCGTTGTTTACTTACATAACAGCATAGTTTTACTTAACAAAATCACGGGTAACAGACCAATGAGGTTCAGGGATTGAGAGAGAAGAAGTACAATTGTAATGCTTCGAACTTCAACTAATCAGCTGTTTATTATTATTATTATTTTATGGCCAGCATCGGACCACTTAAGTCAATATAATGGTTAGATTATTTTTAAATTCTATCTCTTCTTCTTGTCCGCCCAATACTTCTTCATTCTTTCCGACCGTTGTTTTCTTTCTTCTTCCGAAACCACTCTTCCTTACTAAAGAGAAATCAGCTGTTTACTAATTTAATTGTTAACGATTGGTGCAATTAGTGATCGGTACAATGAGTTGTTGCATCAATGTCAGTGGCAATGAGAGGTTATAAACAAAAACATAACCTCTCTTGGAAGTTTTGAGTAGTGATTATTAGTAATTAAAAACTGGTCATAGGTAAAGTAGTGTACACAACTCGTGTAAATAGTGTTAACGACAATTTTTACAGTTTAAAATTTTCTACTCGTGTCGTTAACACTATCTTTACGTGATCATTGCATAAACTACTATTTGATGTTTATGTTGTTGTGTAAACAAATAACAACAATTTTGTCGGAGCTGTAGAAAAATTGATACAAAAATATCATTTCACTTACACTTACCCTACCATTCTATAAAAAACCCATTTTCATTTAATCCAATGAATGAAAGTCAAATAAGTAAAATAATTGTCATAAAAAAATAAGCTAGGCCTATCTTGTTGTCATGATGAGGTTCCACAATCAATTGATGTACTAGATATGACAAGTATGACTACCATTTAGCTATTCAACTGTAATTGCAATGATTCTTCTGAAAATATTACATGTTCTCATTAATCCATGTATATATAGTTTAGCAAATTCTACTTTAGACAACAAATGAATAAGAGGTTCTAAAGCAAGCGTAGAAAAAAAGCAAAGCTGAACAAAAAACAGTTTTAGCGAATTTCCCTATAGGGAAGTAGCTATTACCGTAGGTCTCATGGTAAGACCTAAGCCCGGGGGACCGATTTACTTTTTCATTTTGATGTCCCCAGAGGCCAAAAACACCATTCGTTCAAATTTTTATATATCTATATATAGATATATATATATATATATATATATATATATATATATATGTGTCCATCCGCACGATAACTTGAGTAATTTTTGTCCGATTTTGATGAAATTTGGTTTGAAGGTGTAAGAAGGGATAAACTTGAATGAGTTCGCGAACCAGCATGATCGGACTATGGGAACGGGGGTTTATGGGGGGTTTTATGGGGTAAAAATAGGTTTTTCCCTTTTTTGACCCTAAAAACACAAAATTTCACAATTTCTTTTTAAACCATTTTGTAGAGCTTAAAAAAACAAATAATTTAGTATATTGAAGCTTTATTATGCGCCTAATTGTTACGGAGAAAATTCAAAAAAATTGTAATTTTAAAATTCTCATGTTATTCTTATGGAGAATAAGTCAACTGTTGTAGTTTGCTTGTTTATGAACATATTTTGATCAAATTTGGAAAATACATTAATTTCTTACTAAACCACAGTACCTTTTAACATTTTACATAAAAAAAAACATTTTACCCTCCCTGTTGCAGCAAACCTAAGTACTCATTAAACTACAGTAATTCTGTTTAAACAGGGAATAGGCTAAATGTGATATTTTTAAGGAGACATTTTAGTTTAAATCCAATCAGGCAAATGGAAATTCGCTAAGTCTGCAGGTTTGCTGCGGCGGGGGTATTTAGCAATCACCTTGTTAGCCTTATCTCTGATTGTGTTGAGCCACGTGCTGTTGATGGATTTCGACAGGTTCTTGCGGTTTGGTGCACTAGACGACTTCTGCCATGGACAGATGTAATCAGAAACTTTGTTGGAAAGAAACTCCCCGGTCCTACAACAGATCAACAATACAGTGTTGCCGTTTGGAGAACTCAAGACTTTTGAAGAACTATTTATAAATTCACAAACTAGCTTACCTGGAGTTATGAAAGATGCTTGCATTTGTTATTGCCAAGCAAGACACTGTTATGAGGCAATCCATGAAGCCTCAAAAAAAGTTAACGGCAACAAATTGCGATACTTGATACAGACAGGACACTGGAAGAACTGAAGTTCACAACTAGAATTGGTGCCTCGGACTGAGGGATTCCACATACACGTACAGTTCTGCCTTAAGGCCAAGCTGCCTTGAAGCCGGGCCTTGTGTGTTTCCCATCCGGCTGTCTGGCTGACGGTCCGCCTCAAGGAATCGCCACACACTGTCAGTTCTTCCTACAGTTCAGGACTGTACAGTCCAAGCCTTGAGGCCGAACTGAACATGTATGGTAGGCCCAATCATTCGACCAATAAGACTACCTACAAAGAAAGCTTACCTATGAGTAATTTCATCAGGCACAATAGAATCAGGTTCTGTAGATGTTTTTATTTCTTTATCTCCATCAAAATGCAACACATGCAAGAAGTTGCCAGTGTTGATGACAATCTTGTAATCCACCTTGAGACAGGTCTTGGGGTTGAAATGTGGATAAGGTGGTGCCATGTCTAGCGTTGTGTGGATGGTAAGGCCATGTTTAAGGCAACTGAACGACACAGCCTTGTCCCAGCTGGCAGCCATTTCTGAAAATATAAAAACTGGATTTACTTAAAATCTGACTAGGATGGATTTTTTTTTGAGAAGCCTTAAATATTTTCAATTATTAAAAGGATGTGATGACCTTAATGTCAGGGGTATTTGGTAGTATAAGACTGCTAGGTTGTGCCCCCCCCCAAAAAAAAGTGCTATAAAAATTTCCAGGGTAAAAAAGACTTTTTTAGATAATAGGCTTACAAACTGTGTAATTTGTCTTACTGTGACACAAATATTTCCCTTTAATGGAATCTGACAACTGTGATGTAAACCATTGGTACGTACATCAATTGATTCTGTATCACTGGAGACTGCTAATTACCAAATTTGTACTTGGCAGCCTACTTAGATTCATTCACAGCTAACGAAGATTCAGTAACCGACTGGGCGATGTGTTAAGGCCTATCCTACCTTCTTCATCGAAAGACTCAGCCACCGCCTTGCAGTCCTTACAGTTGTGTAGAGAAGGTAACGTGGTGACTGTGAAGAAATACTTGTGGTTATCAGACGTATCCACATAGATTTCGTCCACCCCATCACTATAACCGTAGACAATTAGACGGTCACTGACATTCGGCCACTGAGCGATTCCGACGTGCAACGTGTGTGTCAGTTCATGACAGTCAAACAACTGCACCTCCGCCACCTGGGAAAATATGTACATGAGAGGACATGCTAAATAAAAAGTTAGACTAGGAAATATGTTGTTTTTAGGGAGGGATATTGTAATATGAGAACAAAAAAATTGGAAATATGGCTTGATTGAGTAAAATCTAAAAACAACTAAGATATGACAATAAATTATCACAAAGAAACTGAACCTTTTACTAGACATCTGACTTTACAGTATAACTTGTATTGGACATATTGGCAAATTAATGTAATGTAATACTAAATTTTAAGGTACAAAACGCAAATATAGGCCTATAATTTGTAAAATCGAGAATCCACACACTAACAAAATTAATAAAAAGGATTTTAAAATGTTAGTAGGCCTAACTTATTTTTCAATTGTAACAGGTCTAAGAGACGTAAGAAAAAAATCTATAATATTAAAACGTGCTAGGGTTTTTTTATTTCACGATTCTGAATCAACCACTTGACGGATTTTCATTATTTTTTCGTTGAAAGAAAGATAATTTTGAGAACTAGGGAATGTCGAAGGCATAATTTTAGTTAAAGGTTTTAGTTTTTTGGAAATTAAGTTTTAAATTTTAAAAAAGTCTAGCAGCCGACGCGCTTACATTCTACTCTAGCTTTTGGTATAATAAAATTTGCTTAACGTAACAGCTGTAAACATTCCGCGTTTTTCGAGACAAATTCAGCTTTTGGATGAAAATGAAATGACATACGTAGAATTGACTTATTTGTACTATGTGTAATGCTATACCGGTAATCATTGATACGTTCATTTATTCGGTAAGAGGATGTGAGTTTATTTAAATATACATAGTAAAATACTAGATATTGTAATTTATTTTTTTGAGCAGTCTTTAAAATATTTAGTTTGTTTTAGTGAAATATAATTTGTTATAACTAACAACTGGTTGAATTAAAAATATTCTATAGATTTATGAGGTTAGTTAATTTACTCTGAGATTTTGTCATTGATTATATGAAATAAGTTAGATTCTATAACCATTGCTGTATACAAATCGAAGCTCACGAATCTTCAAAAGAAAGCTTATGAAAATTATTTTACTATTTGACTTTTTGAGGAAAAGTTGGGGGAATAACAATGGTCACATGTTTTAACTCATCTTGGAAGCTTTTTCTTTACTATCAATTTTGAACTGCTTAAACTATGCCTGAATTAGTAATAGACACACTATATACAGTTTTAATGGACTACTCGATTCCCGTAAGTAGGACGGGCCAACAGCTCGTAGGAAACAAAAACATTTAAACCTTAACAGCCATGTCCAACAATATAAGACAAGGTACAGAACATGCAATGACATAATTTGAGACTGAGTAGGCTTGCTAAAAGAAAAAAAAATAGGCAAACAACAACGCAGCTTGTGGATTCCCCAATAGAAAGATAAAATATCCATAGTAAATATTTTAACTTACAAAATAAGAATGTAGAATTAGTTACAAGTTTAATATGAAGCCATAAACAGTTTTATGGCAGTAGGCAATGGCCAGTGGTGAAAATGAAAATATTGACTGAGTTGGAGATAACATTTTACAGTCATCATAAAACTATTATTTTTATAAAATATAATTGGGGAAAGTCATAAAGTAATATAAAAGTGATAAAACTCAACAGTTCTTGGAAGTACTAGAGTAGAACAATTATTGTGTGATAGAATAAATTAATGGATTTGGGACTGCTAATGAGTTTTTTATTGCATCATCACCTTAGTAATAAATTATGAAGATTGTAACTTAAACAAACATCTGATAAGCCTTTTATGTGCTTGGAACCAACTACTAATAATACCTAGGCTCGTAAAATGCTGTACCAAACCGATGACAGTAATTAAGTCAGAACCGTACCATACAGACTTTTTTGGTGCAACGCAGACTCCTACAAATCTGATAAGGCGTTTATGTACTCGTAACCAACTACCGTTGACTAAGATAGTAAATTGAAAGCAATTTATTATTATAATACCTAGGCTCTAGCACATAAAATGCTGTATCGAACCGATGACGGTTATTAAGTCAGAACCATACCATTCCGACTTTTTCGGTGCAACGCAGACTCCTACAAATCTGATAAGGCGTTTATGTACTCGGACCAACTACCGTTGACTAAGATAGTCAATTGAAAGCAATTTTATATTATAATACCTAGGCTGTACCGCATAAAATGCTGTACTGAACCGATGACGATAATTAAGTCAGAACCATACCATTCCGACTTTTTCGGTGCACCGCAGACCCCTACTATTATGGCCGCCTTTTAGGGTGGTATCATTAGCTTCTCAACTTATGTGTAAAAACACAACTTAAAGACTTTTGAGTACATCACCTTGCATGCTGGAGGGGTTCCTGTGAATGCCCACCAATGCAGTCGATACCTATACTGCATTGCCGAGGGCCGTGACATGTCCAAAGTGTAGGTGTAGGAGATTACAAACTGCCCACAGCGAGAACTTCCAACCAAAACATGACTGGAAAACATTTTATAACATGTTATAAAAGCTATTTTTTTGTACTACAATTTTTCTTACATTTGCTTTGTGATTCGGAAGACACTAAAGTTAAGGCATTTAAATGCTGTTGAGAAAGTAAGGTATGTCTCCATCTGACCCAGCTAGGTGTGTGCTGATTACACACTTTTGAGTAGGCCTACAAACGTGTTCCCTTCATCAGTAACTGTCCAGTCGTCACAACAGATGTTTCACTGTGCTGCACTTTGATTGTTCAAGTTGAAAATGTGCGCTACAATTAATCCCGCAAGCAAGTATAGTCATTAATACAGTTTTTGTTGACACTTGCTTAAACCCTATTGAAAGTTATTGTGAAGTGTGTGAAGTTAAAGAAGCAACGTAATGAATGAAAGTTCTGTCCCGGATAGTGCATTTAGTTTCTGAGGGGAGTCCAACGTCCCTATACCACGCATGTTAAATTGACAAACTTTAGGTACCTTAGACTCTTAGAATACTTGACTTATCACAATGAAAATTTGCATGCTTGTTTATTACGGTATAATTAACAACTGGTGGTAAAACTATAATAATATTCGTACAGACAATAATAAATTTTTTTTGCAAACCACATTTTCTTTTAACTTTCAGATTTATTTATTTATTTTTTATTTCTAACACAAATTTTGCCTTATCTTAATAATTTTAGGTCCAAAGCTGTGTTATGTAATGTCCAAGAGGTTGTGAAAATTCCATAATGATATATCAAACGGGTTTAGAAATATGCGTACCTAAGTGAAAAAACATGGTCGAAAATCGCAGAAAAAATGTTATTGTTATATCCCGTTATTGTTGTTAGAAATCGCAGGGCACCAGTAGCCCTGTTATTTGTTGAAGGGCAACTGCAAAAATGTTTCTGCAGATGATAAACTTTTAAAGATAAATTATGTATAGGCTAAACATGTCAAACATATATAATTTTGGTATCAAAATGTTCAGAAAATTCCATATTTACAAAAATGACAAAAAAATAAAATTTGAAAAAAATATTTATTTTTTTTTGGACACCCCATCTGCATAGTCATAATTTCAAAGCTGTCTTAGTATTATCTACCTTATTTGTCTTATTTTGTCTTTATTGTGGTCTGCAAATATTTATGGCAACCACTTATACCACAATTTGTCTGGGCTAGCCTAACTGAGACAATTTCAAATAACAAAGTCTGTGAAACCTGTAAGTAAAACAGCTATATAGCTCCATTATTGTCAGTGACATGCTTTAGGCCCACTCTTTTCTTTGTCATGAACGTTAAGTTTAAACAATTTTAAACTAAATTAACTATTTTCAGGTAGACATTCCTTACTTTCTGAATAACTAAGCCTTCGCATAATTGTCATGAGAATTGAAAACATACCGGGTGTTTGAAAAATCAGTTTAGGCCTAAACTTACCCAATATTTTAAGTGTATTTTTTAAAAAGCAAATATTAAATTATTTTTATTTATATTATAGTTTTAATGAAACTGGATTTACACTAGCCTACACATAGGTATTTTGTAAACTTAACAACAAAAATCCATGCAAAACTATTGTTACAAATGTAAAAAAACCGCTGTGGAAAATGCATTTAAGTTAAGTTAGTGGAAGCATTTTGAACAATTTTAAGTTACAGCCTACAGTGTATGTGTAGTGTGAATTCAGTTTCAATAAAATTATAATACCGTAAATAAAACTCATTTATTAAGTTACCTATTTGCTTCAAACAAATGTACACTAAAATTAGGCCTATTCAGTAAACTGATTTTTTGAAACACCCTTATGGACAAAATCAAATATATGCAATGCCATGAAAAAGGCCATTACAAATCCAGTAGTAAAAACACAGCAACTTTTAACATTGATAAAAATAAAACCTAAGTTTAGGTAGGTATAGAAAAGTTGTTGATTTAAAGACGAAAACATGAGATATTTAAAAGGCGTCACTTACTCATTTTTACCATCAAATGTGTCTTTTAGGAGAAACGACCTATGTTTAGGTATTGAGCCATACAGTTCCATGGCCTTGTGATGAACAGAAGGACGTGTCCTATAAAATGACCCATGTATCTGAAAATACATTGTAATTAGCATAGATATTACTAAAAAGACTACATTATATTACAAGTAGGCTAGGCCTATTTAAAGTCTGAAAGTAATTAAAAGGCACATTTTACTTTCTTATTAGGTAGGCCTGCATTATAGTTAAAAAGCATATTCAGTTACCATGTAAAAAAACAGTCAATCAGCTTTACTTAAGTCTAACTCTTCTCTTTCTCAAGACCAATAACATTAGGCAACTAGGCTAATTCCGAGAACGGCTAAAAACTTAACGTGCCTACAATAAATTTGTTTCTGTGTCTTTAATGTGGTTTTAACCCTCCGAGTGTCCCTTGTTTTGGCCTTAATGTCTGCCTCCTATTTTTTGCTCATTTGCAAGGTTTTATTAAAACGGATCTGAGAAGCTTGAAAACAATGTTAATTATACTGTTCTATATACCATTTTGTTTGGAAAATCATGGGCTTCAATATTATCTATAAAACATAAGGAACTTTTGTATCAAAAAAAATTTTTAGGTAAAAAAAAATATTTTGGAAAATTTTCAAAAAAAAAAGTTTGCGCTCAATGAAATTGTATAAATTATAAGGCCTATAAATATTTGAAAATAGCCACTTTGTCTGCCTAGTCAATACAAGATTACATGTTTTTGGTCGAACTTTTGACCACTGGACGACCACTAGTTAATATTAATAAAATAATAATTAAGTTAAGTAATGATTACATAACTTAATAATATAATAAATAGGCCTAATAATAAAATGCTTGCATAAACAAAAAAGATTTCCTTAGGCCTAACTCAACAATAAGTAGGCCTATCACCATAGTTACGCTGCCAAGCGTGCGATTCCTGCTGATCAGTTTTTTAACGTTTTTAACTAACTTAAACTTGATATATCTTCAAAACGGTTTATGCTACATAGGTAATTCGAATTTTTACCAAGTGCTTAGAATGTTATTATCTACCTAAATAATTAGGTTGAATTGTAAAATGTAGGCCTATGTCTATTCTAAAGTGAAAAAAGATTTTTTTTTCATTTCCACAGAAAACCAATTTATTTTTTTTTAAATTACAAAATGACCCATACAAAGTTAATAAACAGATAGGCCTGGGCCTATTTAAGATACTGATATAATTCTACCTAAATATATATAGCCTAGGGCATTATTCCCTGCAAACTGATGGTTTAATGATTAAAATCCAATAATTAGAACTGAAGTTAGGCTATAGCCTATCAAATTTAGTTAAGTAGGCTACCTAAAAAAAAAAAATATATTAACTTAAGGGTGTACTTAACGAAAAAATTTATTTTTAACTATAAGTTTGAAAGACGAAGATATTGAAGATATTGTTTTAGTGGTTAGCATTTTCACTGCCATATCCCCTTAACAGGTAGGCCTATCATTAGAAAAGCCTAAAGAGCTCTGTCTTAACTTAACATTTTTATGTAGGAATTGGATAACTTGAAGAAATTGGCTAGAGGAATGTATGATGTACCGGTATTTAATTGGCTAGGAATGTTACCATAGTTACACAGTGTGACAAATCACGTCTCACTGAATCTAACTTGGTGATCAATGACGATCCATTTACAAATCTACATTTAGTCTGCAAACAGATCTTAAATGCCAAACTAGGACCTAGGCCTATGTGTTAACTTTTAAAAATTCTATTCATCATTAGATGTTGATAAATTGAAGCAGACACTTCTTAAGCTATTTGAGAATAAAATCGGTGCGTTTGGTAAATGGTCTTTTTTTATCTTAACTTAAGTTAGGCCTAGGCCTAGGCCCTTTTGGCCAGCATGGTAACATAGCCTACACAAGGATTATTTAAGTTAAGACTAAAGTCATAATAGGCCAAGGTTATAGGCCTAAGCTAGGCCTACCTAGAACTTAAGTTAACTGAGTGGGAAAAACTTATACCGGTACCTAACTTATCTGACTTTATTAACGATTGTTACTATCGAGGCAGAAACCGAGTTTTGGTTAGGCCTACCAATTATATCCATCGAATAGTTAGGCCTAGGCCTACATTACTTTTATTAGGCCTATTCGATAATCCAATAGAGTCAAACAGGCCTAGGCTAGGCTTGCTAACTTTAATCACCAAGTTGAATAAGACCTTAAAATTGTTTCATGATTTATTTGTTAGGAATGGTTACTTTTGGGCTGTTGTCATTGCTTAAAGCTTAAACCAGTCCATGTTAAAACTAATCTGAGATAATGAGGGGATTAGGTCTACCAACAAGTTAACGAGTTCACATAAGGTAAAACATTCACTAGGCCTAACTTAGGTCACTCATAGATCATAGATAAATAAGAAAACCGATGAAAATTAAAAGTTATTTTTTATAAAACATAGGCTACCTCTCTGGAGTACAACTTCTGAAGAAAATGTTGTTTTCTGTGATCCATTGAATTATGATGTTTCATCTTGCACTTGCACTACCTACGACAACTTGAATGGTTTTTAAATCATAAAAAAATAATTAGGCATTAAAACTAAACATTAATTTAACAAATACTATGCAAATAACTATTTTTGTTAGCCAGCCACTTTCCTATCCTATGACAAAAATTGCCCATTTATTTAGATTAAGTCTGTTCTGTCTGAGTGAGTGTTCAGTGTTCTGTTAGTATGCAGTTTAGTTTTACTAGATCGTATTCAATTCTTCTTCTTTCCTTTCTTCTTTTGCTTTTGACTCAACATCAAAGCCAAGAAAGTACGAGCAGCCAGCAGAGTATGTTTTCCAGTGATGTTTTCTGTGGTACGAGCGAGAATACGTCGAATACGACGACGCTGAAGGGCCACCAACTGTAAAAAATAATTTTCTTTATCTCTGAGGGAAAAAACTTCAAATTCTTGAGATTGTAGCATAGATTAAACCATAGATAAAACATACTCATGTTTTATCTATGATTAAACCATATTAAACCGTAATTAAAGGCGGCCGTGATTAAACACACTCCCAAAAATCACGGCCGCCTTTAACTCCAGGCCGCGGCCTTCGAAGTGACAACGTTGCAAGTGGGGTTGTAACAGCGGTTTTGTTTGGAAGAAGCTAATGGTATTATTTGTGTATTTACGGAAGATTTTGGTTACTGGACTATGACAATATTCACTCCACTTAAAATGTACAGATATAGATTTTTAATTCATATTGTTTCGGTTTTCAATTCTGTATGTTTTATTTTCAATGTTTTAATAAATTTATCTTCATAAATTTCAATTTAAATCAATAAAGTGCGAATTAATGAGCTGATGTCACCTGTCTCCCATATTATCTTATTATCTTATGGGACGTCTCCCCGACGTCTGTAACTAAACAACACCGCTTGCAACGTTGCCAATTCTACCAGGCCGGAGCCGTGGAGGTACGGGTACAACAGCTAGTCATTCATAAAAATGTCATATAAGCAAGGCATTTATCCCACCCTTGGGAACCCCTGACAAACCTTTCATGGGGAGATACTCAGCCTTTTACCTTTTACCTTGGTCCTCTTCTCCGTAGTCGTAGAGACTAGGGAATCGTCATCTTCTTTTTTTGTTGTGTTATTGTAGTGTTAATGTGTGTGTGTATGGTGTAAAGTGGGTTTATTTTAAAGCCTATCTTTGTGGTGAGCAGTGTGCTCTTCAAAGAACTCATCTAATTTGTAGAATGGTTTCTGGACTAAATATTCTTTGAGGGATTTAAAAAAAGGTTTTGGAGATTTGATTTGTTTTATATGTTCTGGGAGAGCATTAAAGATTTTTGACCCCATGATTTGAGGCATTTTGCTGGTTTTTGACAATCTGTGTTGTTGGATATCGAAGTTTGTTTTTGTGTTTCTCAAGCTATATTTGTGGCAGTTTTCCCTAAGCTTTGGGGGGTTTAGTTTTAGGAGGTTTACAACTTCAAGGATGTATAGGTTTAAAACGGTAAGGATTTTGTTTTTAACGAAGTATGGTTTACAATGCTCTTGTGGTTGTAGGTTCTCAATGATTCTTAATGCCATGTTTTTAAGAATTTGGATTATGTAGATGTAACAATCCGCCGCTGTCCCCCAGGCTACTATTCCGAAGCGTAAGTGAGATTCGAAGAGTGCGTAGTAGGCTATTTTTGAAGTATTTTTTATCAGTTATAGAGCGTATTCTTCGTATGGCAAAAAGTGAGGATGATAATTTTTTCCCAAGTTTTTCCAGGTGGTTATTCCAGGTCAGGGGCCCTATTTTTGAAATGGTTGACTGTTGAGTTGATTGTCGAGTCATTCTATTTCCAATCGTTTCGTATTTTTGAAACGATTGACGGTGGACTTGTACAACCAAAACTACTCAACACCTATCGAGCTGTTGAGTGGAGGTTGACTGCACTTTCTTCTTCCTCTCTTTCGGCCAAAATTACTCTTTTTGAGTCGACGCCATATTGTTTTGTTATTGCTTTAATTTACTAATTAATTGCGATTTAGAGGTTATGTATTTGTTGTCAATGTCTTAGCACCCAATACTTTATGCGATTGTTAATTTTATTTACTGTGTCAATACTAGACTATTTAATCTATTTACTTTGTTATAAGACTATTTAATTTGTTTGAAATGCACTAGGCATACTAATTGAACTTATTAAAAGATAATTAGGCCTATTGTTATTAGACCTATGATTTAAGGTATTAAAGATTGTGGTAACAATATCATAGTTTGTTTCAATACCATTCACCTAATAAAGGTATCAAATTAATTTAAGTTACGATATGCTTTCAGTGCAATGGCAAATAGCCGCTTTAACCTTTACCCTAAATAAAAACACAATTAAAATAACATCAAGCAAACCGATGAAGGAAACTAAAATAAGGTGATGTGTTTCAAAATAGAGACGAAGAAAGCAAATAATAATGTATTTAGGATATGCCTAAACTTATAATTAGCTACACCCTAAAACAAACATCCATAGTAAATTTTATTTTTAATACTTAAGTTTATTTTATTTTATAAGTTAAGGTACTTTTGAAATCACTAAGATTGAAGACATAACCTCAATCTCTCAAGAACGGAGTTGACGGTTTACCTAGTTTACCTCAGTGTCTCGAAATATGGTAGATTGAGATTAGCTGCCAAATTTTAGAGTAAGAAGAGGTTAAATGGAAGATCGCAAGAACTCTGCATTGTGATTGGTTCTAAATGACGTCATCTGAATTTCGGGCGGTCGTATGCTCTACATTTCCACCTCGACTCGAGTCACTCAACTAGTGATTCCCAACTCGCTTCCCAACTGTTGGGTTTCAAAAATACCAAATCTTGTTGTTGGTTGAGTTGAGTGCTGACGATCGACTCAACTGTCAACCATTTCAAAAATAGGGCCCCAGGTGTTGATCAATGGTTATGCCCAGGAAAGTTGTATGAGTTGCTGTTGTTATCAATGCTTCTTCGGTTGATAGTTCAGGTTGTTTACTTGTGGTGGCGAAGTTAACATTTAAAGTTTTGGATTTATTAATTTTGAGGTCCAGGGTTTTACAAATTTCTATTGCTTGCTCAATTGTTTCTTTTATGTCTGATGATTCCTGGCCAATTTTTGTGGGAAAGAGGATGGTTGTGTCGTCGGCGAAGATAATGCTGGTCTTGTCCATTGGTAGAAGGTCTGGTAGGTTATTTATGTAAATTATGAAGAACAGAGGTCCCAGTACCGACCCTTGGGGAATACCTCGAGTTGTACGTTGTAGTGTTGATTTGGCTTTTAATTCTGTGTTATTGTTGTAGTAGTTTATTTCTACCTGCTGGAAACGGTTTGTAAAGTAGCTTTTTACCCAATTTAGGGAATTCCCCTTTATATTCATTTCATTAAGCTTGTTGATGAGGATGGTTTGATTTAGGCTATCAAAAGCTTTTTGGATATCAAGAAAAATTCCAGATACATTTTGTTTTTTCTCCCAGTAAGAGGTGATGGTTTCACAGAGTTGATTTAAGGCTGTATTTATGGACTTATTTTTGCGGAAGCCGTGTTGATTAGGCGAAAGAAAATCAATATTAATTAGGTGTTCCATGATTTGTTCGTAGATTACTTTTTCGAGGTATTTTGATAGGGTGGGAAGGATGGATATCGGTCTGTAATTTGATATTTTTGTAGTTTCATTTTTTTATGTTTTGGGTATACTTTGCTATTTTCATTTTTGTCGGTACTATTGCTTGATGAATTGATGCATTTATGATGTTGACGAGGGGTGACAGTAGCTCTTGTTGACAGTATTTAATAATTTTATTTGGTATTTCGTCGTATCCAGAAGAATTTTTCGGAGGTAGTTTTTTAAAGATTTTTGCCAGGTCTTGTTCGTTTATCGGTTTGAAAGTTGTTAGGTTATGGGTATAGCTTTTGGGTTCTTGTTGGAGTGATGTAGGGGTGGTGCTTGGGTTTTTATTATCGGGTGTTCCTTGATCTACAAAGTATGAATTTAAGGCATTACTTATAATTTTGGGATTGTCGATGAGCTGATTATCGATTTCGATGGTTAGATTTTTACGTGGGTGCTCTTTAGGCTTTCTTTCCTTATTTATGGTTGTCCATATCTCCTTGCTTTGATTTGTTGAGTTAGAAATTTTGCTTAGGGTGTGTTGTGATTTTTTCTTTTTGATTTCCAGGTCGTATGTACGTTTTAGGATGGTGAGGGTCTGCTTGTCTTCTTCTCGTCCGGTGGTATTGTATTTGTTTTGTGATGTTGTTAAGACAGCTTTCAGTTTTTGTAGGTTTTCGTCCCAGAAGTATGATTTATTTTTAGGCTTAAATATTTTTTGAGTTCTTGGCATAATTTCATCCATCTCTCTTCTTATAATGTTGATAAAATTATTGTATTTTTGTTCCACAGACTGACTCTCATACACTTCTCTCCAGAGGTTTCTTTACTAAGTCTCCTTTTTATTTCTTCTAAATTTTGAGGTGAGATAGGCCTAATGATTTTTTTTAATGGTTTTGTTAAGAGAGTTTTAAAGTTTTTTATGTTACATACAATAGATTCGTGGTCTGAAAGGTTGTTTTGGCTGGTTTTTGCATTTATTTGGGAAGTATTGAGATTTGAGGCGCATCCGTCTATTGAGTTTTTTGATGTCGCTGTAATTCTAGTATGAGGTGTGTCGATAAAATTTATATTGTGAGATCCTAGTATGTTGATTAGGTTCTTAACCTGAGTATCGTCTTTATTCTGCAACTTGAGGTTAAAATCGTCGAGAATAACTATATCTTTGTTTTTACTTGTATGCAGTTGAAGTAAGGTATCTAATAGTTGTATAAACTTATCTATGTTTTCGCTTGGGGAGCGGTATAGGCCTATTATCAGAAGTTTTTTATGTTTGTCTTTTAGTTCTGCTGCTGCAAATTCAGCTATACATTCTTGGCTATTTTTGATGGTATTTACAGATAGAATATTTTGTTTTATGTCATTTTTTGAGAAGATTGCTACTCCTCCCCACTTATGCTTAGTGCGGGAGAACTCTGACGTCAGTGTATAGCCTTCGATGTTTATTTACTTTATTTGGTCAGAAGTATGGCCATGTTCAGTTATAATTATAAGATCAGGTTTCAGGTTATTAATTTCGATTATTAGTTTTTCGATCTTTTTTTGGAGGCCTCTTTGTATGTTTACGTAGTAGAGTGTCAGTCCGGTTTTGCATTCGCAAATCTGACAAATTTCACTGATGTTAAAAAAATATTGTCATTAAGTGAAAAATATGATCTTGTCGTTTATAATCAACAGTTTTGTATGTAACAGTTTTTATACCTATATACTTTTCATTGGCATTTTGTAATTTTTCTGTGGAATGTAGTTGGTTGGTGCACCTGTAAAGAGTTCATTGATTCGGTATCAACTCAACAACGTTCAACGTTATGGGAGAACGGGATCCGTGAGAACAAGAATTTTAATAGGGGTTTGTGACTTTTTGTGTGATAGTGCTAGTATTTAACATTAAATTATTTAATTTGTGACAGTAAGATCTTGTTTCAAATACAAAACTACAACAAATATCTTTGTTATAGTGAAATTAACTTGCTTAGAGTGTTAATAGTTTGCATTTTCATTTTAATTTTAACTAATGAAATGTTTGTAAACATCCATAAAGGTTATAGGCTATTAATTGAGTCTTATGTCTATTTTAAGTGATTTTTCAGTTGTGAAATCTAAATGAAGAGTTAATTTTCCCCAAGAAACTACAGTGATTGTAATTTTTTATGAAATATTCACAAAATGATGTCTAAAACTGAGTTAAGTGCCAGTTGATTGGCCTATCTTCCAATGGGACTATAGAAGAACAGATTCATTTCTGCCTTCATCAGAACTTTTAGCCTCAACTTATGTAGCATTAGATATTATATTTCAATTGTGAAGATGTTTCTTACGTATAGGCTTTATTTCTGGCTTATTCTGAACTCGATATTATTACAATTATGCTCTGCATATCTCTTGGTTTTGAATGCTAAAGATTCCCCTGGCCTAGTCATTTTTGATGCTGGAATCATAACAAAGCCTGGACAACAACCTAGAAGATATGTTATGAATTTTCATCGCAGTGCCTCCTTTGTGAAACACTTTTTACACGTGGATCACTACACAGGAAGTGTTGTTTTAAAACGTTGGTTGGAATGTGATGGCGTGAAATATCCTCATATTTTTACGGTTTATATCGATTCTCTATCAAATAGCACCCTGAATTATATCTCATTTCCTCTACGAATTATTATTCAAAACTGTGAGGATAATGAGTTTGGAGGTAAGTTAAAAATAGTAGGCCTACTAAAATTTTGGTTAGTAAGTTATGTTACTTTAGGCCTATGGTCTTAGTAAAAACTTTCCAACTCCATGTTTATACTCAATGGTTGTAGTTAAGTAAAATTACGTCACTAGGCATATTGCCGATGACAGAATCAGAGTGAGTTAAAAGTTCAAAAGCTGTTACTTCCAGTTGCTTGTTGTGTGGTTGAAAACAGTCAGCTGTAGGCTTAGTTAACCCACAGTTCATTCCATTTGTAAATGTTATCCATCCTACCTTGTTTATTACCTATAATGTTAGGCACCTATGTATTTGTGCGGCACTATCTCCAGAAATATTTATCAGCGGTGAAAAATAATGTGTATTTTAGAAGAAAAGTGTATTTTAATCAGAGTTAGCTAATAAAGTTGTCACTTCCATTAGCTTGACTATGATTGAAAACAATCAGCTGTTGGCTTACTTGTAAATGTCATCCGTCCCACTTTGTTTATTGTAATGTTGTATAATTTTACGGCGATATCTTGAGAAATATCCATTAGCGATGAAAAATAATGGTATATTTGGATTCAGGAGGTAAAAAAAAAAAGTTAGACATTGAAATTAAAAATTTGTTTGGAGGCACCCTATACTAATTAATTACCGTACCATGAATCAATAACTTGTGCCTACTTTTATGTTTGTCTAAAGGAGTCGGATATTAAAGCTCAACATAATTTCTCTTTCTGCAGTTACCCTAAGTTTAATGACCATTGTGGTGTAGCTTACCCCTAAAATGAAGCAGGTCAATTTGTAACTTATAATTATTTATATGCTGGTACAGAGTTGAAAGATTTTATTCTTACATAAGTAGGTTAATGAAATGAAATGAAAAAGTGCTTTATTTACAAAAAAAAAACTGCATAAATACATATCAACTTATAACTAAACATAAATACTAGGCTTAAAATACCTACTATGTAGGCTATGGTCGCCATTTCATAAAAAAGTATTTAAGTATAATCTTCTGCACAACAAGAAAGAACTAAATTAACTAAAAATAAAAATAGTACTTTACAGCAATGGTCATAAGACCGTCTGCCGGGTTGACATTACCTATCTTTTATGGCAATATTTTCTGAACTATTTGTAATGAGCTATAATATTTATATTGTTTTGCTGCTAGTCTTATACGTTGAATTCTAAAACAAAATCTCACATCTATACTTCAAAGCATCTCTCAGAAAATTTGCCAGCGAACGCCAATCCTTACCATTAAGGAAATCTATAAACTCTGAGCAAGTTAAAAGAGCTTTCAATAGCCATTTATTTCTAATTTGGGTTGAGATTGGACAAGGAGCAACAAAATGATAAGTGTCCTAATTCTCATTTAGATTCCATAAAGAACATTTAAAATTAGCGTCTGTCATCCAAAATTTAAAATTTAAGGAAATAGTCTCTGTTCGTACTTTGAATAAGAAGGTTAAATACCTATCCTAAATTGAAAAAGTTTAAGTTATTAAAACATAGCCTATGTTTATCTTATTAGGCTAAGTTAATTACTTAAACGAGTTCCTTTATATAAATTTTTATACATTTTTAAATTGTATCAAACCACTTATTTTTTAATATTCAACTTAATTAATTTTAAACCTGTCCTAACTTTGCTTTTATAAGTTACTCCGTTCACCAAATTTATGCGGTTTGAGGGGAAGCAGTTCCATACCCTCCACCTCACCTTAACTTTGAAACAACTAACAGCCAACAGCTGATCATCTGATATTTAGTTTTTAGGGGAACCCAAAGGAATTTTGCAGAATGTTTTGTCCAATGATATGATTAGGGTGAGAAAGTAGCATCAGATGCTAAACTGCTGTATCTTCTGCAATGGCTTTAAACTACACTCATGCAGTTAAAAAAATCACAGTTAAAGTTTTGATCACTAGCACATTAAATTTTTTTGATTACAGAAAATGTTGATGAAACAACACAGATGCGGGTGGCTGAAGCCAAAAGATGGCCGAGTGAAACGATTGCTTCATTTGCCATTCTTGGTGGGAGGTAAGTTAAAGTCCAGGGAGGGCTTTATTTTAGTCAATGACCAAAATGCCTTACATTACAGTTTTGATACGTATGCCTAATCAAGTCATTGGTAGGCTACAACATTATGCAACAGTAAACCAAAAATGATAATCTAAAGTCAGTTGGAACAATTTATTAGGGTACAAACTATTGTTTTACTTAATTATTAATTTTATTCTCTTATTGTTTATTTATTCACGGCAAAATCACCATTTTTACAATCAAATTTTACATGCATGACAATTTGTGGATTATAAATACTTTTAACATGCAGTGAGTTTTACATTGTGCTATGTGGTCATGCTTTATGAAAACATGCTAACACTAATGATTTGCAACAACTGAGTAATAAATTATGAAAAAAATTATATACCCTACTATGAACACACAACATCGGCAAACAAGAAAATACATACAATGGTCTTGAAATTGAACTAACATTATCAGCCTAGCTTCCCTAAATATAGCATAACAAATTTAAAAATTTAACAGTACAATATAAATATAAAAACTTGACAATAACAAGTAATGAACAGTGAGGGTTTAACAATAATTGACTAAAGTGTTATAATAGTGAATGTAACAAAATTGAGGGGAACAGGAGTCGAGATAAAATAATATCTATATAAATAAAATTGGAGTTTTGTTTGAACATTGCTCAGAATTATATATTTTTAGGTTATATTTACGTTTTATACGCCAACCTTATATGCCAACTCCGTACGAAGGACAGGTACTCTGCTAGTTCCTTCTAGTCCATAATTGTCATGGAATTTTATTATCATGGGACGCTGTACGATGTTGGACTTCCTGATAATCACATCTCTTTAAAATATTTTGAATATCTATATATTAATACGCAAGCAGTTTTCTTTTCACAGTCATAGCTCAATAACGGCTTGATGGATTTTAAAGTTTGATGTGTAATTAAAGGTATTTTTACGTAGATGTGCAAATACATCCCAGAATATTAAGAAAGGGCACCACTCAAGTACACTTAAGGGCTAAAGTTTGGAAGGCGGCGTTATCTGATGACATTTGATCAAACTCATTTCCCTTTATTTACAAATAACATATGGACGTAGTTTGAAATAGTGTTTAAGGTTAACCACAGACTGCAGGACTTAAAACTTCCAGAGCAAAGCTGGAATTTATATTTTATTTCAATCTGTTAACTAAGTCTGGTTCATAATGAAGAGTTTCCTATCAATACTAGACAGCAAAGTGTTTAAGAATAAATATTTAATTCTTTTTGTCTATGGTTAAATTGATTTACCTTATATCCTATTTTACTGATTATCATGTAGTTACAGTTCGATGTGATAAAGTGGATGTTTAAAAGTGATTATTCACAGGGCAGTTATCCGTTACATTACCGGGTATCAAAATTCCAATTCCTTTATAGTGTTTTCTGTTGTTTGGTTAACTTTTTTATTTCATTTCAATTTAAAATCAAATGCCGCCAGTACGACGAAGAACTGTGAGTGGCTGGAGGGAACGCGAACATGACCGCTTGCATCAACCTCTCAATTGAACATTTGATGGGTACATAGTGGTAGTACCACCGTTGTGATAGTCCAATCTCGGACAAATGAACGTTAAATGTTTACATTGCAGTGGCTTACATATTTTTAAGCAATAAAAGACTGGCCGAGACAGTTAAGTTTGTACTCTTTGTTGCCATAAATGAAAGGTTCGTTTACCTCATTTGTGCAATTCACCACAATAAACTTCGGGTTCTTATTGGAAACTCCCAATCTGAAAATAGGACTGTGAGACTTATATCCAGAAATAATTTGGATAAAGTATAATTTGGATAAGACCTTGTTATTGACTAAAATTACATGTTTTGTACATTTTTTATGTTTTATTTATAATTAAATTCTATAAATCCTGTTAACTAGTTTTAAGCTTGACATTATCTTTTTTATTAAACCTTTTGGCTAGTCTATTCAAAGAGTTCCTCAAATGTTAAACAACTATTTTATTTATTATTACTAAATACATTTTAAGAAAGGACATTATATAATATTAGGCTATAAGAAGAATGACGAAGCACCTGTGCATTTATCTGTAACCTCTGTACGTTATGTGCTAATAAACATGATTTGATTTGATTTGAAAGTTGGTCAATTTAGTTCTGCCTTTACCATGGCTTAGCTCCAAAGCTCATTAAGATGAGAAAGTTCCACAGGGGATCTACAATTTTAAGATCCGTGACACGTTTTACCACCGAGTGGTTCCTCTAATTCCTCAATAAGGTGATGATCCTGAATACGCACAGATATATAAGTAAGTACGACAATGTCACTTGAACCCAAAGGAGAACTAAGCACAATAAAAAAATGCAATGAAAAAATATGCGGGAAATAGGGTCACAATGCCAACCCATTTGCCAAATCTTTGAAGACTGTGGCAGCCGTTATGTACGGACGAGAGCTCCGAGGAGTCAAGTGAGATTCTTATGTACATAATAAGAGACAGAAGAAGTGTCTTCCCTCGCTACAATGGTGCTTAGGCCTACCTGTGTAGATTTCGCAGAAATTTTTAAAACTGAAAACAAAGCACCACCTGGCCAAACTAATTGTATAGTTATTTCCAGCAATAATAATGTTAAACGCGTATCCATTGTAGATCTGTCGTTAGATCCACTTGCTTACCCTCTTATGTTCCCAACCGGAGACTTGGGTTGGGGCCCCTAATTTAAATACGCCTAAAACAGAACACACCAAAGAAATAATTTAACAATGCTAGAATAAAAGTAGCGATGGTTGGCGTCAAGAGAGGAATTGAGCAACATTAGGCCAAAAGCTCACTTTACAGTGTGTGGTTGACATCTACGTGTTCATAGAGTGCACCCGCCTACTATACATAAGAGATAACCGAAGCAGTATGAGAGTGAATGTAAATTTAAATATCGTAGATTGCTTTTATATTTTTTTACATCATAATATTTTTATATTTATAATCAGTCATATAAATTATTTTAGAGTGACTCTTTGATTAAAGTCTTGCTGTTAATGTTTTTTGTTTATTTCTTTTATACAAGTTTCAGTTTTGATCGATTTCGAGCAACAGGTTATCTAGTATTATAAAATGTAAATCACATGCTTTGTAGATGATTTTAATTAATTTGGTGTGCAGGGAGGAGATAGAGCTGTTTCCGCGGACGGTGCGTGAGGTGTGTGTGAGACAGAGTCAGCTGATCACCAATGTCGCAGACTTGCTACTGCCGCTGACAGTGACTCGGAGCTGCAAGGTCAGCTTTAGACAGCCTGACGACCCTAGGTTCCTCGTAGAGTCTCACGGAGGTGACCTTGTGGCTGCCGAGGACTTTTGTATCCCCATCGACCCTCCATGGACTGTTCAGCTCACCATAGAGTTTGTTTGTGAAAAGACACCTGCACTCCTATCACCTGCTAGCCATACCATCAAGGTAGGAAGTGCTGTGAAGCAAACCTTTTACTTGGTAATCAAACAATTACATTTATTACAATTCCATTACACCAGGATGTGATGCCTACCATCAAGGTAGGACGGTGATGCGAAAGTAACCTTTTTATTTAATAATCAATAAATAAATTTTAACAATGCTGTCACACCAGTATGTGCAGTTTAAGGCAAAGTTGAGTGATGGATTAGGGATCAGTTTTGAATCACCAAAAGGTTTCTGACATTTCTCAGGATTGTACCAGAAATTTAATCTAAATCACTGTTAGTTTTCTGTTCTCAGTTCACTTTCAAGTCATAATTTTACTAAGGATTGCCTTAAGTTAAACAACATTCTCTGGCTAGCTGACACCAGGAACTTAAATATTGAGCATATTATCGTAAGTTTGATCTAGGTTTAAATAAATGACTGGAAATACAGTAAAACTCCTTACTCATTGTTGTGGTTCGCCTCTGAACTGGTAAGACAAATATATATAGTGGTTTACTATTTATTTGTGTCCCAGTTCAAAAATAGTTTTATCTACAACCATGGATTCAATACCAGTTGCATCATGGTCACGTAGATCATGTGGACAAAAAAACATTCTTATGATAGTCGGTCGCTTGGGACGTCGTCATATTTACACGAACGCAAACACAAGAGCATTGGGGACATGTAGGCCTACATTGTAACGAAAAGACAAAAGGTTCTCGGGGACTGAATACAGGCCTGTGACAAACTATACTTATTTAATCATACCGCCTCGGTAGCCAGATGAAGAACGCTGATGGCGACAGAGTCAGTTCTTTCGTTCTTTGTGTTTTTGAACAAAGAACATAGCACCGGAAATATTGAAAATAAGATTAAGATAGTTGAAGTTTGCAGCAAAGGTTTTTACTCTTGACACCCTTAAAGGAATTTCAAAGTTGTAATGCCCTAAAACAGGAGAGAGATGTTGTATTAAATCAAAAACTAAATAATAGTTGGCCACACTTAATTTTAAATAAAATCATCCAGACATCTCAAGTTTGTCAGACGAATTGCTAGAGCTGGGAGTTGCTTGTACCACTACAATCAAATATTTTTCCCCTGTTCACAGCGGTTACTTACTGTGAAGTTTAATAGACATAGGAAAGTATTCTAATCAAGGATTTTGTAATAAATAGGCTAATCAGGCCTTACCTTACTGGGAAAAAAAAATGAAAATGCACAAATAAGCACATAAACACATGAAAGCTTTTGGAGCTAGTAGTTCCTTTTCAGTAGTAGGGCCTTTTGATATTTTAGTGTGTTCTGGTTTAGAACATAGATATGGAACCAGAGCCATTTTTGACTGGCCTAAAGCCATCTTTACCAAAAAGTCATAAATTCTAATGAAGTTATTTATAATTGAGGATACCTCATATTCATTCCGAATAAACATTTTTGCAGATTCACTTCATACACAGGAAAGAGACAGACAGTTCTAGAGTACGCAGAGATCTTCAAAACAAGACGCCAGTGTTTGAAAAGGTATTTTCTGTGATTTAACTGCAGTAACTTCGTTGTCTTAGATGCATCCGTATAAAAATCTTAATTAATATTTTTTAAATTAATGTTTATCACGTCCTTGATTTCATGACTTCTGGTTAATTATTTGATAATTTTAATAAAACTAGTAGATATTGCATTTAAAAAATACGGGACAATCCAGGCATTGAAACATTGTTCCCTCTTTTCATATTTTATCAAGAGCCTTTTAATATACAAAAAACATTAATAGCCTATATAAAAATATTCTTTACCAGTACCAAAGTCTAATATTAGGATGAATTACTTGAATTAGGCTAAATGAAATTTTTAACCTATTAAATACTATACATAGGCTGCATAAATTTTAGTACAGCCTGATTTTATTCTGAGACTGAAATTTTCTATTTTATGTCATTTTGACTTAAATCTATGATCTCATTTCAAATCTGCATATCTTTATGTATCATTCTTTATTGTAACAACTTGTGTGTGACATTTGTAGGTGCTGTACACGGCTACAGTGGCTGAGGAACAACCTGCTGGTCTGTCTGTGTGTTCAGTCGCTGCTCGGGACCCATCAGGTTTGTAATGGATACTTATGATATTCACTGCAATCTGCAAGCTTTTTTTCTGCTTTTTGAAATCTTGTATTTTTGATATTGATTTAACCATTAAATAAAAGAAAAATTGGATAAAAAAATTGCTTTGTAAATAGAAGGGGTCAAATATTGCGAGGAGGAAGTGTTTGACCATGTTCTGCGAGTAGGCTGGACTTGTCGTTAAACAATAACTTGTTTTGCTGACCTACAGAAGACTGTTGCTGTATGTAGGCCAGTACATTTGACCAGGGGGTCAGTTTAGTGTGTAGTGGTTATTGTGGTATTCTGAAGAAAAGGACCCTGCTGGACCTTCGGCCTTGGGTCCAGGCAAGCCAATCTTTTGGGTTTCTGTTTTATACTAAATTATTTTAACACTGTTCCAGTCTACTCTACCTTTTATTCATCTTTATATTCTTATGTATTTTGTGGGCTAATAATAAAGTTGGTTTTAGTTAGCGAGAGCTGAGTTTTATTCCTGAGTAGCAGTGGGTAAACCTCCAGTTAGCCCGGAGGTTACCTGCCGTTACAGCTTGAACGTTTTTGATTAATAACTAGTATACCTCTGTCATGGGTCCTTTTTACTCTATAAACAAAATGGTACAATCCTAATTGCTGTAAAAGTTATGATTCTAATGTTAGGATTATAATCCTATTGCAATTTTATAGTTTTAACCTGTAAAATATCATAGTTACCACTTGGTGTTGAGAACTTTTGTCTGATATTTTAAATTTGGATTTATTTTTATTTTTGTATATTTTTATGTGCAATGAACTGTGTATGATTGTGACATGACAAGGACTACGTTCTCGTGATTTCAATAAGGTGAGTGATGCCCAACAAAAATATTATCATACTGAAGTATTGACCTCTCTAATATGCCATGTCGTTTAGGAATGGACAATTTTTATCAGCAAATCGGTTTAACTGGAGATAGATCGGCAGGAAGTGGGGGGTACTGAAACGACTGTTCTCGTGGGAAAGATTTGAGACCAGTGATCACGTGTTTAATTACAATGCTCTCCTAAATTTAAGTCAAATACTGTATACAGTATGCATTGAAGCGGTCCGTTTTAACGAGTTTTTGGGGACGTCGGTTTAACCGGAAAAACATTTATCCAGCCTGGCCTCCGTTCTGAGGAGTCCGGTTAAGAGGGAGCCTACTGTACTGTTTATTCATCCATCAGTCAATCAAAATGCAATATTTATAAAATCGAGTAAAAATAAGTAGCCTAAAATAGTTGTAAGCTACTGTTTATTTACAATTAATTCAAACCAGGAATATGTCAGATTTATATTTTCTCATTATAGATATTGATGTAAGTTCTCTTGTAAGGTGCACACTATATACCTTTTTTGCTGTATTAGAGTTTCTGCGTTGCATAATCATGCTGTATTCATTAAAATAAACCTTTTTGTATTATTTTGCTTGACCCATTTGTTTGGTGTATGGGAGTTTTTTAAAGTCATAGTTTTAAAATATTTCATTGAACGCCCATAAGTTCACTTGAACACTTTGTTTGGTTTTGACTCATTGAGTTGAAAGTAAGGGTCATTCTGAGCACAAGAATGTTCTAAAGTACAAACTAAGTAACAAAAAAATATTTAACTTGTGTTCCAGGAGGAGCTTTGACTTACACCATGGTATCGTTATTGGACGCCAGATCACAAGGAATGTTCACCATAGACTCTAAGTCTGGACTTGTATCCACTCTCACTAGCCTGGACAGGTTGGTAGTTTTAATTACTTTGATTGGGTAAGGTATCAATGTACGGTACCCAAATATTTATATTCATTCTCATACATGCAAATGTAGTATTGTACTGTACATTGAATTGCAATGTCAAAGTTCAAATCGAGTTTCACCTCTCAATGAATACTCACTTTAATACTTTAGGTTGTAAGGTCTTCTGTCGAATGCACAGTTGAATTTCCCAATAGGTCCGAGAGGCCCGGGCCTATGGACTCAAGCCCCCAGGGGGCATTGCCCAGGGAAAACAATATTGCTGTAAATGTCTACAAATAAAAATAAATAGCCATAACTTAACATATTTTGCAAATTGATAAAAAAAGATTTGGCTAATAATGCATTCTAATTATTTTGATGTTTATTAGAAGAAGAGTTGTTGGTAAAGCTTAACTATTTTTTTTTATTAACATTACGCATCAACTTCGTTACAATAATCTGGAAATAATGAAACAGAAACAAATCAAACAAACTATGCAGAACTAATATAACCCTGACCCCGTTGTCATATGACACTTGGTGACAGCTCTGCACTGTTTCAGAGAGTTGATGGACATGCACTATTTCCGTGTAACGGCATCAGACAAGTCATTCCCAGCACACAGTGCGACCACTACGCTGCAAGTGCATGTTCAGGACACCAACGACCACGCGCCGGTGTTTGAGGCAGAGACGGGAGAGTACACAGCCACTGTGCGAGAGAGTGTACCGGTTGGCTCTACAGTCACAACAGTAAGGGCTACAGACAAGGATATGGGCCATAATGCAGAGGTAAGATTTTGTTATGTCCCATCTTCACATCCTAGGACGCTAGGCTCTACCCAAAAACCATTTTCACGTTAATTCAGGCTAAAGCACTCAGGTAATTATATTGGTAATTGGAGGCATTTGAACCCAGGAGAATTGAAGCTCCACCATCAGAAATCCACTTCTCCTTGATAGTAAGAAATCTGTCACAGTGTTTAAATTTGAAATTAAGTTTACCTACATATTCATCCCTTAATGATTTTCTTTGCTTCTTATTTTCTGTGTCTGAATACATGACTGTAGAGAGTTTGGATATCAGATTTAACTGTTGTCAGACATGTATCAATAAAATTAAAATATACTAAATATTTGAGATGGAAAAATGTTAATGCCCTAAGACAATTTAGAAATGTTGAAGGACAGAGCCCAGAGGGAGTATCTAAAAAGTATTTCTTAATATCCACGTGCCACTAAAAGAGATTTGTGTTTTCAATATACATTATAATCAATCCAGTAAGAGAGTGCAAAAATAATCCCTTGCTTTTATAAATTGGCCCCGTGAATATTCTTATGTAAAATCCAATTACTCTTTGTTTCAGTTGGAGTATGCTATAGCCTCTATCAATGGAGGTGGCTTGGACAACGCCAGTGGCACATTCTCCATAGACAGCCATTCTGGTGTGTTAACCACTCGTCTGCAGTTAGACAGAGAGCGAACAGAGGTAGGTCAAGTGACTGATTTTAAGGAGTTTTACAAAAATTATGTTCTCTTATCAAGGATTTTGGCCTGTATGAAGAAAAAACTACTGTGGCAAAAAAAATAATGTAACTCTAGGCTATACACAATTATTGTTAGAATGGCTATTTGGTGAAAATTTGTGTTTTGTGTGTCAGAATTTTTTATTCCGACCCCTAGTTATTTCTGTAGAGCAAAGTGCTAGTATTCAAACTCAAACTCTTTGTTTGTCACAATATTTTTCTTTTTGTTCTAACACAGCTTGTGGAATCTGTGGCAAGTCAAAAACTTAGAAATTAAAACTAGATTACCTATTTATATTTTTGTGTGCGTAAGTATAAATATGTTTCCTATTGAAGTTACTTACAAAATCAAACCTTTTCTGGCGTAGAACTTTTTTTTACCAAGAATATATAATAACTTGTCAGTAATAAACTAGGTGTAAGTATCGTAAAGGAGGTTTACTATTTATACAATCTGTAACAACAACAAAAAATTACATTCTGCAATGTCATTGGTTCACAGGTGTACACGTTAGTAGTGACTGCTACAGACCAAGCGCTGCCAGTGAGTGATCGCAAGTCATCCAGTGTGACTGTGGTGATCAGAGTACAGGATGACAATGACAACTACCCACAGTTCTCTGAGAGGACCTACTCAGTGTCCGTACCTGAGGATACTCCTTGGACGCAGAGTCCCGTCATAGCCACAGTCAAGTGAGTTCAACACAATACACTGTTCCTAGTGTTAGCGTTTCAATCTGTAGGTTCCTGGTTGAATTAGTTTTTTAAAACCCTTAAACTTATACATTTTTTCTCATGATAAAACACACCAACAGTCTATTATTCATATTCAACCCTTCATCTGGGGCGGATCCACTTAGGTGTTTTTAATACACATGCTCACATGATCAGTCCTATTAATTTGAGACGCTGGTATCCAGTATTAATACAGGCAATTACATACCCTTAGTTGTTAAAATGTAAAAGACCTTACTCTTTTAGAATTATTTAATGTGTCCATCCATACCACTATTTTTAAGTCAGCACAAGTACCTGCTCCTGACCAAACCAATCCTCTATTCTTAAAATTGTTACCCAAACAACCTTGAAAAACCCAAATTTTAAAACACCGACCCAAAAAGGGTAAAATATAAAAAATAACTGACTCTTATGTTCAGAGCGACAGACGCAGATGAGGGACAGAATGCTGCCATCCGTTACGCCATCATCGGAGGCAATACTCAAGGCCAGTTCTCCATAGACAGTCAGTCAGGGGAGGTGAGCCTCATGAAGCCTCTGGACTACGAGGCCAATCGGAGTTTCCGCATCAACATTCGAGCTCAAGGTACTTATAGTCTTATTCTTTTGTAATAATAGAAGATACATTAATATTAAATTTTTAGGTGTCAAAAAAGCAGCTGCAACAATGCTGTTTGTAAATGATAAATTATTACTTATTCAAATTCAATATTTTGTTCATTTTGGCAATTCCGATCAATACTAAACATAAAAGAAAAGGACCAGAAAAGGATAGTACAGGGTAGGGAAACGGTCACACTGTTGACTTGTGACTTAACCAACCAAGGGTGCTGTGTTTCTTGTGTTACCAGCATATGATCAAACAGTTTTAAATGTTTTTTTTTTGTGATATTCAATGATACTTTCTCTGAATGTCTGACAAACAGAAGGATTTATGATTAGGTATCTCATGACCTAAAGACATGTTCAAATTATGGTAACACTCATTATACAACTGTTGTCGCTTTGGTCTAGAACAATGATTCCCAACCTTTTATGGGGCATCTCCCCCTTGTGGAAGATCACACCTGTCTCCCCCTTCTCTTAGTACTGAATACCTTCATTTAATTTTAAGTCACGTTCCGTTATATAAATAATAGAGTACCTATGTTATTCTGTTAAATGATTTATTACTATTTACAACAAATAATTAACCAATACAGATGTGTCTAGAATTCTTCATCTCATAAGTTGGAGCTCAACCATAAACATTAGGTTTCTTCTGCAACTCTTTTACTCTCACACCCGTGCATATTTTATGAAGGTAATTTCCTTCCGCAAGGAAGGTTTTTCCGCATAACTATATAAAAATCGAGTTTATTTGTTTGTAAAACACTACCGTGTATCCGCAAAAGTAAAGATTCTACCCTACAGTTGAGTTTTATTATTTTCTGTCACCCAACACAAATGTATCGTAAACGTTTAAAGAAGGATGTTTAAACAGTCCTGTTTAAGGAACATGTCGGCCTTAGTCAGTAACAAGACTACAAGATCACACCACTCATCGTACACTCATCTCCATTCATACTTGGCTTAAAATACCTGCCTTCATATAGTTCCCATTTCAGAAAAAATTAGGCCTATTGAAGTATTAAGATTAAGTTTACTATCAATTAATTGTAAAATGAGGAGGATAGCAGCTAGCGTACCTTGAAGAAGTGTAAGCCATAGAACATGCAGAAGACACACTGAACACACAATATTTCGTCCCCTGAGGGATAGCATTTAGGCTACCAAAATATTTTCATTCCATTTTTGTAAACTCTATCCCCTTACCTACACTTGACAATTACCCCAAGGGGACGAAATATTGTGGTCAGTGTCTCTTCTGTATGTTCTATAGCCTACCTAAACTTCTTCAAGGTAAACTAGCTGCTATCACCCTTCTTATACAATTCAAAATCCTGGCCTAGAGCCTTTCCTTAAAAAAAACCAAGTTTACAGTCAGAAATGTGTTTGCTTTTTTAATTCAGACGGAGGCAGTCCAGGCAAGTCCAACACCACTTTACTCCTGGTCAATGTGAAGGATGTCAACGACAATGCTCCTCGCTTCTACACATCCCTCTTTCAAGAAGCTGTTTCCGAGAGTGTCCCTGTCGGCTACAGCATTGTGCGGGTAGGTGTAACGCTGCAGCATTCACAAAATATAAGGTCACATGTCATCTGCAGGTTGAAGACTAATAATATTTTTTTAGTACTATTACAATATATTTTAAAGGAAAGAAAAGTCGCTGATGAGGCTTTTTTTAAAGGAATAGAGGTTAGTTAGCTTACTGAAAAAAGTTAGAGTGTAGTGACTAATATATACACAATAAAATGTCACAAAATGTGCACTGATATTTCCTCCTTAGGGGTAAGGGACTTTTTCAGAGGATAGATTGAAAAGAAATGTTAATTGAAGTTCCAAAACCGGATTTAGTGTTATTGGTGTTTTGTAATAATTTGTTAGATGAGAACATTCAAGTAAGAAGAAAAGGGGTGTAGGCCTAAATAAGTTAATAAAAGTGTTTTTATATAAACATCAAACATATAAAAAATGTATGACTATCTGCATTTTTTATGAAAAATGAAATAAAAAGCTCAAAAATTGCATAAGAGTGTGTGATAAGTATTAAGTGTTTACGTTACGTCATGTCGTAAAGGTACAAGCGTATGACGCAGACGAAGGCCAGAATGCAGAGTTGACGTACAGTGTGAGTGGTCGTGACTGGGAGGGGGTCAGCACCAGCGACTTGCCTATCACTGTGGACAACAAGACTGGCTGGATACACACTACACGAGCCCTGGACAGGGAGACACACGCCAAGTTTCAGTTGCAGGTTGGTGGATATTAGTAATCTACAGTAAAACTGGTTACTGAAGTAAATTACTTAACTCGTACTGTAATACTGTAAAATATTTAAATATGACCAATAACAAAAACTGGCAATTAAAACTCTATGTAGTAATTATAACTCAACCATTGATGATCAAGTAATGAAAAATACTGCATCATAATACTAATTTGAAATTGTATTGCAAAGCTTTGTTGGACAAATCAGAACTAAAAATTATGTTTAAGAAATTTAGTGAATTCATGTTTGAGACATCAACAAATTTCAACCTCTGTAAATCACCAATTTAGGTAGCGTCAGTAAGTAGGTGATAAAAAAGTGGCCCCTGAGTTTTGAATGGAATTTTATACACAATCAACACTCAAAATACTCTCATCCTGCCAACTGGAACTTGGACGTTTGAAATTTTTAAGTAATCAGAATCCTAATAGTAATTTTTCAGCCTGTAAAGCTGTTAATATTTCTAAATTGCTAAAGACTGTAGATTCTTTTTAGTTAAATTTTAAGTTTAAACCAATATTTTTTTGCATGAAATTAAAATAAATGATACAAATAATAACTGCTATAAAGGTATTAACCCTAATTGGCAAAGTCCCTAAATAAGTCTGTCTTCCAAACACTATGAGCAACACAGTTTTAAACATTTTGCGTTGTAGGTATTAGCAACAGATGGAGGATCGCCATCCAAAACTGCAACAGCCAGTGTGGTGATCACGGTGCAAGATGTGAACGATAATGACCCGGTGTTCAGCCCCAAACAGTACGAGGCTGTAGTAGCAGAAGACAACCCTCCTGGCACTCCTGTCACCAGTGTCACGGCTACTGACACTGATGAGAACCCCAGGTAAGTCAACATTACACACGGTCTATAGGTCTGCGGGTCGGGAGGTTTGGTTTGGTTCAGGATGGAAATCATTTTCAGGCCAAACTCGGTTGAATCATTTATGTTACAGGTGTGCGAGTGGCACAATATTTGATCAGGATCAGAGTGAAGATTTTTATTCTTGCGATCGCAGTGATTATCAAAGATGTACCATTTAAAATTGATCATTTCCTGCAATCGCTGAGACAATAATGATTTAGCCGTGACCACGGAGATGTCAATTATTTCTTTGTTGTCATAACTTTAAATTGGTCAAAATAAATAAGAACACTTAAACTAAGGAAAGCTAAGGACGCTAGAGAACACCATTTTAACGATCGGCTTTTCGTGATTCATATAGTATACTCTGTCACCTTCTTTCAGAGTCATTGTCTACGTTGGGGGGAGTTTTTTTCATTCTTTTTTCAATCCCATTGCAGTATACGGGTGTGGTCTTTGTTATACTTTGGTGGCTCAGTTTTTTCACACACTTATTACTTATTATTTATTATTTAGTAATAAGTAAAATCCTCTGCTGTAAAATATCTGTGATTTCGAAAGATGTTGATTTCACTTTGACCAGGGAAGATGTTCACGATTTCACGGCCATTGTGGGTGATAATGTATAATAATATTGTATTAACAGATTGTAGTATCACAAATAATGTTTTTGAAAATCAGTGTTGGGAAGTAGCGCGCTACAAGTAGCGACGCTACAGTAGCGCGCTACTTTTTTTGTAGCAATAGCTGTAGCGTCGCTACTTTTAAGATTTTGTAGCTTTAGCTGTAGCTAGCTACATTTTTAAAGTAGTTGTAGCGGAATTTTAGCTACTTTTTTCGCTACATTAACATGGTTTGAGATAGTGATTTTTACCATAACCTCAACCTTACGCGAAACAACATCTTTCAAACTGAGATTTTCAAAATAATTAAGCCTACTTTCTTGGCTTCATACAGCTGGTTGCAGCCGTTTCATTCCCTATTACAACGTTGTGTAGACATGGAGGCCATTAAATGAGTGTTATCCACATTTTTAGCTCTCATTTCCTTAATTTACTACTCTATGATTACTGTCAGATAAAATAAAATCGCTAGATGCAGACGACGTTTAAACGTTGCCGGTACCAGTGACAAGACAAGCTATTGAATGCTTGCAAGTGATTGACAGGGAAATTAGTAATCAATTTAGTTTCTTTGTTATATCAATAGTGTTTTAACTAGGGTTTTAATGGAAACCAACTCTAAACCTTAAAATAATGAGAAAGCTGGTCTATCAACCTTTGCTTCAGCTGTTGATTGTGGTTCATCGTCACAAGCCCTTCCTTGGTTAGATTACAAAGATTTTTCAAAGGTTTACTAAATGAACAAAGAGGAAATTACCTGATGAGATTTAAGATATGCCTAGACTACATGATAATTGTAACGAAAAAATCTCCACATAACATGAAACTTACATTAAAAAAATAGCATAGTTTGCTCCTGCTAACAGCTCTTGTATTGGACTATTCCTAGGCTATGCTATGGTTTAAGACGAATACCAAGTTCAATTATTAGGAATATATCTGTTTAGTCCTTGCAAGAACAAAGCTACTATAGCCAACTTGTTACATAGCCAAGTAAGCCTACATGTTATTTTTACTTTACAAATTTCAACATGTTTAAATTAAAAGCCAATTTCAGGATAAGTTGCTGAATACTGTTTTCTGTACCAACTAGGTTGAAGCACAATTTGCCCTATGCATAATGAAAATAAAGGACGATTTCTTGACATTGAAAAGTGTTATTCATAGAACAAGTTACTTATCACTATGGTTAAAAGTTATAGCAATGTCGTGTTAACATTAAAAGTTGTCACAGCGGCCCTCTGTAGTCTTCGTAGCGGTTGGGAGCAGGAAGAACGAACATTAAAACAAGCGAATAGGGATCAACTAATTTTATTAATTATCGAATAATGAATAATGACTTTACATAACTACAAACACGATGATACAAGAAAATACAACTAACACTTTGTACTCGCGACTAACAGAATATTAAATGATTTTAACACTGAATTTAGAACGTACACGGACTCATAGAAAGAGTAAGAGAAAGAAAGGGCGCAAGACCGCGCGCGGCGGACCTTACCGTCATTCGCTACATTCCGGCGCGATCTAAAGCTTCAGCATCGCCCAAGCGGAAGCGTCAGCGTGGTCACATGACCATCGTCAGCCAATCAGCGCACGCTGAGCGCTCAGCCCATAATTCAACGCGTGGACAGTTGCTTGACAGGTGCTGCAGCCAAACGATTACAACTGTCATTAATGAAACTAACTGAAGCGAGGAACCGAGTCTAGAAGTGTAACATTGTTTATCGCGGCACACGTGCATGCAGATTCAGCACATTCCAAGGCATATCCGGCCAGGCCACGACGTCTGGTTAGGATTATTGTAGGGTTACAAAGTAATGAAATGAATTGGAATATGAGTTTTAAGGTTCACTTGGAGACTTATGTGAAGTTAAATAAAATTCAATGTTGCTAAATACGGTTGACACATCAACCTAGCAAATATTCGGTGATAGCCAGCGGGCCAGGTTTAGGGAGTAAGGCCAATCAGCTTAAGCTCAAAGTTAACAAATTACAACCAAATGAGGCAAATATGCCAGGCCGTCACACTCCCCCCACCTCAAGTTCATGCCGTCCTCGGCATGCAGTCTGCCCTTCCAACTGGGCCCTCTGCCGCAGCTTCAATCTATTGAAGTACATTATACAAATTCTGTCGACGTAGCTTTCTCTGTCTCCAAGTTATGCCAAGATTTGGAAAGGTTTTTGGAAGGTATCTGTCATGTGGCTTGGGCGGATTTAAATTTTATCTATTCCCAAAAATTTAAAAACCCCCCTCGAATTTTGATAATACGTCTCTTACTCTTTCCTTCGAATACAATAACAAAAGTTACTATACAATTTTCCAACACATTACGATTAATGGTCCTTCCGAATTTACAAAGATTACTTAAGTAAATTACTACATAAAAACTTAACTACATGGCCCACTCGACCATCAATCAGAACAATAACGATAACCAAAAAAAAACGCTTACTACACTCAATACGAAACAAGACACCCGGATCGATTACCGTATTGAACAAAAAGAATTCACAGTTAAAATTTACAAGATACAACAACTTAAAAGGTAATATAACTTAGTAAAGCTTAACCCCTCATACTAAACTTAAACAAAAAAAAACATTTCACGCATACTCATTATGACTCGTTAAATTATGTCCCGACATTAAACAACCTAACGCCTAATAATCCCCAACGGTGATACAACATGTATCCCTAACACTTAACATACACTTAACATGTATCCTTAACAAACATTTACCCGCAGCACACAGCATCAGTAGGTAAATCGAATTGAATTAACGCCTCAATTCACAAACAAAAACTAATAAAAGGAAACTTACGGTTGCCACTTTCTGTGCAAAACTTCCATATCAATTTAGTTCCCACCGAAATTAACATTCCCAACAATTTACATAATACAACAATACAATAAATTGAAAATCATTGTTAACACATCAGTCACACCGTCATACATACAACCAAAGGGAACTTAACCACTATATATGCCAACGGTCCGGCTGAGGTACTACTATTCCTGACTAACATATTACAACAATTGGTCCCCTAAATTAATTTATCATGGAGAAGCAAAACTTTTGGTAGCAATTAATCTTGCGCTTCCGCCATATACCTAGCTAGACACATTCTCCAGTACCTCAGTCGACGTTTGAGTGGGAGGTCTGGTACGGTATCCTTGCGGAGGGGGTTCCGGACAGTTCCCCTCAGCAAGTAGTTTCACTTATCTTAAGCTTAGTAATCACAATAAAAGAAGATTTTCTATGCAAGTCGCACTAGGTGGCCACAAGAGAGGAGCACGGCCGTTGCACCTCCCTCCGTACACCCGGCTCGACTTGGTGTTGGTTCTTGCCCAACATCTCAACATCTAGGTCTTTGTCTATTTGTTTATTTATTTATCTTATTTTTTCCAACAAAACAAAACACCTTTACCAGCCTCCACCTTGGACAAAACAACTTACAGCTGAAAACTCTAAACAATGAAACAAAAGAAATACAATACAACACAAAAATTACGACAGAATAAAACTAACACAAGAGAATAAAACATTAAAATAAAGTTAGCAACCCATGGGTACCCATTAAATAAGGAAGACAAGTCCACACTGCCTCTCCGAAGACAATAGTGTTCAGTAGTGCACGTAATGTTCGAGTTTTGTCGATGAACCGGGTACCGCATTTACACAACGTTCCGCTCTCGGAAGAGGTATTGTTCTTTAGTTATTCCAGAGCTTCCAACCGCGTTGTCAAAATATGACGTTTCAACGCACAACACCGTTCTACGTGTCCAGCACTGCGTGTCTTGGTTACTACTAGTGTTCCGAGTACTCACTTCTATTATGTGGCCACCACGTCTTTCGAGATATCATGGGGTTACCGGTTAGAGTGCCGTAACCCGCCGTCTCCAGGGCTGCAGTCCCTCTGTCACAATCAGGCCTTGGAGTTGTCACTAACTCCACATCAGGGTCGTTTGCATCTCCCCTCTCCGAGAACGTCTCAGGCACCCTGGCGAGTCTCGCAGTCCTACGGAGCAGAGAGCCTCGGCACCAGGTGGCAAGTACGTCTCGACACCTATAACAGGTGCACAACAGCATCAGGGCTACTAACACACAAGTCCCTATCCTTGCTAACAAGTACATCACAACCACGACAAGGGAAGCTCTTCGTTCCACCCCCCTTTACAGCTCAAGCGCAGCTGGTAGCGGCTAACAGGTTATGTCAGGCAGGCGTACGCAGGCGCGAGCAACAGTCAAAATGAAATTCTCACCAGGGGAAGCTCTCTTACCACTCTCCCCTACAGCTCAAGTACTACTGGTAGCTGCTAGCAAGTTAGGCTAGGCAGACGTACGCAGGTA